TTTCTCTTAGCTAGGTTATCCTTAGTTAAAATAATTACTTTCCAACATAAGTACCAAAGGAAAACCTTTACTTTTAGCGGTGCTTTAACCTGCCAAAAATATTAACTACTGTCGATCTATTGCCATTGGCCAATTTAACCTATGGTATGAAGGAAAGGACACTTTGTGAATTTGTGAAAGATCGACAGCTCTCCCGTGGGAACAAGAGCAAAGCTGGATCTGAATACGCACTACACAACACAAGACTAGGCAACACTCGCATGTGCAAGGAAGTCGGCGCGAAAGAAGCCATCTCCCCCAATGCACCCAATGCCATGCCTGCCTGATCTCTTCATGCACGCACCTCCATTACCTCTACATTTTTCTTTTCTTTTTTTTTCCCCTCTCTCCTCCATATCTTGTCGTACTACCAAAGTAACCAGACAATCTACTACTATAGTATCTGCCATGAAAGTAGAGATAAATAATGTAATACCCTGTCTACATTTTTTTACCTTAATTACTGATCATCTCACTTGGTATGGATATATGGGTCATGAGATAAAAACAGTGGCGGAGGCAGGATTTAAACATGAGAGAGGAGGTCTAAGAGTCTTAGGGATACATAATACACTACTATTTAAGTTAATTACCTAATTAGTTAGGTGATTATGTGTGAAAAAATGTTGGAGGAGACATGCCACTGGCCGTCCCCTGTCCCTGCCATTGGATAAAAGAAAAGGTTATATTATTCACTTACAGTTTTACGGTCTTCTTAGGTGTAGTAAGGGACTTGAGTATGGGTGGACGCTGTCACACTGAGGTGGTTATGCTTTTTATTGAGATTTATTCAAAATTAATTTATTATATTTTTTTCTCTATCGTCTGAGGTGTGTGTTTTTTTTGGTTAACAGGCCAATGAACTGAGGTAGAGTGATACCAACTTTATTTTAAAGTTGAATAATTTTAAATTTATAAGAAAAAAACAGATCAATCGAGCAATTTTGAACAGAGACACCGAGCTAGCGAAACGAGCTCATTTTCCACCTAGCTCCTATAGGAAGGTTGCATAACTTTTAGTGTTAATTCGTGGTATACAAAGTAAAAGAGCACGTAAAGATATGTGCTCTGCAAAGCTAAGGCACAAGCAACCAACCTTTTTTCAGTTCCAGAGAAATCGGCCGGCAATGGCCTGATGAATTCTAAGGTATGGGCAGGGTAAGGCTAGCTACACTACACTGCAGCAAAATAATGTACACTTTTTCATCACAAAAATAATTTTAAAAAAATGATGCACACTTTTGGCTCCAACATGGCAGCATGGAGACCGAACGCTGTGCTGTGATGTGCATCACTGAATCTCTGAATGTCTCTGAATCTATCTCATTATGATGATGAAGTGATGAACCGCACACAACACAAGAGCTAGCAAAATGCATATATATTGCTTAGCAAAAGCGATAGCATCACTGCATGGGATGCCTCAAGCCCTCAAATCCTTTTTTTAATAGATTTTAATTCTAAAAGTTGCAGCCTTTCAGGAGGAAATGAATTAATTGAAACCCAAAAGAAAACAAGGATCGTGTTCTTTTTGAGAGAAAGAAACAAGCTAAGGCGATCATGTTCATATCAAATTATCAATCAAGTCGAGATGGATCGATAAATATGTGTGTCTGTCCAACAGCATGCATGCTAGCTTAGCTGCTTCAAGTAGCAGCTGCTTTCATGTCCCCATGACCCACACTGTGATCTGTGATAGCTTTTGTGCATCTCTCTATCTCTCTCTCTCTCTCTCTCTCCCTTGATTCTATTTTTCTTTTTTGAGAGCTATCTGGATCTCTGATCTATATCCAATAGGAATCTTCTCTGACTAGTTAATTCACTGCACAATAATTATCTGAATTTCGTTTTTGACTTCATTTTTCACTCCCTGTTTGATTTGTTCAGGTCTAAAATGCAAATCATTATTCAGTGAATTCCAGGGCTCTTGGACTAATTTTTACTTAAGAAATAGGAAAAACAGATGATCATATAGAATTTTGAGTAGCATAAAATTTTTTCATTGTACTAAACTTATGTCTAAAAAAAAATCTGAACCTCAAGATCAACTATTAGAAAGTTATGTAGAGAATATACTGTCTCATTCAAGGAGAGGGTCATGATTGTGAAATATGTTGTCCTGGAGTTGCATCTTGCATGCATGTTGATTTGTAGGGCCATTGGGTCAATACAATGGAGCACAGAGCTCCAGCCAATAAGAAGTAAGAGCGGCTTGTGTTTTTCTGAACTTTTCACTGAAGAAAAAAAAAAGGACATTTATTTACTCTGAATTTCTGTGAGGAGCAAAGAACATAAAAGCTACATCTACTGCCTGATCCACTCGATGATGTTATTATCTGGACGGGAATTATCCATCCATTCTTAGTTCAGTCCATGAATATGTATATATGTATATATATAAATGTCTGCTCAGTTGATTCTAGCTCTGAAAGTTACTGCAAGACTGAACTTGAAAGCTGCATATGCAAATGGCTAGAAAAACTGATATGAAAAAACATAAATCAATTTTCTATTATGAAGAAAAATCAGAGGTGGAACGTGCAAATAAGTGTGTATGTGTATTCAGGTACGGCTATATCAACTTGGTGTAATTGGGTTAATTCAATAAAGCTTTTATCATAAAAAAAATGTATTCGTGTTTTGTAATATGTGAGTACGTACATTTGAATCTGAATCGAAATAAACATGACCTGTCAAATATTTTCTTAGTCCCAAAATAACTTAATCTAGAATAGAATGTAACATATTATAGTACAATGAATCTTGTCCAGATTCGTGTTGAATTATTTTGGGGAAGTAGATATCATTTCAGGATGGGAGCTAAGCTAGCTGCAGTGTTAAGCTGGCATTTGCAACTATGCATGCAAGCCACCTGGAGGCATCAGAGCAGCTCAGCAGCATGACAGCATCTCCTTGGATCGGCCAGGCCCGCACGTGCGCCCCTGCACGCACGCACGAGCATCAATGGTGAAACACTAGAAGCTAACCTCTCTTTACTTAATTAATTAATTAATTAATAATTAATTTGTACTGGACCTACAGTGGTACTACTTTTTTCATGCTAAGTAATTTACCCTGTATATATCTTTTTTTTTTTCAGACAACTTTGAATCTTCTTCTTTTGTGTGTGTCTTGTTGTTTTCTGAAATCCGATGAAGATTCGATTTGATTCCAAAGCAAGTAGTGAGTGAGTGAGAGAGTAGGAGTGGAAGTGAAGCACTACTGTTCTACTTTGTTGTTGGCAAGGAGCTTTGATATGTGATGAATGGCGAACGCTCATTTCATAAGCAGCCAACACCTCCTAGTTCCCTATTAAAAAAACACAACCTAGTTTCAGGATTTAAGTTATCAACTCATAAATTTAGACTTTCAAATAAATGTTTCTTGTTTCAACCTAAAACTTACTTTGAAAAACCGGTGAGGGAATTATTCACTCCTATATATATCCATTCCAAATTATCCAGATGTATTGCCGAAAATAGCTATAATTTTTTTAACGAAGATAGTAGTTACTACCTCCGTCCCAAAATATAACAACTTTTGGCTATGAATCTAGACACACGGTTGTCCAGATTCATAGTTAAAAATACTTATATTTGGGGATGGATGGTGTAGTTCAATAGCATGCGCCTATTATTTAGCAAATCATATTGGTAAAAAAAATCAGTTCAACATATTACCATATAATGTTGGATGGCGTACATATTAATTAGCGACTCACATCGTCAAAGGAAGCTCATCAATTAGCAAGAGACCCCTTAAGCTTGGATGGTACGTACTCCATCCACACATACAAATAAGCATAGCCACATAGGTAACCTCTATTGACCGTAATTTTTCGTGCAGTAGTCGTTATTGAATGCCACCTCCCGTTCTTGAAGGCAAGTGACGATTAGATAATGACACCATTCTAAATATCACGTACTATTTCACACTAATGCTACGGTTCTAGACACTCGTGAGAACTCGTTTAAAGGAAAAAATAAAAACTATGCAAATATATCAGTACCATTCTGAATATTTCATAATCCATGGTGCATTTATATTTTCGTTCCCTTATCATTGCTATAAACTAAGGTGTAAGATATACAATAAGTTGCCGTTAACACACAAGCCTCAATAACTCTCTAAGACTCTCTCATGTTTTTAGTGAAGTTTGTGTATAGATTATCCCTGTACGAAGAATGGCTCATTTCCTCCTCTTTCATCTCTTTCACATTATTAAAACAATTGGAGTATATGAATATGATCATAGTATCCGTTTGTTATACTAGATAGGATTATATTTCATCTATATCTCTAGACTTACTTAAGAACCAAATCTTGTACTCATATATATATATCGGCTCTCAAGACTCAATACAATATGTCAATATTTGCAGTAATTTCTTCCCCATTTACTATTTAGCAAATGTCTATATGACATCTAAAATCAAGTGTTTAAGATTGCTTACTCTATAAACACCATATATTCCACGCTAATTTTAATTTTCTAGACACTCGTACGTAAAGTGACCTTAGGTAAAGAGAAAAACCTAAACAAATATACCGTTTTGAATAGTACTCTTTCCGTCCTATAAAAAACCAACCTAGTATTAAATGCAGAAAACCTAGACAACGGTATTTCGTTGGAACGGGATACTCTTCTATGAGACAGTACCTGATATCTGATACCTATTGTGATACCAGCTGCATGATACTTGATACCTGTGATACCTGTTACCCGGTATCTGTGATATCTAGGACCTGATACCTGTGATACTCGTGCAAGAGAATAGTTAATATGTCTATCCCATTGCAACGGGATCCCGTTTTGTAGCAGCTCTCTGTTGAATGTGATACGTTCTAGTACTACGAATCTACATATCGTAGGTTTTTTTTTATCGGGATGGAGGGAGTATTTTACATTCCCATTCCCGGGTTGGCGCGATTCCCATCCTCCCCTGCTCTACTGCCCTGGAAAGAGAGAGAGAGATGGGTGCGTCCTCTCTATAAATCCACCTCGTGTTGCTGCTCCCACACCCCCCCTCCTCGATCATCTCCTCCTCCCTACCAACAACCACCACCATCCTCTTCTTGGCACTTGGCATCAAGAGACACATCCAGACGCCTCGAGTTGTAGCTAGCACCAGTGGCTCAGCTTGCCCAGTGCTGCTGCATCGATCAGTGGCAGTAGCTAGCTCAGCTCTAGCCTTTTGCCACCGACCGCTCCGATCGAATCCGGTGCTAGGCTAGCCAGCCTCCTCGCTCTTTATAACCCCAGCCGCCATTGGAGAGGGAGGGAGGGAGCTAGAGCTTTGTTCTTGTTCTTGCATGCTGTTCTTGTTGATCGAGTGAGAGAGGGGGAAGGAAGAAAGGAGGGAGGCACATGCTTATACCGTTCGTGCTGGAGTTCCTGATCGATGTCGCCTGTGATCAGTGAGATCCTCCTCTCGGGGTTTATGATCAACTCCACACTCCGGCGCCGCACCCATCTCGTCCAGTCTTTCTCCGTCGTCTTCCTCTACTGGTTCTATGTCTTCTCATAAGCTACTCGCCATCCATTTCCCTCTCCTCCTCTCTCTCTAGCTTCCTTCTACAATAATCGATCTCGTGTTCGTCGTCGTCGTTCTTGTCGATCTCTGTGTGTGTTCTTCGTCGTCGTCGTGTTCGTTTTGGATTTTGGTTTCAGTTTAGTATATGCACTTCTTGTTCTTCACTGCTGCTGCTGCTGCTAAGCTTGTAGCAATCTAGTGGTGCTTGTTGTTCTTCTTCTCCCGAAATCTTTGCGATCGATTGATTGATGGCATCGTCAAGCGGGAGCGGGGGGAGCGCGGTGTCGGCGGCGACGGCGGCGGCGGGGGGGTCGTCGTCGGCGGCGGAGGAGGAGCTGAGGGCGCTTATGGAGCAGCGGCGGGCGAAGAGGATGCTGTCGAACAGGGAGTCGGCGCGGCGGTCGCGGATGCGGAAGCAGCGCCACCTCGACGACCTCACCGCGCAGGTGGCGCACCTCCGCCGCGAGAACGCGCACGTCGCCACCGCGCTCGGCCTCACCACCCAGGGCCTCCTCGCCGTCGACGCCGAGAACGCCGTCCTCCGCACCCAGGCCGCCGAGCTCGCCGCGCGCCTCGCCTCCCTCAACGACATCCTCTCCTGCATCAACACCAACGGCGCCGCCGCCGCCGCCGCCGCCGCCCTCACCGTCGCCGCCGCCACCGACCCGCTCCTCGCCTTCGACTCCGCCGCCTTCGACGACCTCTTCAGATCCTCCCCCGAGCTGTTCCAGCTTTGCTAGCTCAAACACTGAAGCTGAAGCTGCCATGGCAGAGACCAAGAAGAAGATGAAGAAAATTACAGTACTTGCCACTGGGGGTAAGCAACTAAGCACTGCACCTAACGAAGCTAAGCTAGCTGCTAGGGCTAATTAATGGCCTAATTATCTTGTGTAATTGGTAAATCAAGTGATGGTTAAGTTAAGCCTTCTGCATGCATCATCATCATCATGTACTCCAACTATGTAAGGATTAATGAGGCAGTAAGCTTTCTGTTTCTCTGTCAAAACAAATCAAGGAAGTGCAATATATAATTACTACTACTATTACTCTCTCTCTCTCTCTCTCTGCTGTCTCATGGACTCATGGTATGTATGTTTGCTTTTGAATTAATCAGTTTAGTAATTCTTATATTTTTTAAGAATTACTAAACTGTGTTGAGATGCAATGTTATATTGGTGCTTTACTACTAGCCTCAGATTGTTGCAACTAGTACTACATTTTTGTGATGCTCATGGACATGTTGGGGTAGTAAATTAAATCAATCAATCTGCAGGAAATTCTTGTTAATATTCCACAGGTAGTGGGAATAATAAGAGTGACAACAGCCAGTCTTTTTATGGCAGGAATAAATGTATTAACTGGCTTAGTATTCTTTTCTTTCTTGCTTGCTCTTCTTTTTTTTTTTCTCAGAATTTGTTCAGTACAGTACTGATGGTTATTGTGCAGAGAGAAAGAGATTCTCCAAATTACCCTCTTTGTTTTCTCCCCCCTATTCTCTACCACTACTACATCTTTTTTCTGTTGGTTTCTTGGGAATTTGAGTGTACTAGAAGACTACTTTCTAGTTGTCATGTACCAACCAGCACTGTTGCACATCTCTGAAAACTAATGGCAGCAGCACCAACAGTAGCAGCAGCCTAGCAGTGACAGACAACTCTTGTAGCTCAGCTCCTCTCATTCATTCACAGGCAGCAGTAGCAGCACACAGATTTTTTTCATCAGTTCAGCTCAATTCATTCGGGCCTGTCTGCTTTCTAGAGACTTATTCCAAGTCCTGTCACATCGGATGTTTGGACACTAATTTAGAGTATTAAACATACACTAATTACAAAACTCATTCCATAACCTTGGACTGATTCGCGAGACGAATCTTTTGAGTCTAATTACGCCATGATTTTAACAATGTGATGCTACAGTAAACTTTTGATAATTATGGATTAATTAGGCTTAAATACTTCAAATTCGTCTCGCGGATTAGCTCTCATTTATGAAATTAGTTTTTTTACTAGTCTAGGTTTAATACTCCAAATTAGCGTCCAAACATCCGATGTGACATGGGCTAAAAAGTTTTAGCCCCATCTAAACACCCCCTCATTCATTCATTTTTTTTCATCTGGCTCCAGCTCACATGATGTATCTTGGTACCCACCAAACCACATGCTTCCTGGTGATTCTGCTGCCACACATGAATCTGATCTTCCAGTGGGTATAACTGGAGTAACAGATCACCAACCACTCCCAACTTGTGATTGACAATTGTAAAATATATATACACATAATGCACCATGCTAACTAGCTCATGTAAGGGTGCGAGCGTGAGTTTTGACCGTGTGCATCCTAGTTATGTAGAGACCAGACCGTGCTTAGCTCAGTACAATTGTATTTCCTCGATGTAATTGGCTAAGTTAAATAAAAACTTACTTTGTCTAAAGAAAAAAAACTGGTTCATGTACACACAGTCTCACTATACATACTTAGGGTACACTACATCATACTGAATGCAGTGAAATGGAATGGAATGGACCACTGCAGCTGCAGTGCAGTGGAGTGCAGTATCTGCAGATGCAATTGGTGCAATGGACCTGGCTAGCTGCAATGCTTGACTCATTGCCTGGGAGGTTGCTACATTGATGGAGTAGAGCCAGCTCTCACCCCAGTGGAGATTGCAGAGGACATGCTGCAAAAGGGAGGGAATCAAGGGCCAAGAAGGTGGTCTCACCTCACCTCAGCCACCACCTTTCCTCTCCACCACCCACATATTGCATTGCATACATAAGAGGGAAACAAATATCACCAAGAACCAACCAAGAATATTCTCCTTCTCCGTCTCCGGCCGCCATTGCTCCGGTCGGCCATCGCCGGCGATCCAGATGAGAGTTGAGCTTGATGGTTTTGATTGTTTCAGAGCCTGCAGAAATGTAGCTTTGGGCCTCATCGTTTGCCCTATGGCTTATAAGCTAAAGCCAAAATTTGAATTTTAAAACTTGATTTTGAATTTGAATTTGATCCTTTTTCAACATAGTTTTTTTTTAACTTTGGCTTTTCAATCACTAAGAATATATATACAAAAGTTTTACTCACATATCATTTTTTTAATCGCTAATAAACCGTTATGGCTTATAATAAGACTAGACCAACCGATGGGGACCTTAGCTGATGTTCTCTGAATGTGAGTACAAGGACTAACAAGTCTAGTGACATCCTGAAATATATGAGTATTATTGGTTTGAATTGATTGGGATTTCACTTGTATTAAATGACATATGTTGCCAAGATTTGTTCTCTTTGGTCAAGTGAATATTACACAACTACATTTCTGTTTTGATCCGGCTACATGATATGTACATATGTATATATTTGTGCATATATATATATATATATATATATATATATATATATATATATATATATATATATATAAAGTAAGTAGGTGTTGATTGCAGAAGGAAAACTCTGGTTCTTGTAGATATAGTAGTATAGTAAAAAATGCTTCCTACAGAAAAGAACTATAGACCTTGGTTCTCCTGTTGGTATCTTGAAAGTTCTTCAGGTACTCAATTGCACTAGAGTCACTGCATTACTTAATAGTACTTTAGCATGACTTGGTGTGTCAAAAAAGTTCTTTATGTTTTGTGTTTGTTTGTGTGTGCTTGTGGAGAAGAGAGAAATAATTTAGTCAGATATTTATCCATTATATATTAACCCTTTGAAGTGATTCTGATTTGCATTTAGCAATTATTGTTAACTTTTAAAGATGTAGATGTCACAGAGGATGGAAAATAGAAGAGCACAAAAAAAAAACAGAATCTTTTGGATCATAGTGTCACTTGGGTCCAAAGGTTGGTTCATGCATTATACATGAGACTAGTGAAGTTGAGTAGTATGCCGTGGTGGTTGAGATAAGAACTATCTCTCTTCAGAAACTTGACAAGGCTAGGATGCTAGGGAATTTAAGTTTTTCTTAGCTGAGCTGACTGATTTTCAGCTTGTAAATCAGCCAACAGTTTTTTTAATACAAAATGATTATTGTACATAGACATGACACAGAAATATCTTATCTGGAGATGCAAAGGTTACACCAGAATAAACACTTTTAAATATACAATTTGATTAATTGGCCGAACAAGAAATGGAATAAAGGTCTCCCTTAACAATAATTCTCCAGGGAATAAAGAGAAGAATGATATTATTCAAAGCACACTAAATGTGGCTAAAACTATTACTTATCGAAGATAAGAATATCTTAATAGTGGATGAAATTTCAGATCTTACCAAAGCATAGTGGGCACTGCAAACATGATCTATCACGCTGAGATATGGCTTACTGGAATTAAATAACAATCTTTTTGATTCCTTCTTGCAGAAACCAAGGCTCTGCCCACTTTTTAATCACCTCAGCAGAATTGTACTTGTGCACAATTGAATACTGATTATGACCTGCTGCAAATGGGGTTTATGCATGCACTAACCTGCTTGTGTGTTTCTTAATCCCATGTGGCCGGTGATGCCTTATGCTTAGCACTCATATGGAGGTGTTGGAGACAAAGGCTGCTGTGTTCATGTTCAGTCACATTGCTCCATCAGTACTTGAACAGTGCAAGCCCCAGATTAGATTCAGTCATTGTTAATTAGAGGATTCAATATTTTGGTGAAGTTTGCATGATGAAATGTAAATCCTTTATTTTGAAACAGAAATAAAAACTGTTAAAAGTTTATTGTTAATAAGGGTCAGCATTGGGTTGATTCAAGCTGATTCAAAGTAGCATTTTGATAGGCATTTGAAACAGAAACAGGTCAGGAACATGTTCTTGAGCCCGATATGAATCGCGCAACATCATCGATCCTCATGAGTACTTGCACCGGATTCTGAAATTCGACGCGTTTCAAAGACTTCCCTGAAGAGCATAAAGCGCAAGGATTAAAAATTCGAAACCAGGACCATCTTATTCTACCAAAGAATTGCATAGACAATTGGCAGAATCTGAATAAATTTGTCTGCTTCCCTTGCATTTCCATGTTGCAGGTAGCCATCGGCCACAGGGAAATATGCGTGGTCGGCCTGCTTTATTTTTATTTTTGGAGCACCTTTTCTGCAAATGGAAAAGGATAAAAATAAAACCAAAACAATACTCTCACACATGCACACTGCCTCTTTGCTTTTGTTTGCTACATGTAACTGAACTTGCATACATACTGCTCTGTAAAGTAGCCATACTACTCTCTTCTTATACACATCGTTAGCTGTTACTCTTTTACTTTCACATTAGTATATGTTTTTGACACGCTATGTGAGCAAAATGGAAGGCAAAAAGGCGGTATTATTGGCGGGATGCACGACGAAAGAACCCGTCATGATCACCGTGTGAGGCGAAGGATAGGGGTCTGTGGAGTTCAAGGGAGAACCAAGGCCTCAAAAGCAGGCTGTTGCAATGCCATAAGAAGTTCTTGCAGATTTGCAATGTGCATTCATGGAAGGTGAAGGTTGTAGTAGCAACTTACTCTGAAGAGCAGGCAGGGAGAGTGACTGCTCTTCACATCCATTTGGAGGCCAGCCAATGAGATTGTGGCCACTGATTGGGTGCAGGAATTGCAGAAATTGTACAAAGATAAAAATCCTGGATAGAGGGGAAATCCCACTGCATGGTTGCGTATAATTCAGTTCAATTTAGCACAATTGTACTAACTTTCTGAGAGTCTGAAGCTTCCAGGCACCTATGGATGTTGACTGGCCAGTTCATACAGACCAACTAGCTTAGAGGCACCAGCTATGCACCAATTAGGGCTCAATTTGACATTGCAGTTAGTGCAGTGTTGTGTGGTAAAGCTGCATTTGCCTTGCTCTGAAAGGATTAAAACCATCAGACTGCATGATCGAGTGCACTTTTTTAAACTTTACTTGACAGACTTTCTGCTCCTGACCTTTTAGCAATCCCTTTTGCAGTTTTAGAAATATTACAAGAAGGAAGCAAAGGATTCCTTGTCTAGCTCATCTAAGTTAAGAATCACAAAATTATCTAGATGGTAAAGTTCTTCTCTACCATGATATTAGTGGAGTTCTCCATTAATCTGTTCTCTCTTTTTTAGGGTGAGGAGAGCTTAACTGAATCACTGCTTCAAATGGCTGGTTGATCCATCCAAGCGTATGAAGTATGAACACTAGCTCTGCAGATGGACCTCTCCTCTGATTCCATTGGACATCTCTGTCTTTTTTTTTCATATTATTAAGCAAATTGGAATTGCATGTCATTGTCAGAGAAATTGAATCCCACTGTTAAACAATAGTGCTTGAAAGCAATTTTCTTGATCTCAAGTTGAGAGAAACCTTGAGCAACTCGATGCTGTGGCTGAAGAGGCACATTGGTCAAAAGGGTGCTACTAGATTATATGATATGATATAACATGATATCATAATTATCTCTCCAGAAATTCTTTGACATGAGGTTTTCCATTCCAAATTCAGGAGTGCAGAGCTACTGTCATCCTGTGGAGGCACAGAGAGATATCAAGGTTTGATGTAGCATCACATTCCTTCTTGGCTTGGTGCAAAAATCTTGATCCGATCCATAAACCAATCAGGTTTCTGTTTCTTGCCGCATAAACAAGATATATATTTCAAGAACATACGGTATGGTACAGATTTCATGCCATATCCATGGATATATTTGTTAAATGATTACATTATTTGCAATAATGCTCTGCAATTTTATCTGTTGTCCATATTGGATTGGAATTTTTACTATGCATTGTTTTCTTATGGTACAGATTTCATGGCATATCCATGGATATATTTGTTAAATGATTACATTATTTGCAATAATGCTCTGCAATTCTATCTGTTGTCCATATTGGACTGGAAGTTTTTTTACTATGCATTGTTTTCTCAGGGGGAGAGAGAGAGAGAGAGAAAGAGCTTGTCATCGATTTCTTTTTTTTAGGGAAAATGTTGTCATTGTTTTCTCGTTACAAGTATCTGACAGGATGAATTACTGTAGCGATCAATCTTGACCTTCAGTTTATGATCGCACGACTAGAAAAGAGACAGCTTCACCACACTGTGAACCTAGGATCCTACTCCCAGTTGAGCAAAGACTGAAGCACCCTATGTAGCCATCAATCTTGACCTTCATTTTATTGGTTTAGTTGCTTGTCATTTAATAATACTATCATATATATGTAATTGCAAGGTGGTTAAGTCTTAATTATGCAACAGAAACCCCGGATGATGAGCATTTATTAACTAATACCCAAATCAAGTCTCAGTTCCTCCACCTAATTAATCAAGGAGATACAGTTCCAATGGGACACTTTGGCATAGAGAAGCTGAAGTCTCCATCTGTAACTGTCACCCAGCATAATCATGATACATCACCATCAGAGTAGCATTCAGCAACTAGTTGGTCATCAATGCATTGCCATGGAGAACAAATTGCAGTGATTCTTGCCAGATTAAGTACATATGGTTGCTTGCTTCTGGGCTCTTGCTGCTGCAGTTTAACTTTAGACTCCCACCATTAGTGAGTGGGTCTTCAACTTCCAACAAAAGCTTGAATCTTGTATAGTTGCATACTTGCATTAATTAGCTTAATTACTCAGGATCAAAGCTGAGAAAGTTGCTTAAGGTGGTGTGCAAAACGAGAAGGCGATATTTTTAATTGCTGTGCACGTGTTCATGTTAGAGAAAACATCATCTCTGTCAATATCAAAGAGGAACAAAGTTAAGCAACTGTATGTCAAAGTTGTGTTCAGCAGTTGTAGCTGCAAGTGTGTAGTTGACCTAACATTAGAAACTAATAATGGATGGGTGGATTGGTGCCATCTGTTTAGTCAAATTTATGTTGCTTGTGAGCTTGTCTGATCACCCAAGGAAAATGAAGAGCTTTCTGGGCAAAATAATGTGCAATGCTCAAGCTAAAAGTTAGGGTTGCTGCCAAGAACTTTCAGAATCCAGTTCATGTGTCCATCAGAATCATGTCCACTTTTGCACATGAGATGGTTCCACTGGATCCTTAATGATCGGCTGTCCACTTAGAGGTGTTTGCTACATTATGAATTTGTGAAAATGCAGGCAGCAAGGCAGGAGTACTGCCCTACATGCTTGCCCTTCATTTCAGCAGCATATCCCAAGTCCCAAGGTACTAGCAAACCATAGAAAATCAGAAACGGGAGAAACAATTAAAAAGGTCATCCAGTACATGCCCAGCATGTGCATTGCAAATTATGAAGGCAGAAAAGCAAAGCTTGCATACGTCTCTATTTACCTCATTTTCTTATAACTATTCATGTTTATTGTGAACATGAAGAGACAAGTAATATCTAATAAAATGTCCATTCGAAATGGCATCCTAACATTTCTATCATAATCCTCATCATCGATTCAGAGTCTGAGGGGACTCACCTTATTCTCCTTTTTGTGTGAGAGCAATTTATCCTACATGGGGAAAAAAGGGAAATAGCTCTAAACTCTATTGGATGCCTTCAGACAAACATGTCTTCCAAAACGCAGATAAGCCCGTTTGTCATGCCTTGTGCTGAAGTTCTGGATGATGTCCGTGCAGCATCAGCCTTATGGATTTGTATCTAAACAGAGCTTTTCCCATATGACCATTTTAGCATCGACATTTAGCTGAAAAACATATAGAAAAGTAAAATTCACCATATAACTTAACAAAATGTGCTAAGAATATTGCTATTGACAGTCATTTTTCCAAAAGCAAAATTCCTTTTGATTACATGTTGTGATACAGTTTTCTAGTGTAACACACATGAAATAAACACAGCGGTTAGGCATTGCAATTGATGTTAATGATTCAGCAAGAATTTAAATGGTAAGAACATTTAGGGCTACTAGAGATGAATCTGATGGAAACATACATGGCATGAACTGATTCTCAAAGTACCACTTCTATCACCCAACACATTTTCAGTAACTTCACCAACTACACCCAACCTTGCACAATTGTCTGGGTGATAGCATATTGAGTTGCATAACAGAGAAACAGTATGTCATCATGAATTGTTGGTTCAGATGCATCAACACGGTGTCTCAAGAGCAATAAATGGCCTTCTCTACACAATCATTGCACCGACCATGACAGAGCACAGCTGAAAATAGTTACGAGTGATAAGGGACTCAGGTGCATGTCCCTTTTTTATGTGTTATATTGTTCTTATGTTCTAATTGTTTTTTGAACTCCCAAATCGATCCCACTGGCCATATGATGACAATTCAAGCTATCGAGCTCTTTTTTATCCCCAAGAGAAGGGAAGAGTCTTTGTCTTGAACCCTGGTCCCCAGAGGAGGTAATTCACCCAAGGCGTATTTCCTCCATAAATCAATGAAGGCATGATCCTGATATGATGTTGTGAACTTATGATACCTAGATCTTGAATCATCCAAAAGTTTGCGGTCATTGTTAAGCACTTCCGTTAGTAATCACTAGTGGCTAATCAAACATTTGTCTGGTTGATAAATGGCACTAACATTCTTTTTCTTCAATCAATAGTGTTCTTGTTATATTTGTCGTGTTTCTGAAAAACAAAGAAACAAGCTAAAGGTGACCTGGAGAAGATACGGCAAAAACATGCTCACAATTGGCAAATCATCTCCACTCCACAACCCATGTAGTCTAGGCTGGTAGTGACAAAGCCAGGATATAAAATTGAAAAGTGGGGAAATGGGAAGCAGATTCAAGCCATTGTCAAGAGACACTAACATGCATAGAGAACTTGGCAACCCACATTGACAAAATTTACAGACAAGTGCAGCCTTGACTTGCCCAAATTTAATGTACACTAGTCATAGGTGATGCAAGTGTTGCCACATATAAATGCAAATTCAATCTTTTGAAGCAAGTACTACAGCAGAATGATGGTTCGTTTATTGACAGTTTTGCTCACTGAAGTAAACAAAAGCAGAGGAGAACAGATAAGAAAACTAAAATGTATAGCATGAAAAAGGGGGAAAAATGAAGGATGGTATTACTGTATCAGGCAAAACTGACAAAGGAAAGCAAGTAAAACGAATTTACAGAAGATCAAGAACACGCAATCAAGATTAAAAAAAAATGCCAAGAGAATGTTTGCTAAGAGAGAAATGCTTTATTAGTGGATGTCAATATAACAAAAAACAGTACTCTCTAGTCTCTACCCATATATTCTGCTACTTTCAGAAAGATGCCTGCAAGACTACCAAATTTATATGCATAGGAGAATATATTCTTCGCTTAAGTAGCGGGCAATGGGAACAGAATGTTTGGTTCTGGGAAGATAACTGATGAGAACAGGCTTGCAAATTCATCCTGAAACTCCTTCTATTTATTTATTTTATCCTAAGCTATCCAATCAGAAATTATAGCTGCTCCAATAGAAACTGATCAGTGATCGATTCCTCTACTGTTTCAGCTTTACAAATTAGAGCACAAGAACTCAATGGAAACAAAATATTTTATTTTAAAATGTGCTGCTGAAATAGCTCAAGGACAAGCTCTTGATTTGTGAGTTCAAAGAAAGTCTTTATGTGCTGGAGTAGTTTTGTAATTCCAAGAGATTGTCTCTGACATTGCTCCCAACGGTAGGTAAGAAAAGGACATTTATTTTCCAAGAAATCTGTTTTTCGTGTATTGTAACATGCAATGTATATCTACAGCACACCAGCTAACCAATGGTGCTTATGTTCTTCATCCAAAAGGTTAACGCAAGTTGGTATGGTTTTGCTCTATTGAGCATAGCTAGAACATTCTAGCACCACTGCAGCGGATATGCTGGGCTAGTCCAACAAGGCAAGCAAATTATCAGGTGTTGCTGGGCCAAGTTGGGTGCCCGCATGTTACTGGAACAGTGACAAGGTATGAATATTGAAGATTTATCCGTCTTTGGAATTTTCAGCAGAAACTTGATAGAATAAAATCAAGGCAGTAACAAAATAATACTAAGGACATGGATAAGGTTCGGCTAAAGGAACAAAAGTATAAACCTACCTTTGGATGTTATGGCTATGGCCATAGTTTACAGGGCTTTTGCTTTCCTATCATCAGTTCACCAACTTCCTTGACATCCTGAAACTGGGCCCGCAAGCAGCCTAGCAGGGCAGGGCAGCAGGTCTTTCATGAACAGAGGAGCCGACCCTTATGGGAGCTTAAAAACTTGTTCCCGAGGCAATCTCATAATAGAGGGCATAACCTTAGATAAGGCACTAGGGACTACTCCAAAGATAATAGCTGATCCACAGACCTTCCATGTAATTGTTCCTCCATTCAGCAAACATTTCTGCTTGACAAAAATGTTTCACACACTCTTGTTCTCCTTCCAGTTTTTTTTTTCTTCCGACTACATTGTTTTTCTTCTCCTATAATTTTTTCCCGTTTTCTCATCATCTCATCAGGTCTTTTAATCACATTTTTTATTTGCTCTTTCTTAAGCCAAGTAATAGCATTGCAAATAGTACAAAAGATTAATCAGAAATTAGCCTGATTTATGCCAGCACAACAACAATTGATGGATTTGGTTATTGCAATGCAGTTACTTTAGTTTTGGATCTCAATAGGAAGGTGAAGCTATGAATATATATATCTACAGCTTCTCCATCAAAATGTATGCACTCTTCATGGCTCATGGCATATTCAAATCAAGTTGGTACGTCCCTTGTGGTGGGAAATCTTTGTATTGTAACTTGAATTAGCCAAGTGTTGTTCCCATGAAACAAAAAAAAACTAAGATTTTGAGGTGTGTCTGAATCTGTTCATCAGAAGCCACATCAAGCATGGTTTATCAACTCTCAAGGACTGAATCCAACTGTTTTCAGAAAATGTGGAAGATCTAACTGAGTTACAATGATTCATCTTGGATCACTAGTATATAAGTCAGCTATAAGCACTCCTAGGTTAAAAAAAAAAGATTAAAAAACGGGGCTCTTCTGTACAAGTTTCTTCATCTTATCACAGTGAAAGAACTATTTGTGGCATTCAACTGACCATACGCAGTAGCAAAACCTCAGTGATCATAAAATATTATCCAGAAATACTTTGGCATCACATGCATTGCACATTAGTACAAAACAAAACTGTAGAAAATGACCAAAAACATATGTCTGGGGCAAAATATGGATGTGTGAGATGCTTGATGCCACATTTTATCATTTTAAGTGGCTATTGTTAATCAAGAGCTCTGCTACATTTGTAGGATGCAAAGAGAGATCTCTGAGGAAGTAGCAACCACATAAAAAGATCTAAACAGACATTTTATAGCACAAGTGCTAAATTTCCTACCTGATGAATTGATGATATCTCCAGTACTCAATATAGCCCCAGAATCCTCAGCTCTGTAACATGATTAGGATCAAGGTCAGGAACTCCATCAGTTCCTTCAAGATCCTCTACAATATACTCCTGCCATCAGAGGAATATCAAATACTGTGAGGTGTGAATAGAACTTTAAATACAAGCTTTATGTGGTATACAAGAAGATAATATGCCATAGGCAGGAAGGGAACCATGTGTGGGGCAACTAGAGCTCAGGTCCCACATGGCAAAAAAAGCTATAACAAAGGCAATGCTCTAGTCCTAGGCTTGGAAGAATCTCGGCTACACCCCTGGCCATAAGGAAAAGGGAAGAATGTAAATAGAACACTTTTCGCATCATAAAAAAACTGTCAGCTAAGAAAGAATCTACATTATGTCATAAGAAACCTCATTTTGTGTTCCCTGCTGGGGCCATCATGGTCTACCATTAAATCATTGATTAGGCAGTCTTTTCACCCTTATTACTAATACACCCACAACTTATTTATTTAATTTCACTAAAACAAACCAACCTTGTTTTCGCAAATAGAGATGAGAGAGTCTGTTCACAACCTTATAAGGTCATGTAATGGTTGGAATAAGTAAAAAAAAAAAAGATGAAGAAATCTGCATGTTTTTGTGCATATACAGATTGAACAGTTGATGGCACTACTATTAATATTTCAATGACACAGTGTAGTTCTTGAAAATGAAAAGATCAGTCAATGAAAATTGTGTTTCCATCTTTATGTTCTTTAACCAACCTTGGTTAACTCTTGCTTTGCAAGAACATGGTAATGCCGTTCTGTGATCCTCTGCCCACATATTATAGCTATGAAGAATCCATACAGCAAACCAACCAAAACAATAGCCAATACTGCAATTTAAGTAACATTTAAAACGTTAATTATTTTGTCAACAAGTTTTTAACGTAGAAGTAGAGGATATAGTTCTTATTCCTGTACACAGACAACATTCACAGGGCAAAAATATGTACATCAAGACCTGTGCAATCACATGCATTGAGTTAAATGCCAACAAAGGAGATATGTGCTATCGGCGTTCTCATCTAATCTGCCAGTTGCTTTTAGTTCCCTCTGACCACATAGACTTTTGTTTTGACTATGTTACAATTCGTGCAGTCTTCTAAAAGAACCATGGAAACAAATCCCTCTGAAAAGCATCTTCCGTGATTCCATTTACATAGAGAGCACTTAGATAATCATGGACGCCCAACATTAAGTGTAGTATATGTTATCTTTCATCTCAAAGGCCCAAAGCTATAGCTGCCATTATAAACTGCGCGATGATCTTCACAATACATAAAAGCAATTCTACATAAATTGCACTGTACTTTGGTTCCACACCATATTTTTAAATGGTAGCTATAAGTATGAAATGAAAGATGTAATAGAATGGAGTGACTTTCTTTAGAGACATAAATGCCAGGCCATGTTGACAGTACATGTCATGAACTGGATCAACATGAACAGATGCTACACAAGAAAACGATAAGTTTTTCAGTTCTCTATGAGCTTTCTAGATAAGATGCAGTTCATGACATTTCCAGATATCACTATGAAAAAGTAACTTACTTGCCATTGCATAAAAAGCATATGGATGCTCTTCATAACCAAACATTTCTCGTAGTTCATCTCCATAAAATCTGTATACTAGCATACCCAATAAAGCAACAACCTATCAGGCAGGAAAACGGATAAGATTGTAAGACAAAAACAAAGATGCATCTTACAGCAGCACATCGTGACCATTTTCAGGCCTCTTTCTTGTGCATTTATTCAAAAACGTTTATCTTTTGGATCTCACGCCAGAAATCATGGCAATGTATTAGTAAGAAGTCAGTGAACTAACTACCACATCTCTTCAAAGAAATGGTGATATCAATATAAATCCATAAAATCATTACTGCTTTATACATTAACAGAATAAGGTGCAACCATGTCATGCTTGAGTTCAGTATTGTAGCATGTTCATTTTTTAGGGTAAACAGTTGGAGAAATCCTACTGAGATGTATTCAGTATTGGTTCAGTAAAGAAAAAACAGTTTGTTGAATTAGATTACAGAAGGTGTGGAACTCGTACCAGTTGTACAATAAAAAAAATCAACGTGTGATCTCTAACAACCAGAAGTTGAAACTTCAATCTCAACCACCATCGATCTGGAGGAACATTTGCACGAAGTAAGAAGGCAGCCCGACACTCAGTGCAATGTGAAAAGGCAAAACCTTCCTGGTGGAAATGTAACATAGAAACTAGGTCAGAGCTGGATTAGGTTAATGATTAACTGGATTCTGCGATGGCAGTAAATATAGGTACATGAAGCATAAAGAGCAAATGTTCATGAATCCACCTTTGTTGATCTCCAGTTATCAAGACAGGATCGATGCACGTATTTCTGTGTGCCCTTGCAATGACAAGGTGCAATCAAGTCATCACCTGCTTGTAGTGGATATGGAAAAAATATCAGATCAAATGTAGACTCAACATAAAAATATGAATATTATCAAAAAAAAAATCGAAAGCCTTTATGGCACTCCATAAGAAAGATACTTCAAGTCACAGAATGGACCTTCATTATCAAGGCAAATCCGGCATTGTGGACAGTCTTGAATGACAAGGTGGGTTTCTTCGTTAGCATCAATAGTTTCAATGTCTTCATCAACACCCAGTGGCTTGATTTCACATGAAACTAGATGCTCTGTGGAGCTTCCTGCTGTACTTGATTCAGAAACTATCTGCTGTGAAGCTGGCACTTCTGCACAATCACAGCTGGAAGCAAGCTCTGTTGCTTCATCTGCTTGAGTGGCATGAGATGCCAACTGCATTATGAACAATACTGAAATCATGTCCGGACATCATCAAGCAAACATTTCACCAGTCATGTGTTGAAATTAAATCCTGCAGGGGCAAAAGGACCAACAAACCTAACAATAACTAACAATTTATAGCTGAAAGGGTATAGCAGTTTATACTCTGTATAAAATACAAGCCACTTGTATTAACAATAGTAGCTGAATGTACTCCTTTTGGGTATTGATTAATGATTAATGAAAGTTCTCTTTCTGCGCAAAAGAAAGGTACAAGCCACATTACTAAGTTGCGCAGAATTGGTTTCGTCCTGATGGTTTGAAGTATGGATATTAGTACCCTCCTCTTCAGTTAGCAATCAGGGGAAGGAAGGTGATAAGTTATACTCCAAAAGCTATGGTAATAGGATCATGTGCTGTCACTAGGGCTGCTTTCTGCTAGTGCTTTGGCGAACTTTTAAGCAAAATTGATGTGATTCGTAGAAAAATACGTTAATAAATGAGTATGTGTTACTTCTGCACCACTTGCATGTCCTACAACATTCCTCTGATTTACGGGCTCTGTTAACAGCATTGGGTTGAGTAGAATCTAGAAATTAGCAATTGGATGCATCAAAAAACTTTGAAATGTTCAAGAATTCAACAACGAGCATCAACGGGCAATAACTGATACCGCTGCAGTGAATACTACACGGGGACCAATGATTAACGCTACTCTCCCTCAACCCAGCAGCAACCAAACCCAATAGGTGGGAATCCAATTCCAACAGCACATGTGCTCGAGCTAGTATATCCTGGTACCAAATCATCAAATCACCTCATCCAATCCAAGGGGATTCCACATCCCAATTCCGATTCCCCTCCCAAGGCTATACTCTCCTCTCCAACCAAATCACACACCACCACCCCCCCCCCCCCCCTCCCCCCAAACTGATCGGTGCGTGCGACGCGGGCTCTCGAACCAAATCACCTGCAACACCCCCCGCGTCACACCACCCACCACCTATCTATCACGCAGGTTGGGTTGAACCGTTGAAGGCAGCTGCTGCTTACCCACGCGCTGGAACGGATCTCCCTCCAATGGGGGGAGCGCGGCTGCGAGATCCGGCGGAGGTGTAGATGGGCCGGGGGCGGTCGTGGCCGGCGAGCGGCGGCGGCGGCGGCGGTGGCGGTGGCGATGTTCTGGAAGAGTGGAGAGGCGGGGAGGAGGGACGAGGAGGAGACCGGGACAGGGGCGCGGCCGTCGTCGGTCAGCAGCAGCGCGGAAAGCAGAGAGAATCGAGGGGGCGTGGACCGCATGGTGGAATGGAATGGGAACATAAAACTAACACGTCAAAGTTCAAACGCGATTAAACAAGTGCTCAAAACAGTTTTGTGCCTTATTAAAACGAATAAAAACATTTATCTTGTCAAAATCCTAATATTAACAGTAAGTAGAAAATTATAAAATACAATTGATATTCAGTACTGTTCATGTCATAATTATTTTGTCGCGATGCGTTTTGTGTCGGGTTGGGTTTAATAACATGTGTTGGGGGGCGCTGATACAATGATACACGATAAGCCACGCGCCCCCATGCGCGCGGGGTCAGTCGCCTCCCCTCTAGTCTCTTCTCTGTATCTACTACTATACTTGTGTATATACTACATATACATATGTATATACATATGTATATACGTGTGTGTATATATTTATGAATATTTTTTAACGCATAAAAAATATATACACATATACAAAGTTTATATACAATGTATACAAAGTTTATATAGGATATATATAAACTTTGTATACGATGTATACAAACTTTATATACATACGTATTAAAAAATAAAAACAAGAAATTGCATCACGTATACAAAGTTTGCATACGTGTATATAAACTTTGCATATGTACGAATACAAAACTTGGTATTCATACATTAAAAAACCGAAAAAAAACAGAAGGGAAACCGAAAGAACAAGGAAAAACCAAACGGAACAGAAACGGAAAAAAAAAAGCCAAACAAACAGAAACGGAAAACACGGAAAAAAAAAAGGAAAAGTCGGACTCTCGCGCGGCGCGTCCGCCGCTCCCTCCCCACGCGCGACACGTGTCCAGTCGCACGGGGAGGGATGCGCGCGACTGATCGCCCAATAGCCTTCTCAACATGTGTTTGCGTGAACTGAAGTTGCGCGAGTCAACTATATATGTGTCTATGGTCCTTTTTCGTGTCAGATAAACTTAGAATGAAGATGAGATAGAAATAGGCATTCCTTCCTCGTTTTGGATATATTCATTTGAAATCAGGCCCCCACGTTTTGAAAAGTATGTTGATCTAGAAAGTTTACGAGCCCCATTGATTGTCCTAATAAGCCAAAGCTAAAGCCAAAATTTATATTTTCAAATTTAATTTTGAATTTGATTTTAAGATATTTTCAACGTAGTTTTTTTAACATTAGCTTTAAGTCGCAAAGAATACATATATAAAAAATTTTACCTATAAATTAATTTTTATTTTCTAATAAGTCGTTTTGACTTATTAGAGAATATGTGTAACCAATTAGGACCTACACATAGAAACTTTTAGCATAGAAATATTCTACATAGAACTATTGCATGGAAATTTATACATATGTATTTGAAAACAGAAAAGCAAGTTTGAGAATAAAGAGAAAAAACACAACACCTATTTGGGCCATGAGGCCCATGTATCTCATAAAAATGTTGGATGGAATGGCGCGGAAGAGTGATGCGTAATGCGAACTGAAAAACCAAATGTGCTCTAACTGTTGCCAGAACTAGGTTGGAACATGTTCACGTGATAGCCTTTTTTCCTTGTGATCTAGCTATGCGATGGATTATCTTTGTAAAATATTAGGCTTGTTCGGATTGTAGCAAAGATTGTCACATCAAATCTTAGAATTGCCGCAGTTTGTTAGCCAAAGTGATTACTATAACTATTATATGCCATACATTTTGTTTGGTACCAAATATCGCCGCACTTGTGACGAAAAAATTATTCATAACTTACAATCTGATCGACACATGGCACTTTGTGTTACCTCAAGTGTGCATTGGCACCGTAAAACCCTGCATACAAGTCGATGAATGCTTAAGTTCAGTCATGATAACGTAAGATGGAGACCTTCATCCAACAACGACCGTCTAGATGAGTCGGAGCTAGTGGAGATACAACGAGCCATAGTTATAATACAACAAAATAGTCAGTTGGTTTATTTTCTTGTTCCTTCACTTATTTCCTATCCCGATCTCACCTCTTATAACCCATTTGCTAAATAAATCCTCAGTGAAGGGTTGGTATCAAATGAGACGGAAAGAATCATATTTTAGGATGTAAAATTTTACTTTTGGTAGTGGTCTCTATCCTATTTGCCTGAGTTATAATGTTTTAATATGGGGTGTATATGAGAGTATGGACTAATACCTTGTCAATCCGCAAAGGAAAAGTCTATACATATTAAGGCCCTCTTTGTTTAGGCTTATAAACCAACTTATAAGTCGAAAAGTCTAAGCCTAAACAAACAAGCAGCTTTTCTGTTTGGCCTTTTTAAAGCCATAAGCCACTCTAACACTATTAAGCCAAAAGCTAGGTTGGAGAAGCTTTTTTGGCTTATGTGAGGTAGATGTATGACTCAACTACTAAACTTAGGACATTAAATCCACCGGCTTATAAATCATATAAGCCAATAAGCTGACTTAAAAGTCTAGGCCAATAAGCCTAAGCCTAAACAAAGAGGGCCTAAATTGTGTCATACCAAACTCTTACAAACACTACATCTTACGTCGTGACTCGTGAGTACATCTAGATTGTCTATAGCTTTTATCTACTTAAATCAAACAGCTAAGGTTATTGTTTATAAGAGTTTTGTAGAGAGAGAGAATCTATTATATATATGCCATTGAGTTTGTCGTAAGTCCCCGCAAAAAAAAATTGAGTTTGTCGTAAGTCTACGATTTACCACTGACTTTGTTACATTCTACAATATGCCATCGACTTTTGCTTAACTTCTACGATTTACCATCGTTGTCCGGTTAGCCTCCGTTATACAATTTTGTCTAAATGACCAAAATACCACAAGGACAAAAACTTCCAAAATTTGGATTTTTTTCCAAAATATCATATTGTAAACATCCAAAATTTGGCAAAAACTTAAAATATGATATTTCAAAAATTTTGTTCAAATTTTGAAAGTTTTTATCCTAGGGGTATTTTGGTCATTTGGATAAGATTGTATAATACTAACAGAGGCTAACCAGATAGCGATGGTAAATCGTAAAAGTTAAGCAAAAGTCGATAGCATAATGTACAACGTGACAAGTCAGTGGTAAATTGTAGACATGTGATAAACCTAGGGCCATATAATGAATTCTCTCGTGTTGAGGCTTGCATATGTAGCAATGCTCATAAGCAAAATTATAAAAATATACTTCTTCCATCCCACAAATGATCTTGTTAGACGGTATGCACTCTTGTGCAACTTTTTGCGTTTATGTTAGACATACAACCATATATGTGGCATGTGACTTTGGAGGTGCACACTAAAGAACATGTACACACAAAATACGTCTCAAGTGCCCTGTTAGAACATTCTCAAGCAATGTTTATCATCTTGTCTAGTACTAGTTTCTATAGCCTATAGCATGGCTTGTGTTCCTTTTGTCCTTTTGATGTTCCTCCCCTCGTTACTCCATCAAGAGAATTGAAGCGTGTTCACCATATGTCACACAAGGTCAGTAGCCCACCATTCAAAATTCAAACCCACAGCTGTGTATACAACCAAAATTCAAACCAATCACCTTCAAACCACCAAGGTGGGAAAAAAAGAAGAAGAAAATAAATCCGCGGGCTCCCCTCCTATCATCCGCAACCGCAAGGCCGCTCCTGCGATTAAAGGCTAGCGATCCATCCACCCATCCGTCCGTCCATCTGTCTCATTATCCATCCATCCATCCCCATCCAAACCGCGCCCACCTCCGCTCGAATTCAAAAAAAACCCGCACACCATAAAAACCCCACCCCACCCCACACAGCACGCCTCCGCACCCGTCTCCATTTCAAATCCACGCAAAGCTTCCCTCCGCCCCGCTCCCCCCCCCCCAAACCCTAGCTCCAAGATCCCTCCCCCTTCGCGGGCGCGCCGCCGCGGCCTCCCGGATGGACCCCGCGGGGCTGCGTGTGGCCTCGGATCCCGCCGGATCGGGCGCGTCGTCCCCGCCGCCGCCGCCGACGACGACCACGAAGGTGGGGTGGGGGGGGGGTGGTCTTGGATGTTGGTGTCGTTGGTTCTTGGTTTTGGATTTGGGGAGCCTGGATTTGACGTTGTGGTGTGTGTTCTTGCAGGAATTGGGTCGGGCGGTGGCTGCGGAGGCGTCGTGCGGGTCGCGGGCGGCGGTCGGATTGGGAGGTGGGGGGTTCTCGGCGCTTCTTGATTTTCTTTTCTTGCCGTCTTGGTTCCTGATCTGTGCTGGTTGGATGATTCTTGGCGCGGGGGTGATCTGGAAATGCTAGTTTTTTACTTTCTTGGGTGGTAGTTGTTCTTGAACTCTTTGTATGCAGTAGTACTTCATTCGCTGGCAGCACAGAATTTCGACATGTGACGGTAGATTATGGTGCTTCTCTACAGATCTAAGCGTATGAGTAGATCGAATTTTCGATTAGCCTTTCTTGTAGCTGTAATTAAGAATTCTTGTTTGCTTCTGTTGAGGAGCGAATTGACATAACAAACTCAGCATATTTCTGTACCGCTACCAACATAAGATTACTCCTGGATGTGTAGAATGTGCAAATGATAAATTCAGGATGAAACTGCTGTTGACAATTGATTTCTGTGCCATGCAAAGTTAATAATTCGTGAGTGTTACTCTTTTCTATTGCCATAAACCAATGTTTTGAAAAGCGGTATGTGGTTTCGTGCGGTCACCCCACCTTGTAGAACTTATGCGGCTTAAGCGGTACAAGGTTGGGTCACTCGTTCCTTGTATGCATCCTTGTACAGGGCCTTGTACACTTTTTTTTAAAAACACGGCTATAAACCCATGCATTCCTGATTCCTATTATGTACTGTACACATCCTTAGCCTCAATTCACACCACTGAATTCCTATTATGTACTGTACACTGTCCAAGGCATGATTTATCCTAATTGACCGTGTTACTGGTTACTTCCCTTAATCTTTGCACTGCTAATGCTTACTAATTATTCTATATCATGTAGATATGAGAGTGGGGATTTCAGATTCGTCAGATCGAGCAAAATCTTGTCTACATCCATGTGACAAGAAAGATACACCTCAAGTTACTGCTGAAGTTGCAACAAGAAGTGAAGATGGAGAGCCCTCATTGCTTGAGACTGGTTCATTTCTTCAGCCAGAGGCTGCCTGCCTCACCTTGGGCCGTTCTTCTGATGCAGCAGAGGTGAACAATTTGTGTGATAAAGAAAACATCAGGACAGACTTGCAACCTAAGCCTGATGTAAGACATGTAGAGAACAGAATGAATGGTGCACCTCTTGGATTGGATCTTAATATAGTAGATTCTTCCAATGCTGCAGAACTTAATCCCTTCTTTCCTTACAAGAAGTTGGGGCAGACGAAAGTTAGTGATCCGTCAGAGTGTGGTAGCACAACTGGGGCTGTAGGAGAGAGTGAGTCACACAGGAAGTGGAGAGAAATGAAGCAGAATGGGTTCCTTTCTTCATCTCAAGGAACTGCAGTGGGTCCTAGGCCGCGCGGTCGACCCATCAAAAGGAAAAGAGACGATGAATCCAAAAGGAACACTTTTGCTCAGAAGGAACAGACAAACAAGTTCATGAAGGTTGCTGCTCCGAGTGGCCTATTATCTGGGCTAAACCCTGGAATCATTAACCATGTGAGAAACAGCAAGCAAGTTTACTCCATAATAAAGGCTATGGTGCACTCTGAGAATCTTGAGAAAGAGAACCAGGCAGTTCATGCTAGTCAAACAGGCGAAAGAGGGAGAGAATTTAGTGAGAAGGCTCAGGACCAGAGATATGGGGGTAATATGATGAATTGCCACTTCTTGATGAAAGGTAGCAACATGCCGTTTCACCAAGGGTTGCCTACTGCTTCACAATTCCTTCCAGAGGACGGTGATGATCTGAAACTGCAACTCTCATCAGCAGTCACTATGGCTTCAGACAGGACCTGCAGTACATCAGCCGATGATTTTGCATCTAATCATGATTACATGACTGTGTTATCAGTAAAAGGTATACTTGATCTCTTATTTCGTCAATCATACACTCTCACCAGAACTGCATTGTTCACTGTTTGTAGAATTATCTATACCTGACAGTTGCCTTGCCTTTTTGATGATCAGCGGCCAATGTTGCTTCTCAGTGGTTGGAGCTACTACAGCAGGACATCAGAGGGCGCCTTGCTGGTACTAATTCTTGAGTTTGAAACATAATTCAAAGCTGTAACCCATACATTCTGCTTAATATGCTTTCTTTATTCTTGAAGCTTTGAAGCGCAGCAAGAAGAGAGTCAGGAATGCCCTTCAGACTGAACTGCCCTACCTAATATCAACAGAATTTTCATATAACCAAGAGAACGAACCATCCGTTGTACATTCTTCTGATGGTGGATCTACTGGAAAAACAGTTCCAGAAGCGCATGTGGCACGATGGCGGTCTCTTTTTCTTCAGATGGACAGAACACTTCAGGAGGAGGGGATGCATCTGGTGAGTTTTTTTCATAATAGTGTTCATTATAGGTGCACAAAACTAGCATATTCTCGCAATATCGCCTTTTATGACAAAAGCATATGTGCATGCGCAATTGCACATCCATTCTGGTAAGCAGTGTTCCACTACTGACACCGTGCTAAATTACTGTTGCAGGAGAATCGGTTGAAGGAAGTGCAAGAAATGCAAATGAATTGTGAGAAAGGGCTCAGATACATGGCTTGCGAGGCTCCATTAGTAGGACCAATGGCTGAATTATGGTTAGCTCATCATCACCTCTCAACGTATTCGATTCGATCCACCCTTTTCTGTTAGATGAGACTTAGTTGAACAAAGTACTCAAATATATAGCAACTAAATGTCTTACTCCCTCCGTCCCAAAATATAAGTATTTTTAGCTATGAATCTGTCCAGATTCATAGCTAAAAATGCTTATATTTTAGGACGGAGGGAGTAGTTTCCAAGTCATTTCACTTTATGCGTGATATATCTTACTGAAATACTACTACTACGATGTCTTTCAGGAAACTGAAGAACTCGGAGACTCCTGAGAGCGAGTGGGCAGTGCAAGCTGCTGCCGCTTCCATCTACTCGACTTGCAACCTGGTCATGAGAACCGAGAATGTTTCTTGCTTCTGATCTCTTCTCACAACTGGAATTAGTTTCTTGCTTCTTCTTTTTTCTTTTCTTTTTCATTTTACTGATCTTTACCTCAGTCAGCGTTGTGTGTTAGGTTATGTTTTTTTTTCTCTCTTTATCTATAGCCTGGCAATGATCTCATGTTGAGTAAATCTGCAGTGGTTTGTGCTGCACTGCTTCATGTAACGTGAAATACTCTGTAACGTCTGCTGTTTCCAACTTACAATTTCACAGCCGCGTGAAATAACAAATTTATTCCTGTATATTCACCCTGTTTCAAAATGTTTGGAGTGGAGTAAGCTTGAACTAAAATAGTCTGTGATTAATTAAGTATTAGCTATTTTTTTTTAAAAAATATATTAATTTGATTATTTTAAGCAACTTTTTATAGATTTGTTTAAAAAAGCACACCGTTTAATAGTTTAAAAACGTGTGTTCGGAAAACGAGGCAGGGTTAGGAACCCAGAACACCGAACTAATTAAGCGCAAATTTCAGAAAAAAAAAGGTACGGAGTATACCAAGAGCAAGTTTAATAGTATAGCCAACTACTAGCTATAAATCATCTATAGTCAACTTAATAGCCAATTCATACAATAGTTACGTACTACACTATTAACATCTAGTCCCACTTATCATACACACATTGTGTCTTGGAGTCCGTGCTATAGCTGGCTACAAATCTGTAGTATCTGCTCTAAGCAGCAAGTGGAAATACGGACACAAAAAATGTAACATAAAAAATGTAACATGGCCGGGCCCACCAGTCAGTGTCAGTGGACTGGGCCGTTGACCAGACGTGTACCCCACCGGCCAGTCGGCCCGGGCCGGTTTAAACCCTCTCCGCCGCCGTCGCCCCGCGGCCGCCACCTTCCCATGTCCACCTCCCCCACCGCCGCCAACCACCTCCTCGCCCTCCTCCGCCGCAACGCCGCCTCCCCCGCCGTCGCGCTCCGCCTCTTCCTCCACCTCACCTCCGCCGCGTCCCCGCCGTCGCCGCACTCCACCTCATTCCTCGCCCGCATCCTCGCCGCCGCCGCCGCCCACGACGCCGCCCTCCTCCCGAGCCTCCTCCGCCACCTCCTCTCCCTCCCGGACCCCGCGCCGCACCTCCTCGCGCTCCTCTCCTCCTCATCGTCGCCGCTGCGCCTCCCGCTCGGGTTCTCCCTCTCCGCGTTCCGCTCCCTCTGCGCGCTCCCCTCCGCGCCGCCGCCGCCCACCCCCGTCTACAACCGCCTGCTCCTCGCCGCGCTCCAGGAGGCCCGATTCGACCTCGTCGAGTCGCTCTACAAGGATCTCCTCTTGTCCGGCGCCGCCCCGGACGTCTTCACGCGCAACATCCTGCTCCAGGCGCTCTGTGCCGCTGGCCGGATGGAGCTCGCCCGCAGGGTGTTCGACGCAATGCCGGAAAGGAACGAGTTCAGCTTCGGGATCCTGGCGCGTGGGTACTGCCGTGCGGGGAGGAGTATGGACGCGCTTGGGGTGCTCGATTCAATGCCAACGATGAATTTGGTGGTATGCAACACAGTAGTCGCGGGGTTCTGCCGCGAGGGCCAGGTGGATGAGGCTGAGAGGCTAGTTGAGCGCATGAGAGATGAGGGTCTTGCTCCAAATGTGGTCACATTCAATGCGAGGATCTCTGCACTCTGCAAAGCTGGGCGGGTGCTAGATGCATACAGGATATTCAACGACATGCAGGAAAAATGGGAGAGAGGTCTGCCGAGGCCTGACCAGGTGACGTTTGACGTGATGCTGAGTGGGTTCTGTGAGGCTGGTATGGTGGATGAAGCAAGAGTCCTGGTGGATATTATGAGGTGCGGTGGTTTCTTGAGGCGGGTTGAGAGTTACAACCGTTGGTTGTCAGGGCTGGTGAGGAATGGAATGGTTGGGGAAGCACAGGAGCTGCTGAGGGAGATGGCGCATGAGGGTGTTCAACCTAATAGCTACACCTACAATATTATTGTGGATGGGTTGTGCAAGGAGGGCAAAGCGTTTGATGTGAGGAAAGTGGAGGATTTTGTGAAGAGTGGTGTCATGACACCAGATGTTGTGACCTATACTAGTTTGCTCCACGCTTATTGCTCAGAGGGAAATGCTGCTGCAGCCAATAGGATTCTTGATGAGATGGCACAGAAGGGGTGTGCCCCGAATTCATTTACTTACAATGTTCTGCTGCAAAGTTTGTGGAAAGCTGGTAGGATTACAGAGGCAGAACGATTGTTAGAGAGGATGAGTGAGAAAGGATACAGCTTGGATACAGCAAGCTGCAATATCATTATTGATGGACTATGTAGAAACAACAAATTGGATATGGCCATGGACATTGTCGATGGCATGTGGAACGAAGGTAGTTTGGCTCTTGGCAGATTAGGTTATTCATTCCTAAGTTTACTTACTGATTCTTCCAGCAGCAAAAGATGTCTTCCTGACCGAATCACTTATTCTACACTGGTGAGTGCATTGTGCAAAGAGGGCAGGTTTGATGAAGCAAAGAAGAAATTGCTTGAGATGATAGGCAAAGATATCTCTCCTGATTCGGTTCTATATGATACCTTTATTCATGGGTATTGCAAGCATGGGAAGACTTCTCTGGCTGTTAAGGTCCTGAGGGACATGGAAAAGAAAGGTTGCAAGCCAAGCACAAGGACATACAACTTGTTGATATGGGGATTTCGGGAAAAACACAATTCAGATGAAATCCTTAAATTGATTAGTGAAATGAAGGGGAAGGGGATTTGTCCCAATGTCATGACCTATAATAGCCTGATAAAGTCATTTTGTGAACGGGGAATGGTGAACAAGGCCATGCCTCTTTTAGATGAAATGTTACAGAATGAAATTGTTCCTAATATAACTTCTTTTGAGTTGTTGATTAAGGCTTTCTGCAAAACTTCAGATTTCTCTGCAGCTCAGAGAGTATTTGATGCTTCTCTGAGTACATGTGGTCAGAAGGAAGTGCTCTATAGTTTAATGTGCACCCAGTTATCTACTTATGGTAGATGGTTGGAAGCCATGAATATTCTAGAAACAGTGCTTGAATTAAGGATCTCTATCCATAGATTCCCATATAAGCAGATTATTGAGGGACTCTGCAAAGTTGATGAGGTGGATCATGGACATAGGTTACTCAAGCTGTTAATGGTTAAAGGATATTCATTTGATCCAGCAGCATTCATGCCAGTGATTGATGCATTGAGTGAAAGGGGAAAGAAGCAACATGTTGATATGCTCTCACAAAAAATGATGGAAATGGCAGAGCGTGATAATGGTCTTGCAGCTCCTTCTGGCGAATTTAAGCCTAGAAGTCAGAAGCATGGACAGGACAAGCATGCTGAAAGTGATTGGCATGCTCTTTTGCACAGGTATTGTGATGACAAATTTAGTTCTGATGTGTTTGTGACATTTTCTTTAGTCTATTTTCTTGTGCAAGTTTTTGCATTGGTTAGACTAGCAACAAAGCATTATAACTGATTTAGTATATAAAGCATATGTACTCAGAACCTAGAAATGAAATTTATCCTGTCTAGAAAAATAGGTCTGCACTTTCTACCTTTGTGTGTCGAACTTGAGCTGCAACGGATTGATTTTGTTGCTGATTCAACAGAGATGACAGTGCTCGCACAGTCATGAAAATCACCAAGAGAGTGAAGACAGGATGGGGTCAAAGAGGCAACGTTTATGAGAATAAGCAGCAGCAGAATGATGACATTTATGTACTAGAAAACACTGGCTGAGTAAGTTTCTCTTTACCCTAGATTACATGCAGACAGTAGAAGCTTATGAATGATAATAAGTTTTAGAACTTGCTTGTAACTAGCTAATACAACTTGAAAGCACATATGTTGTAAGCTTCAATATGGATGGTTAACATATAAGTAGATCGCAACATATGAAAGGTGAGTATAATAAGGCAACAAATTTCATTTCATCTTCATTGATAACTCATAACCACTCTTTGGTTGAATGTTGTACTCTCTATTCATCGAAAGATCCACTGATATGTTAACACATGCGCTAGATTACCTGTCTGAGGTTCATACTGTCCAAGCACTTCTTTTGTTCTACAACCCACTAAATATCATGTATGTTGGCACTTTAAGATCATCGTTACATGACAGCACTACTATATAGTAGATTTTTGCATATAATAGGTTTTTTTTTTGTTTTGCTGTGCAGTGTTGCTATTTTAGGCTACCTTTCAGAAAGAGTTATGATTAAAGCAATTATGTCAAGAAAGACATGTCAAAGGATCTAACCCTATATCTGGTAAGTTTTGCAATTAAGTACATGAGCAGCATGTGTTTGCCACACTATTGTTGCGCTCAACATCTCACATGTTCAGTGCATTGTGCTGTTATATTTACTCTTCTTTGGAGTTTGGACTAACAGTATAATAGTTATGATTGGCAAATGAATGATAATTCTTTATATAAATTATGTCGAATTCATACAATCCAGCATAAGAAAAAACAAATCTACCTTTAAACTGGGCATTCAGATGTCGGTGTACTACAATGAATTGCAGCTTTTGAAACTAGAGCAATCCCTGTTTTCTTTTGCCATTAAAACAACAACGTTCAGTTATATTGTGGGGTTTTTAATACTCTATTCTAAACTTTCAGATTCCCTGTGAATGGGTGTTAAGCTATACATAGGTAAGTTTTACTGGTTTGGGCCCAAATGCAATTGATCTGATTTTAAAGCTCTATACTATTCTGAGACGTTCGAAACTATGTTTGCAACAATATATATGCAATACAGCTTGATTCATACAACTTAATGTAAGTTTTTCTGAATGCTGAACTAATCGTTCTTGCTTATTTTTGTATAGGGATTCGATGTGAACTGAAGCGACAGTTGATGATGAATGTTGTGCACAGCTGCACATCCCATTGATTTGTGCTAGATTGGGACCTTCATCTGCGCCGCCTCTGGGGAAACCCAACGTTAGTACATTCGATTATTTGCACAGTGTCATACTTTGTCTAAATCATAGTTCGATATCAATTTTGGCCAGCTTCATTGGCAACTGTTGCACTTGGGCAAGTCTGTTGTGTGCAAATGAGTATACATTGTTTATTTACTCTTATTCTGCCACCATTTTGAACTTCTGCTTTTCCCAGCACGCAGGATAATAGAGGAGTGATCATCCAAATGTAGGGCTGAAGAGTTGTACATGATGAGGCACCAAATAGATGAATTTATTGGAAGCCTAAGCTCAGGTAGGGATAAAGTTCCACTTTGTTGCTTTTCTCTCTAGAGAATGTTCCTCTCGTCTCCAGAGCATTGACTTGAAAATTTGATAAACTTAGATCATGTGATCATGTCCCAATGTCCTAATACCTTTCCATGCACAGTTTATTGTTCTTTCAGTGAACACATTGACCATCTCGATAAACTGCAAGACATTGAGCTTATCTTCTGCTGTCAAAAGACAGTGTGACATCAAAATGGAGTAACGGTAGACCCAGCTACCAGTGAATTCGGTTCAGTATATTTCCGGTGGTAGGTGGTTCAACCATCTGGCAATCTACTTCACACAGTACTTAGCATTTAGTAGCAGTGAAACCATCGCATTCCATTTTTTTTACCTATGTAAGAATCATGATTCATGACGAATCGATTTGCACGTCTCTTGTCTTTGCATAAGTTTGGAATGGGTGTCTGTTGGCATACTGTATAAGTTGTCAGTTTCTTCTTACATCTGTATGCAACGGATTCATGTGCCTCGATGCAACTGATTATGTTCATATGATCTGTGCAAATTACCTCAAACGTGCCTTGCATTTTCATATTCTCTTGGTTTTAAGTTGGGGGCATCTTCCTTCTGGGATTATGGTTCTGCTTGATCATAGAGGTTTAGAAAAGTGTGATGAAATGTTCTAACCTCTACAGAAGCAATAGCCTTAGGTTAGGTTATTCAACTTGTGCCGAGAAAATTGCATATCTACCATCCCATAAGAATGGCTTCGCTAGAATACTATTATGAAAACAGGCTTCGTTGGAATACCATCCTCAACCAGAGTGTCTTTGCCAAAATGCCATCCTGGATGAAAATGCCCCTGGCTCTTCTTCTTCCTCCATCCCACGCGTGAAGAGCTCGCCAGCGACCATGGCCAGCTACACCTCCGTGCCACCGATGCCGCCTTGCCGACGGTAGAGTGGTGTGCTCGTGCAGCTGAGGTCATCACGGAAGGACTCCGGCAGCGACGGCGAGGATCCGGCTGACGCGCATGCACGGGGAGCCGGTGGCGCCGCTCCTGGCCGCCGCCTCCTCGTCGCCACCGCGCAGCCCTCCGCTGGAGCCCACGCCCGCTGCCGTCAACCGCGCCTGCCGCCATCGACCAGCCCTCCACCGGAGCCCGCGCTTGCCGCCGTCGATCGCACCTGCCGCCACCGTGCAGCCCTCCGCTGGAGCCCGCGCCCGCCGTCGGCACTGGCGGGGATGGCAGGGAGAGCAACACCCCAATCGCAGTCGGCAAGGCAGCATCGGTGGCGCGGCGGTGGAGCTGGCCATGGTCGCCGGCGAGCTCTTCACGCACGGGATGGAGGAAAAAGAAGAGCCAGGGGCATTTCCGTCCAGGATGGCATTTTGGCGAAGACACTCTGATTGAGGATGGTATTCTAGCGAAGCCCATTTTCATAATGGTATTCTAGCGAAGCCATTCTTATGGAATGGTAGATGTGCAATTTTCTCGCTTGTGCCTCTGTTCAAGAGATATAACTCTAGTTGGGTTACTGTTGCTGGTCCACGTGAACCCAGCTACTAATTCGTGGGCCCTATGCCACACGGCTAGCTTTGCCATAGACTTGGTCCACCGGAATTGTTTCACTGCCGGTGGACCCGGGGACCCAGCTGTATTTTTTTTAGAACTGGACCCAGCTGTACATACACGTAACCATCTTCTTCTTTAGCCCCCAAAACCCCACGGTAAAAAAAAAAAGAACAAAAAAGGAAAAAAAACAAAAACAAAACCCTCATGAGTCACGACACGAGCAAGGTGGTATCCGCCATGGAGACGTTGGCATCTCACCGGAGAGGCCCCTGCGTACTCTCCTCCCCCGACGCCGACTTCCTCACCGGCGGCTCCGTCACCGATGTGTCGACAGTATGCTCGTGGACAGTAATTTTTGTTAGTAGGGTTTTTTTATCTAGCCTTTACATCCAACTATATATGCAGCCTTTTTAAATTAGGAACTTAGCTCTTAAATAATCCAATCTGAAATTCGCTCCTATAAAAATTTGAACTTGAGATATTGGGGCGCTACTCATATCACTGCAACCACTAGTAGAAATTTAACCATGGCTCAGAGTTTAGCGGGAGCGGGGGTGTGCAAGGTTTCACCGTGATGAGGCTCTCCCGGTAAGCTGCATTCCACGGATTGCTTCTGCTACGATGAGAGCAGCTGAGCATCCTCTTCTCCTTGGTGTCGTACACCAAGCCCCATCTGCAGGACAAGGTGACAAGCAGTAGACCCGCGTCGTCCAAGATAGCTCTACCAAGCCCCCGAGGCTTCAACTCCTTGGAATAATATCCCGCCGGCAGCTCCACCCGGAGGCGCCGCACCCACCTCTCGCCGCCGCCGCCGTCTCTGGCCCACACGTCCAGGTACGGCTCCGCCGGCATCGCCGCCACGGCGAGCGTGCCGTCCATGCATGTCCAGCAGCGGGCCTTCGTCGGCATGCTCCACCGGCGGCGGCGCGACCGCCCGGAACCTCTCCGACACCGTGTCGAACGCCATTATCCGGCTCCGATCGTCGACCTCACGGCGGTCCCAGTACACGCTCTCGCCGACCGTCTTGCCGACGGTCACGGCGGAGAAGGAGCAAGTCCTGCGTTGCTGGTCGGGGACGGGGCCGAGCCGCCGCGCCTCGCCGGAGCCGGTGGAGAGGATGTAGTTGGTGCCCTTCCGGTAGCACAGCACGCGGTACTCGCCGGACGGCCGGTGGAAGTAGAAGGCGGAAGAGTGGAGCCGGAGGTCGTTCCGGTCGACGACGACGCCGCCAGTGCTCACCGGCGGCAGATTGACGAGCTGCCGTGTCGCCGGGTTGCAGATGAGCATGGTCTCGGCGTTCACCTGCTCGAACAGCAGGAGCCCGTCGCAGGATCCACGGAGGCACAGGCGCACGTTGCGCCGCAGAAATCGCCGGCACTCCGTGTCGTCCCGTCGTAGACGGCTGGGACGGCGGTGACCGGGGCGGAGGTGACCAAGAATTCGTCGTCGCGCAGCGACTCGTCGTTGGGCCCCGTGTAGCCGAGGAGCTGCAGCGGCCGGCGGCGGGAGTGGGCGGCGACGAAGTAGTCGGCGGTGGTGATGCGGCGCCAGCTCCGGCAGACGGCGCGGCACCGGAGGACGCTCTTCGCCGGCAACCGCAAGAGGATCTCAGCCACCACGTCGTCGTTCATCGCGGCCGCGCCTAATTGGGTTGCGGTCGGGGTCGCAATGTGCTGCACCTGCACACATATGTGTAGTACTCCACGAGTCCGCGTACGTAACCAACACGTCTGACGCTTGTTAAACAATTATTATTATTAGTGGGCTAGGCTTCTTTTATTTTATTGGCTGGGCTCGCTTCATTATGTAGAGTGGGCTGGGCTTCTTTTATTTTATTGGCTGGGCTCGTTTCATTATGTAGTGGGCTGAGCTTCTTTTATTTTATTGGCTGGGCTCGTTTCATTAGGTAGTGGGCTGGGCTTCTTTTATTATGTAGAGTGGGCTGGGCTTCTCTTATTAAAGCTCGGCCTGACTTCAAACTCCTCCGCCTGGACCTTCGCGACCGAAATGGCCGCCGTTGCCGGCGACGACGCCTCTACCTCTTCCGCCCAGAGCTCTCCGCCGCCGACCTCCGCCTCGACGACTCGCTCCTCCTCCTCTCCTTCTCGCTCGCCGGGGAACCCGTCCCCCACAGGGTCCCCGTCCCGAGGGTGCTCGTCGACCCCGCGGCCCCTCCCGAGCGCCGCGCCGCGGGGGACCATGTCGAGGTCCGCCTCGCGCTCGTCGTCCCCGTCGTCGCCGCAGCCCCCCGGCGAGGAGCCGCCCGCGCCTCTCTCCCTCGGCGATGGTGAGCTACTCGTGTGTTTTACTGTCCTGTGAAATTATTAGGTAGTAGGGGTTTATGAGCTTTCTGGTTGATTCGTGGCCAATAATTTGATCACTGCTAGTCACTCCAAATCGTCCTGTGCCTCTGGGATTTTAGTACTACTGAAAACCTAAGTCGATTTGCAATTTAAATTTTAAAATGCAATTCCCAATTTTAATTTAAAATTTTAATAGCATTTTAAATTCCCCGTTCCCAAGTCTAGTTCCCACTTCCCGTCATTGTTCTTCTGTCCACTGCCATAAATCCACAGTTCTTGACTTCCACATTCGACCAAATGAAGCCATGGCCGACAATATAAATTTTCGCACGCCTGCGTATCAACTCGTTAGCAAGCTAACCATTCGGTGCATGGAGGGGCACCTCATCCTCCATGAGGTGGTGGTCACATCACACTCTTCTCTGCTAGTTCCAATTTGGTGAGTAGAATATGGATTCCAATGGAGAGTAGGTTTGAGGTTTTTTAAGTACAATCTGACTGTACGCTTATTGTCCTTTCATCTGTTGCTTATTTTTTAAGTCTTATCATCTGAATAGCTACAATAGAATACAGAGATGTGGACTGCACCAGGTCTGAGCTGCTTAAGGTTGCCTTCACCGAAAAATGGCTGCCCGAAAGGCTCCAAAATAATCGGAAAGCAACAGCCAAGCAAAGGTACATCGGCGGCATTAATGTTCTTAACAATTTATCAAATGTATTTTATTGTATCTTAGGTAGAGACGTTGGTGTTTCCTAAGCCTAGGTGTTTAGCTGTAAAGGAACATATCAAACTTTGTATAAGGGCCAAAAAATATCTAGGAGCGAAGACCCATACGACCCATGTGGCTGTGTATGGGAGATAAGGAAATCCCTTCTAATTTAAAAAATCCTATTGGGTAGATCCTCAGGTTTGACGGATGACAACATCGATGGTCATGCTGAATTTACGTCTAGGTGTTTGGGTAATGCAGCTTTGAATTCTTATGCGTGGTAGTCAGCTTGTAATTGTGATTGTGTTATGCTGCAGTTAGCCTTGGGCCCCTCATGCCACTGGGCATTTGTTTGCCCAAGTTTACCAGAATTTGTGATGACTTATTTGTCCGATGAAAAATATTTGCATCTCATTTAGTTGTAGCAGTGGACTAAACAACTTATAGTGCGGCGGGGGCTGTTGAAATGTGACTAAAAGTGCTATTTTTCAGCAGCTTAAACATTCTAGATTGAGGTGGTTAATACTGAAAATAAAGTGATTAGAATTTCCATTTTAATATTGCAGACTCAGTTGTTACTGCAATCAACAAGAGTAGCAGATCTGAAAGGCATCTAATAAGCGAGGAATCAACAGGAACCATCATGATAGCTAGTCACTCTGCTCTTGTACTGTACTTGAAGTTTTGGTTTCTGTATGGGACAGTCGTCAACTGGTCTCTGGGTCTATAAAATACAAAGGATGTATGTGGCTCTTAACTAGAGCAAGACATACTTTTTCATATCTTCCAGACAAGGTGCATTAGCAACATAGAATATGGAAGGGACTGGTGAGATGAGAGAGGTTGGACGAGAAACTCTCCATGGAGGTGTGGTGCAGAGTGTTAGTGAGACTGATGAGTACAAAGAAAAGACTATTGACAGTGAAAAAGATGGGCAGTTTCGGGTGCAGGTAAGCGACTACATTTTGCGCATTCATGGAGTTCTAATGCCACAATAAGCTAGTGCTTGTTTCAATCCTATGCTTACTTTTTGCTGGGTGGAACAGCCAAGATGGAGGAAATTCTTGGCTCATGTTGGGCCTGGAGCTCTGGTGGCCATTGGCTTCCTAGATCCTAGCAACTGTAAGCTCCTATCTTTTGCCTAGAGCTTCATATTGTTTTGATACGCTCATTAAGAAAAAAAGAAAAAGAAGAGGTTGAGGTGGTATAGCTTTTTTCTGAAACATGATTTGACAGTGGAAACTGACATGCAAGCTGGAGCTGACTTCAAGTATGAGGTACACTGCATAGTTCTTGCCTCTTCGTCTTGGATCTGAACTACTTTTACGAACTAATTAACCATGTGTCATAGATTTTTGCCTGCGCATGGAAAGGGTGAATGTAACCAAGGTTAATCAAATAAAGACCTGGTGAAAGGCTCCCAATCTTGGAATAAATGATTGAAAGACTATCTTGGAACCATTTATTAGTTGGAAAATTGCCTGGTTTGGCCTTTGAAAATTGTTAACTATTACAAAGAACCTACTTAGTATAAGCGTCAGGAAAACACTTATTTGGGCATCAAATCTGAACAAAACAGACTCTTAAACATTTTAGAGGTATTCCTGGATGTTTTGACTTGAAATATCTTTAAAATTCCAAATATAAATAATATTTTGAGATTTTCTTGCACTGATTTCATAGCTGAACAAGAAGAATTCTAAACCTTCCACTGAGGGTGTGGCCTTTACAGAATATTGAAATATGTTTCCTTAAAGGCCTAAATAATCAAAGTTTAAACTTAAGTCTATCCTAAGGACTGTACCAAAAGGACTCCCCGTTAACTAGCATAAGCAACAATGTCTTATTTGAAGAAAGAAAATTGGATTATTTTGGGGAGTACACATATAAGAACGTTGGAATATCAATCATTGACTTGAGATGACTCTATCATGACATGAACCTTATATATATGATATAATAGTAGCAGTAGTACACGAAATCAAACAAAGTCTCCCATGCCTAGTAAATGGTGGTCAATAATTTGTTTCTTTCCTAATATTTAAAGAAGACAAATTCAATCAAGAAACAGAAAAGTAGGAGAAAAACAAAATTAACTATTTCGTTTTTCCTGCCTCCTCTTTATATAAAATGCTTCTTCTGGTAACATCAATTTACATTTTACAATGAACAGCTTCTGTGGGTCATCTTAGTTGGGATGGTCTTTGCACTTCTGATCCAAACATTAGCTGCCAACCTTGGAGTGAAAACAGGTATATTTCACTTAACCATTAACCTTGCTCTTTGCATGCTAATCATGCATCATCACCTTATCATCTTATGTTGTCCATGCTTTTGTTGAGTTCTGTACAGGAAGGCACCTTGCTGAACTGTGCAGGGAAGAGTACCCGCACTATGTCAACATTTTCTTATGGATCATTGCGGAGTTGGCGGTGATTTCTGATGACATTCCTGAAGGTTGATCGATGTTTTATTTATTTATTTATTTATTTATTTATTTATTTATTTATTTCTGTGCTAGATTTAGCATGAGTAACACGTTCTTTTGTTAGTGCAGTGTTGGGCACAGCTTTTGCGTTCAACATATTGCTTAAGATTCCAGTGTGGGCTGGAGTTATTCTCACAGTGTTCAGCACCCTCTTGCTTCTTGGAGTACAGAGATTTGGGGTGCGCAAAGAATTTCTCAGACTTATATGATTGTCAGATGAATTACACTGAGAATGGGCTACTGACGAATTGACCTTACCATATGACATGTCCACCAGGCTCGGAAGCTGGAGTTCATCATAGCAGCATTCATGTTCACTATGGCAGCTTGCTTCTTCGGAGAGCTAAGCTATTTGAGGCCGTCTGCAGGAGAGGTGGTCAAGGGCATGTTTGTCCCTTCTCTCCAAGGGAAAGGCGCTGCTGCCAATGCGATCGCACTCTTTGGCGCTATCATCACACCGTAAGAAACCCAATCAGTTATCAGGGCTTTGGTGATCGTAGCTACTTTTTACTTGATCCATGGTACAAGTTCATGAGATGAGGAGTTTTCATAACATGCATGCAGATACAACTTGTTCTTGCACTCTGCTCTGGTCCTGTCAAGGAAGACCCCACGATCAGACAAAAGCATCAGAGTAGGTTGCATTGATAATAGATGATGTAATGATCAGCTATGGTTTGTTGTTGAGTGGCTAATGGTTTGACCCTATCTTGTTTCCGATAGGCTGCTTGCAGATACTTCCTTATTGAGTGTAGTCTTGCATTCATCGTGGCTTTCCTCATAAATGTTTCAGTCGTTGTTGTTGCTGGATCCATTTGCAATGCGAATAATCTTTCTCCAGCTGATGCCAACACGTGTGGTGACCTAACTCTGCAATCCACACCTCTTTTACTCAGGGTAAGAACTGTTCGAATGTTCATTTCCTGGATAAAAGATAGTACTTTCAGAAGCATCTTATAGACATCTTGTTCTGTAATATGGAAGAAATTACAGACCAGAGCTCACTGAGGATCATGTCAGACATTCTGAATTCAAGCCTTATTTTGATTATCTCTTACTTTCAGAATGTTTTGGGGAGATCAAGCTCGGTGGTGTATGCTGTTGCGCTGCTAGCTTCTGGGCAAAGCACCACTATCAGTTGCACGTTCGCTGGGCAGGTCATCATGCAGGTAATTCAGTTCCGTAGTGCTCACCCTTGATAGTAAACCTGGAGCAGGGTTTGTCAAGTTTACACTATTGATCGAGGTGTTATCAAGTTTGTACAAACTATTTGATACCTTGCATATCATTTGTCCACTCTTGAGTATTATCTATTTCAGTAAATATAGCCAACTTTTGTTATGATAATTATCCAGGGGTTTCTGGACATGAAGATGAAGAATTGGGTAAGGAACCTCATCACCCGAGTCATCGCCATAGCTCCTAGCCTCATCGTCTCCATTGTCAGTGGTCCCTCAGGCGCCGGCAAGCTAATCATCCTGTCATCAGTAAGACTCATCAACCTGTTTTCAGCTTTATTTTTCCAATTGAACATTCTGTAGGAATTCGCTTTGCTCCTCCAAAAGCAACAATATCCTGAATTCTTGATTTGGATACAGATGATCCTGTCATTTGAGCTGCCGTTCGCTCTCATCCCTCTACTCAAGTTCTGCAACAGCAGCAAGAAAGTTGGACCCCTCAAGGAATCCATCTATGTAAGCTTCCTTAAACCATTTCTCCAACCAAAAAACATTCACATTCACCCACCCACACAAACACAAACACGAAAACCGATTAATTCGCCATGCTAGATACATAAATTGGCAAATGATCCAATAATTTTTGCAGACGGTGGTGATCGCGTGGATCCTGAGCTTCGCGCTCATCGTCGTCAACACCTACTTCCTAGTGTGGACATACGTGGACTGGCTCGTCCACAACAACCTCCCCAAGTATGCCAATGGCCTCATCTCCGTGGTGGTGTTCGCGCTCATGGCCGCCTACCTGGTCGCCGTCGTCTACCTGACGTTCAGGAAGGACACGGTGGCGACGTACGTGCCGGTGCCGGAGCGGGCGCAGGCGCAGGTGGAGGCCGGCGGGACGCCGGTGGTGGACGCCTCCGCCGCCGACGAGGACCAGCCGGCTCCGTACAGGAAGGACCTTGCCGATGCTTCCATGTAGCCTTGATAAATTATTGCTTGCTGAGTAGTGCATTAGTTATTCCTCGTCGTCAGTGTATAACTAGATGTGTTCTCTGGATGATATAATGTGATTCGTCATTGATTTTTTGTTCTTCTTCTTGTTGTTGTTTCTAAGCAGCTTAGCTGTAAATTAAGTTTGAGAAAAAAAAGTGTGCACTACTACTTCTTCCGTCCCAAATTATTTTGATCAGTAATTCTTTAATGTTATGTTTTCCTAACGAATATGAAATTAGCGTCACATGAAAGTACTTTAAAATATAAATCTAATAATATAACATGCATACTACTTAGCATATGTATTTCAAATTGGGAGGACGAAGATTTTATAGCTTGGCATCCAGACTTGCATGGTAGATTCTCAGTCAGGAGTGCTTATTACTTGGCTCTGAATTTGAAGAATCAAGAGGATACAGGTCCGTCGAATATGGCAGGCGATCGTAGATGGGACCTGATCTGGAAGTGTGAAGTCCCTCAGAAAGTGAGAAGTTTTGCTTGGAAGGTTGCCACTGACTCCCTTGCAACAATGGCTAATAAAACGAAAAGGAAGCTTGAGCGGATAGCTACCTGTGGGGTATGTGGGTCAGAAACTGAAGACACCCAGCATGCTCTTCTTCGCTGTTCCCAGTCAAGATTTTTGCTGATGGCTATGCAAGGTGATGGGCACTTTCCTGTGCTCACTGATGTGCGTATGGATAATAAAGCCTGGCTGTTTGATCTGTTAGACAGGCTATCCGAATCTGAACGGGCGGCCCTTCTCTTGGTGTTATGGCGAAATTGGTTTGTTCGTAATGAAATCGTCCATGAGAAAACCCCTCCAACGATCGAGTCTTCTAAAAGATTCCTTGAGAGCTATATTCAGTCACTGTTCAACATCCGACAAAAGTCTGTAGTTGGTTCAGAGAAAGGAAAAAACGTTCTAATCTGTCTTGGCTTATGGGAAAGAGGTCCCTCCAGGATCAAGACCAGCTTGCAAACAAAAATGGGTGAGACCGCAAACCGGATGGTTGAAGGTTAATATAGATGGCTCTTTTGATGCCCTGTCAGAGAAGGGGGGCATTGGCATAGTCATGAGGGACTGGGAGGGGAGGGTGATTTTTGCTTCCTGCAAAACCCTGAACAGCTGTCATAGTGCATTAGAAGCAGAGTTGGTCGCGTGCAGAGAGGGTATTGCCTTGGCGCTTCAGTGGACGCTGCTCCCAGTACAGGTGGAAACGGACTGCTTGGTAGCGTTACAAATGATCCAAGCCAAAGAAGTTGAGCGCTCGGAGCTTGCCTTTGCCGTTAGAGAGATTAAGGATCTCCTCGCTGGAAGTCGGGAGTGTTTGCTCAGGAAGGTTCATAGAAGCCAAATTTTAGTTAGTCATATGTTAGCTAATAAAAGTCGCAGTGAAAACTTGTCGGGATTTTGGTGTGAAAATGATTGCACCTTTATCTCAAAGCTTGTAATTGACGATATTATTCCTGAGTAATACTTCCCTTTTCCCCGCAAAAAAAAATGTATGGTTAGTATAGTCATTAATCAAAAGCTACCGAGTTTAAGTTTTCTTTAAAAAAAAGGGACACCCTGTAATTTAGGATGGAGGGGTATATGGCTAGACCGAGTTTTTAAAACTGTTTATTTCACATATTATAGCAGGATTACATCTCTAACACCATCTCAATATATCTTGGCCAACAGGTTCATCATCTTTAACGAATTTCGATCATCTTGAAAATGTGCGTCTTATTCAAATTTCATAATGTGTCGAAATTTGTTTAACATGTATATTGTTTGAAATTTGCGAAAAAAAATCGAATGTTTCACAGGGCTCGTCTTTCTTTTTAGATAATGGAAAAACATTCCGGCCTTTGCTTAAAGAGTTATAGCCAATTATTACAATCTAACAGGGCTCGTCTTTCACTGGCCAATCTTAGATTGTGTTTTTTTATTTCCGGAGAATCGAGATTGCTATTTGTAAACCCTGCTGGCCAGTGTCAGTGTATGATCCCATACTGTCTTCCATGAGGCCTTAACTAACATACCGGGATTCCGGCCCATTTCCCATGAGAAGCTGGGAGTTTTCATTGGATCCAAACAAGGCCGAGCAGAGCTATGATACACGTGACAGAGCAGGTTACTCATCAGACGAGGGATAAATAATCGGTTTAAATAATAGATTAGTTTTTGACGGCAACGAGTTCGATGACTTCAATTAAGTACTATAATAGTGGCCGGATTCACCTCCCGGTAGCACCCGAGCATCACGGCGACGATCCATGAAAATCAAACGCTAACACTTCGCTAAAATAGGCTCCGTTTGGTAGTGCTCCAAACTACAACTCCTAACTCCAAACTCCTACTACAGTGGGAGCTAACTCTAGTTGGAGTTGGACACCCATCAAAAGTGTTTGGCTACATTTCAGCTTCAGATTTAAAAAAAGAAAAAAAATAAAAAAAAATAAAAACAAAAATCCCAGCCGCCGGCCGCCCCATCCCCTGCGCCCTCTGCCCTCCGCCGGCCGCGCGCCGCCCATCTTCCTCCCGCGTGCTTGCCGCGCACCGCCGCCGTGGCGCCTGCCGTCGCCGCCGACGACGACGCCGCCGCCTGCCAACGACGCCGCAGCCTGCCGCCGCCATCGACGGCGCCGCCGCCAACGCCGCAGCCCGACGCCGACGCCGATGCCGCCTACTGCATCTGTTAGGGCTCGGGAGGGAGACGGAGAAGGAGAGAGAACGGGAGGGGGAGGTTGGTGGAGGTAGTTCAGTGGCATTTTCATGTAAATACACTAAAATTTTAAAGGGTAGTGTGTCTTTTAAAGTGGAGTGGAGCTGTGGAGCAGCAAAAACCCAGCTCTACCCCCGTAGTACAAATTTGTAGAGTAACTATGCCAACTCCGCTCCAAAAAATAAATGATCTGAACCGTTTGACACAGCTCTGGCTCTAGGTAAGTTGGAGTTGGGAGCTGGAGCTGTGCCAAACGGGCCAGAGATTAATTCCCTCTCAAAGGCAAACACACAGCCCACAGGCCGCTCCTCGCGGTGTCCACGTGGGATACGCGCGAACTTGCAATATTGCCATAAAGCCCCCGTTTTGTGCGTAATTCTATATAGATCCTCACAAACAGTTCCTCTGAGGCATTATTTTACATAAAAACCCTTACAAAACCCGGGTATTCCATGCGAAGAAGAGAAAATCACGAATTAGAATAGATCTCTAAAATGTGGAAGCCGAAGGGGATTTCTCGCAAAACGACGCCCACTAATCCAGACCCCTCCTCCTCCCCTCCCAAACCCTTAGCCGCCGCCACCCGCATCTCCTCCCCCCTCTCCCTCTCGCGCCGCCGCCTCCGCCTCCGCCTCCCCCCTCGCGCCGCCGCCTCGCGTTGCCGCCTCCGCCTTCCCCTCGCACCGCCGTGTCCGCCTCCTCCGCCGCCGCCGCCGCCGTTGCGTTGTCGTCTCCGAGCGCCGCCGCCACCGCCGCCGTCGCCGGCGAGAGGAGGCCACCGGCGGACGGAGGGGGCCCCGACCAGCGGGCGTGCTCGTGATCGTCTCGATCGGCTCCTTCTCCAGTAGATCTCGCCCTCCCCTCCCCGGCTCCCTTCCCGCGGACGCAGATCTAGGGTTTCCTGCACCATGGCTTCCGCAGCGGCGGCGGCGGCGACTCAGGTGAGTGCTTCTCTCCTCAAAATAAACCAAACCCTAGCTCGCTCGCTCGCTCGTTCGCTCACCCCCTCTCCTCTCTAGGTCGGCACCTACTTCCTTCGCAACTACTACAACCTCCTGCAGCAGAGCCCCGATGTCGTCCACCAGTTCTACAACGACGCCAGCACCATGGTCCGCGTCGACGACCTCGCTGGAACCAACACCACCGCCAGCACCATGATGGTTACTTACCCCTCCTCTCCTCTCCGCAATCTCTTTTCATTATAATATATAGTATATATCCTTTTTCTTTGCAATGGAATCCACCTTTGCTATGCACTAGTATTACTATGCACTACTAGTTCTAACTTGTACTATGTTTTATCTAGCATAGCATCTTCGAATTCGTAGCTTTATGCACACCACCTTTGCTTGACTGACTTACTGACTTGAATTGTACATATATATCTGATGTTGTCTTTCCTTCCTTGTCGACCTGTCATGTGCATTTACTCTACATAGCCTTCTTCTAATGCTTGCGTGCATGCGTGCTAACTGTTGCAGGATATACACTCCCTCATTATGTCCTTGAATTTCACCCAAATCGAGATCAAAACAGCCAACTTTCTCAACTCATGGGGTGATGGTGTGCTAGTTATGGTATCTGGTCTTGTACAGACCAAGGAGTACAGCCACCAAAGGAAATTCATCCAGATGTTTTTCCTTGCTCCCCAGGAAAAGGGTTACTTTGTTCTCAATGATTATTTCCATTTCGTTGACGAAGAGCAAGTGCAACCTGCACCTGTTATTGCCCAGGACAACTTCGAGACCAACATGGCATCCAACTCCGTCGTCGAACCTGGTATAATATATCTTTGTAGCTTCATAATTTCCTGCAATTTTCTTTTTAACTGTTCAGCCATATTTCTTATTTCTTTTTCCTATTTGCGATCCATATTTCTTATTCTCTGTCAATGATCTATCTAAACTGTTGTGCCATGTTATTCGTATGTTCTGAACTATGTTATATCTTCTAGCATGCCTTCTGTGTTGGCTGTCTATGAGCACCAACAAAAAGTATGTTCCGTATGCGTTGATTACTGATGGTTTCAAATTGTAATGTTGCCATGGAAAATAAAAGTCAATACCTTGCACGTATGAATAGGCCTATTGCTGCTGCTTTTCTAATTTTTGCAATTATGTAGTTACTAACTATATATTTTCTACCTCAAGTTCCAGAGTACATTCACGAAGAGGAAAATCAAAGTGCTGTCCCAATAACATCTGAAGAAAGTGATGCTGTTGAGAACTATACTTACTCTGAGCCACCACAGCAAGTAGTTTCTCAGTCAGACAATTGGGGAGATGAGCCTCTTCCTGAAGAACCAATTTCTTCCTTTACAAATGGAATGGCGATGGCACCGGAGGAGCCAGTGCAATCTCCACCTGTTCCACCTCCTCATGTAGAGGAACCTGTTGGTGAACCAGTAAAGAAGACCTATGCCTCCATTGTATGTTGCACCTTCACTTGGTTGATCATGATTATTTTTCTTTTTGTGATGTCATCTCATGCATATTTAAAACCTTGATGGTATAACTCATGCAGCTAAGAACCGCAAAAGCTCCACTGGTGTTCCCTGTAGCCCAGCCAGCCCCGACTAGACCTCACCAGGCAACCGAGACAAACCAGGCTGCACAGCATTCGGTTATGACTTCGTCTGTGGCAACCGAGAAGCCAAAAACCGATGTTTATGGTGAATTTGCTGTCCAGGATGATGAAGGTTGTCCTTTAGTTTGAGCTAGCATCATAATCCCTTTCACTGATTTGAGTTGCACATTACCCACTGACTTTTAATATTTCTGTTCGTAAAAATAGAGAGCAAATCTGTCTATGTTGGGAACGTGCCATCTTCTGTATCTGAGGCTGATCTTGAGAATGAGTTCAAGAAGTTTGGGCGGCTCATTCCTGATGGTGTTGCTATCAGAAGCCGCAAGGTGGTTCCTTATATGTATTTTTTATTACGTGATATGATAGAATTTTCTTTTGACTTAGTGTTTGTATGACATTGGCAGGAGACCGGAGGCTACTATGCGTTCGTGGAATTCGAAGAACTTAGTGGTGTTCACAATGCATTGAAGGTGGCAAACTGTTCAACAAAACTCACTTTTTTTTACATGCATTAAATACCTTCTCCAATTTGTGTGTGCATACTCCTTTAAAATCAAATTTAATGCATATTCACTTCACCATTTACTAATTACTGTGATGTTTAATTGGTGGTCTGCTTTCCCCTTTTTTAATGCACTATATGGTCATCCTTCGCTTGAATTAGTAATCATGGTTTGACAGGTCATATGCTAAATCTTTTGCCAATTTTCAGGCTTCACCAATTGAAATAAATGGGCGGCAGATATATGTTGAGGAGCGGAAGCCTAACAGCGGCATAAGAGGTGGAAGTAAGTTGCTCTTTTATTTTTCCAACACCTATGCAATATTTGCTTGCAGACTACACACAGCTTCATGGTGTAGTTGATGGTGGCATATACTTGCGTAAGTATGATATGAACCTGGTGCGTGTTTGGCATTGGCAGGAAGGGGAGGCAGAGGTCGTTTCGGTGGAGGAGGGCGAGGGTATGCTAGAGGGGGAGGCGACAACGAATATGCGGGCAACCGTGGTAGTGGCAGGCCATCAAATGGCTACCAGCGTGTTCCTCACCATGAGAGGGGCATTTTGGGGAGCCACAACGCAAGAAACTAAATGGTTCACCACCCCATGGTGGTGGCCTGGTGGGATATGCATATGCTGCAAGCATGAGGTTTTGATCCGTCAAAAGGGAGGGAGAGCTGCATAACTAAGAACTACTGGGTTGTTTCCTCCGTTCCGTTAGGTTGCTTTTTTTTTTTGGTTTTGGGTTTTGTCGCAGCAGCAGTTTGTTGACGAAGAATGTGTGGTATCCAACTTTGGCTAGACGTTTTATTATGATGCAAATGCCCGTCCTTGATGTGCCATGCCTGCATTAAGAGCAGGAGCAGCAGCTCAGCTTCTCTTGCGTGATTGTTTGCAATGCTTCCCCTCGAGGTATGCTGATCGATTTGATGCTCCGAGTTTATCATATACCCGGACTTATCGTTTAGATCAGAAATTGAGGATTTGCCCCCAGTCGTGCCCATGATATGTGGGTCAGTGGATGAATTCTCAAATTAATTCTAATTTATCAACCGAGAATTAGTCGCTGCCCAGTTTGTTGCTAATACTGGCATAAAATCTATCACAAGCCAGCAATGTCATTCTTTTGCCAGAAAATCTATCATAAGCCAGCAATGACAGTTTGGTTAGTGACGAATCCAAATTTATAACGTAAAAGTTCTTTTGGTTAGATAAGCATATATATACTTCATCCCTCTCAAAATAAGTGCACTCTTCAAATTAAATTAGGAGTGCAATTTTGAGGGAGTACCCAATAAAAACTAGTGTTCTTTGTATCAAAATGCAATAAAGTGGTGCTGTTTGTATCAAAATGCTTGGTTACCATCACACATTGTTGTTTGCCAAAGTTTCGGGGGCGTAACAAACCAACATATGCTTTGCTCGAGTCATACTCTTATGAATAAGAAATCTTCATAAGTTCCCATTTGTGATCCAACTTTATAAACTGGAGTACAATGTTCTCCTTTTTATTACAGAGACCATACTGTTTTTTTACAAAAAGAAAACCTTAATTATTATAGTAACTGTTGTTCATAAACCTGGAGATGTCAATCCATAAAAAAAAAAGTAACCCTGGTCGATGCAAATCGAAATCTCATCACAGCAGCATATGACGAGAAAGAATAAACGGCACAAGGCGCAGGAATCGCACAGAACGAAATATAGTTGGCATGATAAGATGAGCGTGAAAAATAGTAACATCAGGAAAGGAAAGCGGCGACGACATCTCATCAGAGCAGCATAATGGTGAAATTAATGAAAACAAGAAGTTTGATTTGTCTGACTAGACAGGCAAGAACACTATTAGTAGAAGTTAAGGATGGATGGATGGATCATTTGAGGGGCGCGGGCCCGAGGAGCGCCTGCTGCTGGAGCTCAAGGTCGTTGAGCTGCTGCTCGCGATCCATCTCGATGATGAGCGGGACGACGAGGACCAGGAAGGTGGTCCCCGCGATCCACGCCGCCTTCCCCGTGCTCCGCACCACCTTCTTCGCCCTGCTCGCCGCCTCGCGCCCATGCGCCGCCATCCATGACGCCAGGATGCCCTCCCCTTCGCCGCCGCCGCCGCCGCGCTTGCTCAGGGACGCCATTGCTTTCTCTCCGCTTCGCTTCTAGGGTTTTCTTTCCGATCGATTTCTTATTTTCCGATACTAGGTGGGCCGTGTGGGCCATAGCGCGCAGAAAGGAGGCCTACGAAGGCCCCATATTTGTCCTCCATTAATTTCTCATTAGTTAATTAATTAATTAATTAATTAATGGGTTTCCTCCTACCAAAAAAAAAAAAAAAACCTTTCCATTCCTCCTCCTTGCGGCAGGTGCGGGGCAAGGATTTATGCAGATGACTTTTTCTGAATATGATTGTATAGTCCTTAGAGACCAACTTAACACATTTATCTCTGATGTGAGATCTGATTTGGATTTCTCAAGTTGCTCTGACCTTGGTAACCTTGCTGTTAAGATGGTTCAAAGTGATAGAGAATTTTTCCATTGGTGTATCACTTAATTGAATTAACCTTAAATTTGCCTGTTGAAAAAGCCTTCTCAGCTATGAACATTATGAAAACTGACATGCGGAACAAGATGAATGATGAATGGATGAATCACTGCATGATATGCTATATTGAGCGGGATGTTTTTACTAGCATTGAAGATCGTCAGATTATACAACATTATCGTGCTTTGAGGACGCGCAAGCACAAATTACCTAGAGGTATGTCATGCATTGCTTTGTCTACAAATAATTAAGTTCTCATAATTTGCATCACTTACATTATGTAATATCATTTTCTATATTCATCTTCAGGTTCTCTACCTTCTGTTGATGAAGAGTGAAAATCATGAATATACGTCGCATTAGGTATTCTAATAAAATTTTAGTCTAGTCTTGTACTTTTTCTACACTTTTACTGTACTTGGTGCATATTTAGAAATTGTATTTCAGTCTTGCATTTTTTTTCGTACTTGTACTGCACTTCCAAGTACGAATTGATATGGATAGTTGTTAGCCTTCAATTTGAGCCCTAGGCGTGTCGAGCTCCTAGCTCCGCCACTTGACCAGGTGCCTAGAAACTCTAATCCCTTTTATGTAGCTCCGCCTAAACATACGAGATAATCTTAGCCTGTGGCAACCGGCAAATGACTTCTGAAGCCTATCTCATGATCTTAATGTAATTCGGTTCGGATCTTCTTCACCTCCGGCGAAAAAAACCTACCAGTAATTTAGGGATTTGTGCACGCAATGAAGGAGCGTGGGATTAATTAGGAGATAAGTATATGTTTAACAGTAAATATGTGTATGATCCATTAGAAAATACAAGATTATTTAGAAGTCGTATCTTTATAACAGTTAAAACACTCTCACCATTAGCTAAAAAAAATTCTTTTATTACTTTTTTTTTTCATTTTTCACCTTTATATATGCAACCATGCTTTTATATTATAGAGGTTAAGAGTCGTTACCCATAATAACGATATTTTATCTCTCCTCTTTCTATCCTTCGTATCAATAAGTAAGTATTCTTAATTAGTAAAGGTGAGATCGCTGTTAATGACCATTTTACATGTTCTAATGGCAACCGGTGAGACTAATTAGGAATCTAGGAGATAATTAATTTAGGGCAAGCCGCGAGGTGGCCTGAATTTGTCCAAACTGACAAGCAAAAGAAATCTTAATTTTCAGTAAATTAGGGATTTGTGCATGCGTTGCAGGAGCTTCAGAGACTTAAATGGAGCAATTTTATTTTCTTTCTGTCAGAGGATCCAAACTACTACAGTACCGACCATGATCGAATCAATTATGAAGTTCATCAGTTTGACTTTAAGCAACTTGTCTGCATAATACACATGTGGATTTAACAACCCTGCTTTCCAACTTGTTCTGAGCAATTTAAATGTCGAAGTAAACTCAAAACCATTCAAACTAGCTCGATGGCCTCATCTTAGCCCCACATTTAATACGATGAATATTTTTGGACCGACACACACACTTGGTCACTTGGGTCACTAAACTCGCCCATAAATAGACACCTAATTAAGCTTCCATCGATCAACTCATCACTTCATATCCAACTCTATCTCACTTAGCCTGAGCTGAGCAATGGGGCTACTCCGGCGAGGTAGTAGCGGCGGCGGCGCCGTGCTCGTGGTGGTGGTGTGTGTAGGCTGCATTGCGGCGACGGCGATGGCGGCGGCGGCGGGCGGCGGCGGAGGAGGAGGGGAGTGTCCCAAGTACAAGGACTCGAAGCAGCCGCTGAACAAGAGGATCGACGACCTACTCCGGCGGATGACGCTGGCGGAGAAGATCGGCCAGATGTCGCAGATCGAGCGCGAGAACGCCACCTTCGACGTCATGCGCAACTACTTCATTGGTATACTTGATTGCTTCTTGGTTCTTGCAGCAGAGATACATATTGATTCTTGCATCTAAAAACAAGATACACATATAATAAGTAGAATGCGAATGCAAACACCTCAGGAAATTATATATAATATCTAATTAATATCGATGAAAGCTTTTGCGTGTTTGAAAAAAAACTATAATATAGTGCAGGTCAAACTAAAACAGTTTGAAGTCTGAAGTTCTCTAATATATATTTTTGACATGCAAAGATTTTACGCGTTCGTGAAGAAAAAGTTTGAAGTTTGAACGAATGTCTATATTGTGATTCGGCCAGGAGTTTGTTTAAGCTAGCTATAACAAAATAACATTTCTTAAAGAATTCGTACTTTGATAATGGGTAATGCAGACAAATGTCTAACGAACCAGTTTGGTGAGATTGGGAGTCAAACACTCTGAATCCGTATGATATGGTCATGGAAATATGGATATTATAAGATACTAATGATTTTGTAAATACAAGGTTTGAATCTTAGCTTTCACTGCAAGCACAAGTGAGGGCATGCATCTCCATAAATAAATGTAAATACTAAAACAGATTCAAAATGAATTAATTAATCAAAATTAGCTAGCTACTCAAACCGGCCATTAAATTAAGACGAATATATATCTCTCAAATTGCAGGGAGCGTGCTGAGCGGCGGCGGCAGCGTGCCGGCGGCGCAGGCGTCGCCGGCGGCGTGGGTGTCGATGGTGAACGAGATGCAGCGCGGCGCCATGGCGACGCGCCTCGGGATCCCCATGATCTACGGCATCGACGCCGTCCATGGCCACGGCAACGTCTACAAGGCCACCATCTTCCCCCACAACGTCGGCCTCGGCTGCACTAGGTAATAAAATGATTAATTATCCCCCTTAATTAAACTCAATTAATGATGCATGAATTAAGTAGATTCCCATATGTAGCTAGTTGTGATAAGTTTACTGAAGATGACCAGATTGCACGCCATTAATTAATCATCCAAGTCTTTGTATATAAACTCTCAAAATTTGCAGTGCTCGATGATGATGGAGTGAGATCCAAGATTTGAGATTTTAAATTAGCGCGATCGATCGCTCACGTCCCAACGTTTTGGACAAGGGAAAGAGTTACTAATTGCCCAACTCGCCAACTAGTAATATTTTGACGTTGTCACTCTAATTAATGGTTTCTCAAACGCGCTGAATTTGAAAAGGAAAAAAAAAGACAGATTCGACTTGAAAAAAAACCCCTACTATCATAAGAGTAATTTTACCATCTTTGAAAAATAAAGTACCATAATTTTTATTGTAAAATTTGGTACATCTAAATATTAGCTAGCTTAAGTTACCAAATTTTATTTTCTAGTGTAAAAATCTTTGGTATCTTCAGTTACGTTTTAAAATGTTCGTAAAATTTCTCATCATACAATAATGTCGTAATCTTATTTTAACACAAGACCAATAGTAATAGTTTTCTAAAAGTTTTACTGGATTTTATTCATCACCGGAGGGAGGGAATATACAAAGATAAGCTAGCTAGCTAGTGAGAGCATATGAACATGGTGTGTTCTTCTCCGAGAGATTTGATAGTGTAACACTTCTTAAAATAGGTTTCGATTATTTGACATTCTGACCCACTTTCATTTACTTAGATGGCTCACATATCATCATCACAAGTATCAATTAAAACAATTGGGCAACGAAGAAAGTGTCAAATTATCAATTTTTTTCGTTCTTCTCCAGGGACCCGGATCTGGCGAAGAGGATCGGCGCGGCGGTGGCGGCGGAGGTGAGGGCGACGGGGATCCCGTACGTGTTCGCGCCATGCGTGGCGGTGTGCAGGGACCCGAGGTGGGGCCGCTGCTACGAGAGCTTCAGCGAGGACCCCAGGGTGGTGCAGCGCATGTCCTCCATCATCTCCGGCTTCCAGGGCGAGATCCCTCCCGGCGGCCGCCGCGGCGTCCCCTTCGTCTCCGGCGGGAGGCCGAGCGTGGCGGCGTGCTCGAAGCACTACGTCGGCGACGGCGGCACGACGCGCGGCATGAACGAGAACAACACGGTGGCGACGCTCCGGGAGCTGATGACGGTGCACATGCCGCCCTACTACAGCGCCGTGGCGCAGGGGGTGTCCACGGTGATGGTGTCCTTCTCCAGCTGGAATGGCGTCAAGATGCACGCCAACCACTTCCTCATCACCGATTTCCTCAAGTCCAAGCTCCGCTTCAGGGTATGTGCACTACTACTATATATATACTTCCTCCGTCCCAAAATATAGTCATTTTTTAGGTTGGCACAGGTATTAAGAAAGTAAATGAGAATAATTGGAGAAAGTGTGTGATTGGTTGAAAAGAGAAAGTAGGTGAAGAATAATGGTTGTGATTGGTTGAGAGGAGGTATGTGGAGAAATAGCTTTATTTTAGGACAAGACACTCTGCTAGAAATAGCTACATTTTGGGATGGAGGTAGTATATGCTATACCTTTGTCTACAAATATATATATTCCCTTCACCCTAAAATAAATAAACTTAATACACTAAAGTTGGATATAAGTCGTACGTACTAGGTTATATCACATCTCCAACTAAATTGGTTTATTTTGAAATGGAGAGTATAAGGCTTAATTTTGATGGTTAAAAATAAACTTTGAAAGTAAATTCCTCTTTCGTTATTTTATTTATGAAAAATAAACTATGGTCATAACAAAAATAGTCTCAGTTTTAAAATATAATTATTTCTAGTATTTATTTTTTTCTAAAATATAAGCAATTCCTAATAGCCTCTTATTTAAATTTCTTTTTATTTTAGCCCCCCAACCACCACTCATTCAATGAGAGGCACCCAATTATTTTCTTGGCAACTTTTCTCCACTAAACAATATAGAAATATTTATATTTTAAAATAGATTATGTGCTTTTGAACATGAATTCATCCGTATCGGTGCATGTAAAATATTATTATTGGTTTAATAATTAGTCAAAGATTTAAAATTAATTGGTAGTCAAACTCGACTTGTATTTCTATTTTCTAGACGGTAGTACATACGTGTGAGATCTTCATGCATATATGATGTGATCTGTTTAAGTTTGAAAATTAATTAATGTGTTATTCAATTTCAGGGATTCGTTATCTCGGATTGGCAAGGGCTTGACAGGATCACGACCCCAGCACATGCAGACTACATGTTGTCCATCAAGCTGGGTATCATGGCTGGCATCGACATGGTCAGTACAGTGCACACATTAATACATGCAAAAACTAATTTCATCATAAAATTTTCATTTCATTGATAAATAAGAGACAAATATCGATCCAAGAAATGGTCCTTTACACCCAAAACATTTCATAATTAATTGACTGATTAATTTTCGAATGTTTGTGTGCAATCAGGTGATGATCCCGTTCACGTACACGGAGTTCATCGACGACCTGGCGGCGCTGGTGAAGAACGGCACGATCCCGATGAGCCGGATCGACGACGCCGTTCGCCGGATTCTCCGGGTGAAGTTCACCATGGGCCTCTTCGAGCGCCCCTACGCCGACCTCAGCCTCGCCGGCGAGCTCGGGAAGCAGGAGCACCGCGACCTTGCTCGCGATGCCGTGCGCAAGTCGCTCGTCCTCCTCAAGAACGGCAAGCCCGGCGACGCGCCGCTGCTGCCGCTGCCGAAGCGGGCGCGCTCCATCCTCGTCGCCGGCGCCCACGCCGACGACCTCGGCAGCCAGTGCGGCGGCTGGACCATCACCTGGCAGGGCCTCGCCGGGAACGACCTCACCGCCGGCGGCACCACCATCCTCGACGGCATCCGCCGCGCCGTGGATGCCGCCACGGAGGTCGTCTTCGCCGAGGCGCCCGACGCCGGCTTCATGCGGCGGAACGCGGGGAGGTTCGACGCCGCCGTGGTCGTCGTCGGCGAGCCGCCGTACGCCGAGACGCTCGGCGACAACCTGAACCTGACCATCCCGGCGCCGGGGCCGAGCGTGATCCAGAACGTCTGCGGCGGCGGCGTGAGGTGCGTGGTGGTGGTGGTCTCCGGGCGGCCGCTGGTGATCGAGCCGTACATGGACGCCATCGACGCGCTGGTGGCGGCGTGGCTGCCGGGGACGGAGGGGCAGGGCGTCAGCGACGTGCTGTTCGGCGACTACGAGTTCACCGGGAAGCTGGCGAGGACGTGGTTCCGGTCGGTGGAGCAGCTGCCGATGAACGTCGGCGACGAGCACTACGACCCGCTCTTCCCATTCGGATTCGGACTCGAGACCCGCAAAGCTAATTAATTAACCCCTTAATTAATCAGGGGTTAGGCTAATTAATCTCGATCATCAACGATAATCGCATGCATTAATTACGACTTCGGTTAATTTAGTTGCGTGGTTAATTACGATCCAACTCGGGAGGAGTACTAGCGTGCATGAGTCATGTCAGGTCAAGGAATAAAACAATTTAGTTAATGTACTTGTAATCAAGTGTACTCCTCCGAATTTACTATTCTGAAATTTACTTTGACTTTAAGTAAATTTGTCAGTGTAACACATGTGGATTTAACCATTCCGTTTTGCCAAATTGTTTTGAATATTTTGTATGCCGAAGTAAACTCAAAAGCACGCAAACTAATGCAAATATTATGGGTATTTTATCAGGGAAATTTTACAATCCTCAAGGCCGTGTTTATATTCAATCTTTTTTACCAAAAACATCACATCGAATGTTTTGACACACACATGTAGTATTAAATGTGGATGAAAATAAATCAATTGCACAGTTTGCATATAAATTACGAGACGAATATTTTGAACCTAATTACGCCATGATTTGACAATGTGATGCTACAGTAAACATTTGCTAATAACAGATTAATTAGGCTTAATAAATTTGTCTCGTATTTTATATGCGGAATCTGTAATTTGTTTTGTTATTAGACTACGTTTAATACTTTAAATGTGTGTCCGTATACTTAAAAAAATATTTGGCCAAGAAACTAAACACAACCTAAATACCTAAATTCTACATAAAAAAATTGATATCTTGAGATACTCTGAAGTACCAAGTTTTTATGTTAGAAAATATGATATCTTTCGGTATTTTCTTAAAGATGATAAAATTACTTAGGCAACTTTTTCTTTAATTTTCTAACTTTTCCATCACATTAAAACTTTCCTACACACATTAACTTTCAACTTTTCTATCACATCATTCTAATTTTAACCAAACTTTCAATTTTGATGTGAACTAAACACACCCCCTATTTTGTTACACCGACACACTAGGTTAGTCCTAGAGAAGCTAGTGATTCGAGAAATGACCGGATCGCGCACGCCAAGTCTTTGTATACGAACTCAAAATTTGCAGCGATCGATGACGTCGTGAGACAAGATCACTCACGCCCAATGTTTTGGATCAAGGGAAAGGGTTGACTCTTAGCCCGGCTCACTAATAATATAGACTCCGTACACATTGTCTGACACTCTATCGATGACTATGAGACTGTTTGACTATGACCATTAATTTCTTGGACAATATCTACATTGCCAATAAAAAAACATAACTAAAAATTCTTAAAATTATTTCAAAATATGAGTATTAATTTTTTTTTGTATGAACATTTCAAAATATGAATAAAAATATAAACAGTACTCATATTTTGAACATTTCAAATACTCGTTTCATATTTTCAGTGTACCTGTGAGTTTGTGACAAACCAGCCTGATATGATATGAACTGTTGTGCGCGGTGTGCCTATTAAAACTGGCGCTGTTTTGTTAGACTGCATGACTCCTGAACTATGAACTTCTCTAGACATCTTCTCCTGAACTACTGATCATCTCGTCCCATCTTGGCTGATGAAAATGAAGATGGTTGCACCTACCTTCTGCAGAATCTAAGTATTTTCCAGCCAGGATCTAAGATTGAGCTGGACCATTGTTGGATTGGTCTGGGCCGCCGCCATTGTTTGTCCCATCTGGGCCTTCAGATATGTTTAGACTATAACTGGGCCTTGCCTTCTTGGATTAGAACTGGCCCATTGGTTGATTGATCTGGCCCTACAAGTATGTTTACATTAGATACTGGGCCTTATCGCAATAAACTTGACGAATAAGTTCACTTTAGGATTCTCAACTTGTCAGCAAGTCTGAATTCATCCCTATACCAATATAACGGGCCCGACAATTTACAATACAGGATCACCCAAGATCCTGGGCAGTACTATGCCCGATTTGGCAAGCTGAGTCAGCGTGAGACCCACACGGGCCCCACACCACACAGACCCCACATGTCAGTGGCTAACGCTTTCTTCACTATCTTCTCCCATCCTCCCAATCCCCTCAGATGTTCAAGGTCCCATCTGTCGTCCTGGGTTTCACGCCGACTCGGCTTACCACGTGAGCTAAAAGTTTAAAACAGGCATAATACTATCTAGGACGTTGGATGATCTGATTTTGTAAATTTTATAAATTGAGGGACTTGTATTTTGGCTTAGAGATAAATTTCAGAACTTATATCTAATATTTTTGACAAATTGAGGGACGTCAAGTGAACTTATTCCTGAACTTGATTACCTGCCCGAGGCCGTACTTACCAATTCTCCCAACGCATAATATCCACTTTAACGTAACATTCCAGATCAGTTTACCGATTGGCAATGCTATTGCTGCGCACAGATTAATCCTCCTACTAACATTTAAATTCACCCTGAGAATTTGTGTATCAAGTCTTAAGAATAATGCATCCTTCGGTTAATTAGGATAATGATTTTAGAGGAAACAAAGTATTCTAATCAAAATGTAATCGAAAACAGTAAACCATTGCCTAAGCCTCAACCTGGTGTGTCCATATCATCAGAGAAACCAACACAGGTGCATCATCAGGGAGACAGTAAGCTGCTTGGCGTTCACATTGCCAATACAAAAAACAAAATTCTCCACGCAGGAAGGTAACAAGCAATCCAACTCAACCGTTGACTTGTCTTTGTACTTCGGTGCAGTTTTTATTACAAAAAGCAAGAATAACATTCATTGGTATGCTTACAGCGCCGGCTGTCACTGGAAAAGAAAACCATTATGGAGTGTCCGAGCATTTCAAAATGCCTTGAGAGATTTATGGCCTACAGGAAGTTTCTGATGTCCAACTTCTTGACATCAGGCATCTCCTCGTCTTTGAACTCCTCCCTGATAACAAAGCACGTCAACGTGTTATTAACCTTTTTCAATAGAGACGCACACATGATATGATATGCACTGGATATTAGTTAGCTTGCATGCAGCAAGCTGCAACTCTTATTACTTCTGATAAGTCCCAACTCAAGCAGATAACCAATTAGTATATAAAGAGAGATGTACCTCTTTAGTTGAACCTCCATTGCTTCAACACATTCCTTCTTAAGCTCCGTCAGCTCACTTTTGGCAATTTCCAATTCAAGCTCTTCCTCAATCTTGGGAAGATCCTCCTTGCGGATTCCAAGCCTATTTGAAATTTTGAAATGGAAAGCAAAAAAGCATGAAAAAGGTTAGTCCAACTAATAAAAAATATATATAACACATCTAGCATGCACAGGAGGAAGAAAAATCAATATATTTCCCTGCAAGCCAGCAATAATGGATCTCGATCACCTAAGTACGGAGTAAAAAACAAGCTACAGTTGGTTACACCATCATCTGAGAGTATATTTGGTCCCTTAACCCTTGTTAGCGAACAAGAAAACTCTTGCTAGTGAGCAAGGTCAGATAAAATAACTATACATGCCCTGAATCGCCTTTGAAACCAGAAAATTATCATGCAAGCAGCTTAAGGAATTGCACGTTTGATCTATCATGTGGATTTTTATTCTCACTGAAATATTCAGAAAAAGTATATCTCTAGAGAGTAGACGAGCAGTGTAAATGATGATCTGAACTATCTCAAACTTAAGTTGATAACAAAATGATGAAGATAAATACTTTTTGTTTATCTTCTCAAACTCTGCCAAGAGGAGACCCATATTCTTCTTGTCACTCCTCAGAAGTGGCTTCTTAATCTCCTTCTCAACTTTCTCAAGGGCTTCCATCATCATAGCCTCAGCACCCATATCATCTATAAGGCCACTCCTATGTAACATTAAGTGAACAGAAGAATATTCAGACAAGCAAATAGTGCAATAAAATTGTTATGTAGGCAAATATCACATTGATTTAATTCTTTACAAGGGTATTTTGGGGCTGAGAAAAACATAAGATGAAAATTGTGAAAATGATAATAGATGTACTTTATCCTGATCTCCTGAAGAGTATTCAAGTAAGTCCGTGCATCAGGGATGCCCTTTGTAAAGGTGTCGATGGTATATTTAATCCTCTCAGAGTCGGATAGAAGATCTGCCCTGCATTTACACAATGGAACCATAACTGAGTAAATAGATCAATAACATCCAGAATAAGTGTTACAAAATGAAAGCAATAAAGTGGAAGCCTATCTCGATAGAAGTATATATATATATATATATATATATATATATATATATATATATATATATATATATATATATATATATATATATATATATATATATATGCCAGAGTATGTTTTGCTGCATAGGATGGATGCATTAATGTACAAGTAAAATATTTTTTTATTTTCGATGGGGCATCCTACATCAATGGGGAAGATGAAAAATTGTACTAGGGCAAACCGGCAAACAGTAGTAGGTAATAAGTAATATCAAATGGGAGTTATTTCTACATAGATACTGAAATATACAATAGTGCTTAATGAATTCAAGGTTTCGTAAACCGCAAAAAATCTGATTTATTTAATAAAAGAACTTTACGCTAGAGAATAGAAACAATCACCACAAATATGTGTAAAATAAACACAAAAACAATGACAAATCAAAGGAAAGTAATAAACTAAGGACCATGAATACATGTGACAGATTATAAGTGATCTTACTTTTGTCTTACAGTCTTCATGACTTGGGCATAACGAGAAACTGCTGCAGGATCATCTGGATCAATAGTGATCTTTTCCTTCTTAAGTACACCAAGGGCAGTCTCAAATTTCTTCTTTACCTCAAAAAATATGCCCTTCAATAGGTCTTCATACATACAAAAAAAAAATCAGACCACCAAAATTATAATACAAAGTAAATTGTGCAACTTAAATACAGAAGTAATCAGAACTACACAGCAGAGTTTAATCAAACAAACTCCAACTCATGAACATATGTAATCTCTTCAGTTTTGCATTGAAAAACATTTTTTGAATGACATAAAAACACATAACATTACTTGTGATACTGCGATGGACAAAGGTAAAGTACAGAAAGCATTTTTTTCTACAGCTCAACACAATGGTCTTATGGAAAGGAGTTTTGCAGTTAGGATTAAAAGCATTTGAAATTCCTACAGAATTTGCACAAAATAAATTGTTAAATGCACTTAAAATTTAAGAGGCTTACCATCACCATTGACGGGAGTACGATCTGCCTCCTTGGCATACAAGCGGACTTGAGTGGCACCTCCATTTGCCAAGGCAGCTTGAGCAGAGTATAGCTGCCAGAAGCCAGAGACATTAACCAATGACAATTAACATAAACAAAGTTATAAAAAAAGTAGAGAAGCTAGAGATTTCTAAAACAAAACATTCCATATAGCTTTGTACTGACAACTTTACCAACATGGACGTCCTTATTACATAACATATACTTCCTCCGTTTCACAATGTAAGGGCCCCTTTGAATCGCAGGGTAGAAAAAATGGAGGAATAGGAAAAACATAGGATTCTGACAGGAATTGAAGTGTAAAACAGAGGATTGCAAAACACAGGAAAAACACAGGAATGGTCGTTTGATTGGAGCGCAGGAAAAACGCAGGAATCAGATGAGAGAGATAGACTCAAAGGAAATTTTCCAAGAGGTTGGAGCTCTTGCTAAATTTCCTCCAAAATCTACATGCAATGTGTCATTCCATAGGAATTTCATAGGATTTGGAAAGCTTCAATCCTTTGAATCAAAGGGCCAAATAGGAAAATTTCCTATAGGATTTGAATCCTATGAAATTCCTACATAAATCCTTTGATTCAAAGGGGCCCTAAGTCATTCTAGCATTTCCCACATTCATATTGATGTTAATGAATCTAGATAGATATATATATATATGTCTAGATTCATTAACATCAATATGAATGTGGGAAATGCTAGAATGACTTACATTGTGAAACGGAGGGAGTACTAATAACTTCTTCAGCCAACCTATTCTAATGTTAGCTGGCTGACTACATTGTCACCATATAAATTTCACCAATAAACCAATGACCACACATCAACAAGACATATACTGCTCAAAGAAAACATACTAACAAATAATAGCCTGGAATGTGCTTGAGCAGTGTCCACGCCAAGCTTTCCATAGCTTGTTGACCAGTACCGAATCATGAAATGTTATATGTGGGAGGATGCTGAATTGGGAAATTGCAACTGTGGTGAGAGGATCCGGGATGTTAACAACCAAACCGTTCCCTTGTTTGTCCCCTCACAGAGGAGCATTCCCCCTTCTAATCTGAAGGATATCGCATCATCCCATTCGCTCCAATCAACAGTAACACGAAATGCACCGGACTCACTTGCGCACTAAAAAAACGCCACCCACCCCCAGCCACCGCATCCAACCCCCACCATTGCAAATTTGCAATCGATCCCAACAAAAAAAACCCCTCAACGCAACCAACCACAGATCCCACGCAAAACCGAACCAATCGTCGGCGCCGCCGCCGGATCAGATCTACCTCAAAACTAGGGTTTCCGCGGCGGGGCGCGCGTGCGCGCGCGGGGGGACGGGGACGGGGACGGGGAAGGGAGATGCGAACCTGCCGGGAGCGGGAGACGAGGCGAGCGGCCAACGCCATGGCTGCGGCTGCCTCCGCTTCGCTGCTCCGATCTCACCCAAACCTCCAAGCTCCGCGGCGAGAGCGAGAGCGAGAGAGAGAGAGAGATGGGGATGGGTGGAGAGGAGACGAAGAAATGGAGGCGGCGCCGCGCTTTGTGAGGGCTCCTCCCCCTCTCCCCGCCGTCCGATCCCCCGATCACCCCGCGCGTCCCCGCACGAATCTCCAAGCAATCCTGACCAATGGGCCCATCCGGTTCGATCTTGTATTTTTTTTACTTTTTTGTTCTTTTTAAAACTTATTCTCTCGCATTTTCATTTATGCTTATATTTACTGACCAAAATTTTTATTTTAATATTAAATTTAGAGTGTTTTTTTTCGAGGTTTATTTTTCAACCTTTGTTTATATATATATATATATATATATATATATATATATATATGACACTCATATGGGGCACCATGGTGCCCGGGCACCATGGTATCTAATGCACAAAATCACTCAAAATTTTCAAATTGTGAGTATATATCTAGTTATAATAATTCGATTCATACCTATACCTATCAACAAAACAACTCAAATTTAACTTTATTTCACAATCCATGATTACATACCTAACTAATTATATGTATAGATGCTATATACCTAGAATCAAAATCTAACAAAAACAAGTTCAAATTCAGTTCAAACTTGCTTTGAACTAGTTAGTAAAGTGGTTAATGTTAATACCTAAGTAACTGAAAAAGATTCATACTCATTTAAATTGGGTATATACTCAATTTCAACAATGGTGCCCGGACACCATGGAGCACAAAACAAATTTACTATATATATATATATATATATTATTTATAAATTATTTTATTTGCAATCATACCGAATAAGCCATAGAGCCCTTATTTATAAATAAGTTTTTCGGAAAGGACTAAAATGTAAAAAAAATATAGTCGTCGTGTTCCTCCGGCTCGGCGGCTGCATTGACCTTGGGCTCCGCCATGAACTCGATGCTGCTCAGGCCGCTCCCGAGCGCGGGGGCGAGCGGTGGTCGGGGCTCGCCGGGGAGGGGGCGGGTGGTTGGCTCGGCGGTGAGTTTCGGCGGGCGCGGGAGATGGCGGCGCGGGGTGGCGGTGGTGGCGGCGGGGGCGGGGGCGGAGGCGTCGTGGATGGAGGAGGCGGGGGTGGCGGTGCTGGAGGAGGGGGTGAGGCGGAACCCGGCGGTGTCGGACTCGTACCGGCCGCCGGGGATGCCGCGGCCGAACGCGACGGTGCTGGAGGCGCAGGCGCGGGTGTGCACGGGGCCCGAGCAGACGCGCCCGCTCGGGGAGGAGCAGGCCATGCGCGTCCTCGACACCATCCTCCGCTCCGGTGAGTGAGTCAAGTCACCGCCATCCTTGCCGGCGGGTGGCCTCGCACTCTCGCCGCTTCAGCTTTGGTGATTTCTAGCATCGATCGGATCCTGCGTTGCAGCCACCGTCTGTGCGGCAGGAAATTGAAATTCTGCTGCTTTCACTGTCACTACTGGAATTTAGAACTCGAGTCCTATGACACTAATATGTAGACTGCGGTTAGTTTTGATCCACATTATGATGATTGCAGTAACATCTCATCTCCTTTTATCTAGGAATGCAAAATTTTGCTTGAAATGGAGCTTTCTAGAGTTTAGCACTTTTTTGTGAAACATTAGCTCGCGATTTATGCTCAATTGTACTCCGGAGTGTAATACTAAACTTTCGGTGGGACATTTATTGACTTTGGATACTGATTTTTACAATTTGCTTGTAAGGTTGTATTTGAGTGACAAGTTTACAGTAGGTCTGATTTGTGATTGGTTTATTTTCATTGACTCTTTGCCTTCCATAACAATCTTATGATATATGTTACTTATAATCTCTTGTGTAGGAATGGGAGAACTCAAAGATGAGCCAGTATCCAGTGCACAACTGGGTGCATTCTTCGCTGGCATGACAATAAGAGCTAATTCCTTTCCAGAAGCCACCCAATGGAGTGAGGGTGAGCGTCGTGCCATGAGCTTATTTTGGCCACGGCTTGTCAATGTTCTTCCCCCCGAGGTGAAATTTATAGCAGATCCGGAAGGAACAATCATGGGAGCAAATGGTTTAACTGGACCTCGGTATGTTGGTCAAAGCACTGCAGAGATGAGACTTGTCAGTGCTTTGAGAGAAGTTCTTGCTGGTGGCCATTTGGGTTATGAGGAAGTTCAGGGTGTACTAAAGGATGTTCTACCAGTTGAATTAGCCAGTGCAAATTCAACTATGGTTAATGAAGCACTGCTGGCAGCATTTCTTATTGGACAGCGGATGAATAGGGAGACTGATCGCGAGCTCAAAGGATATTGTCTAGCCTTTGATGATGAATTAGGTAACATCAAGTCAGTTTCTCTTTCTCAAATTGAATATAAAAAAATTATAGTGTCATTAACACCACATTATATCAGGTCCAACTCCAGTTGCTGATGTCAAATCATTGACACACTATGGTGAGCCCTATGATGGAAATACACGCTTTTTCAGGAGTACTCTGTTTGTTGCAGCTGTTAGAGCCTGCTATGGTGAGGCTTGTCTCCTCCATGGTGTTGAGTGGATGCCACCCAAGGTCAGTACAAAAGCATACCCATCAACAATCATCATACACTAGTGTTTTTCTTTAATGCTATGGAAGTTTTGGTTAGGAGATGGACTTACCTATCACTTAATTTTGAAAACCCTCTGTATTACTTAATGATCAAGATTTTCAGGGAGGCATAACAGAAGGTCAGATGCTTAAATTCATGGGTGCAAACACACATTTGTCCACATTACAGGCCAAAACACTACTGGAGGTGTGCATGAACTTCTGCCTAATTTTCCTGCAACCCTTTTTGTGCACTCTCCTCTGACTGCATCTAATTATATCAACTGTTTTGGTTGCTTTCAGGATGAGAATACCGGCTTTGCATATTTGGGTCTCCAAGAAGCTTGCCCACCATTGTAAGTTTTGACATTTTCTTGGTAATTATGTGCTTCAGTGACCAAGTCTTGTTGATATAGTATTCCTGTAGACATTCAGATAATCAGGAATGGCACCTCAGCCTGATTTTCTGAAGAAAACTGATCATAATATCTGACTTAAGTCCATACACAGCCATGAAGTTTAGCAGTAAAATTTTCAAAATGGAATCACTGCCTTTACTTTTTTTTGGAACTGCAGGAAACTTATGCTTTCAGTTTAAATGTTGCCGCTTTATAATATTTGTCTTCATTTAAAAAACAATTTATTGAAAGTTGTAATGTATGAAAATGTGTTCTTTTTACTCACTATTCTTCCAGATATTCGATTATTGGGCTTAGGGAGCATATTAAGAAACGGCCACCGCTAGCTACCTCTGAGAAAGTTCAGCAATTTGTGAGAGTGAGTAACTCTTCTCATCCACCTGTAGTCCTTTATTGTAAGGAAGACAGTATCATAAGAGCACCATAATGGGTACAACTATTATAACTTTTGTAGCATCCTTTATGTTTATATATACATTGTAGATCATTTGTGCATATTATACCACTGTAGAACATAAAATTGGTCACATTTCACTGCTGGCAGATCTTTGATAAACTACTAATTTAAATATTTAGTACAACCTACTGTCTTCATTTCTTAGTAAAATGTTTGGCAGTTTAGTAGCTTACATTTTCAGAGTGTTTCCTCAACATAATGTATGCATAAAAAACTCTTTGACTACAAGTCAAGAAGACTGGAGATATTTCTTGTAATTCTACATTCATTGAATGTAAAAATATAACTGTTCTGTATCACCTACTATTTGGGAATCCTTGTTAATTTGTTGTAAATTTGAGATGAATGCATTATTATTATATGTCCTTCCTTGTTCAATTATGTTTCTGTTGTAAATGTCACAAGTTCTGCTCACTTAAATAAATACTACTGGTTGATTGGCTTATTTGTCTTCAAATTTTCCACCAGGCGCGAGGAAGAGAATCAATGGTTGCTGGATTTTATCATGTGGGCTATGAAGATCCATTGCTTATGCTCATGAGGAGGAGAACTGTTCATGCTGGACTAGTTGTAAAGGTATTATCTTGTGTTAATGTGTTATATGGCGGGTTTAAGCTTTATGTTACTGTTTAGATGTCTTGCCCCATATAACCCAGCCTATGGGTTTATTTGTGCACTTGTTGCTAAGACCACATATGTAGAAATTGGCCGCCTTGCGCTATTAACATTTTGAGTTCCGTTTCTGACAGATAGGTCATTCTCCTGAACTTTTGAACAAACAGCTTCTTTCCCTTCTCTATTATTCTCGGAATGCAAATCCAATAATTAAACATGGTCATTTCTCAAATTTATGGTGCGCGTGTAGGGTGAGGAGGGTGCGCTTTCTATGACAACCAAAGAAAGATCTGCTCATGCATCAAAAGGACTTCCAGTGAACCATTGCTCAGGGTTCCGGATACCAAACAGCACAGATTTCTCCGAGACTGATGGTAAAGATATTTCGCTTTTTATTGATTATAAATATTCCTCTTCATAGTGATCATATGTGTTTGTTGGTGATGATGGGGTATGTTCAGTGTTTTCAAAAATTTAAGATTTATACATCTTGGAAGTTGATTCATATTTTTTTTAAAAAAAAAGAGGTTTTGTGAATGACTAATCTGGATTGCTTGTTTTGAAATGCCCAATAACATGGTTATGAAATAATTTCAGCCTGAGCTTGTCTCAATCATCTTTCAGGCATTTCTAGAGAGGGCTTCAGTGTCATTGTGAATGCTCAGGAACTTGGTTTTGAATCCACTGAGACTCCACGAACTGATAGATCAGTAAGCCATTTTGCCCATGCCTGCGGTTGTTCTACCTTAGTTTCATATTTCTATATGCCGTCAACTTCCAATAGAGGCTGGCAGTCATCCATACAAGTCTGTTAATGCTTTGTAAAATGTTCCAAATTACCCTTGTATTAACGTGTATCACCCTGACATGTTAGTAGGATATTATATTTTTAGCATAGTTATAATGTTTACTTACTGTATCTCCGGACTGAATCAGGTCCTGAAAAACTTGGAGTTGGGTTTGGCAGCGCTGAGTGGGGAGAAAGGACCAGCCTATGACAGAATAGTCCTAAATGCTGCCATGGTTGACCACCTCTTAGGCTGCACTGGAGCTGAGGATATCAAGTCCGCACTTGACAGGGCAAGAGAAGCCATTGACAGCGGTAAAGCCCTGAGCAGGCTCATGAATTACATAAAAATCTCGCACAAAGTGTCCTAGCTCGCAAGTGTGCTGGCTGTACAATTTTGGTTTCTGGTGTCGTGGTGGAATACTCTCATCGACTCATACACGAGCACGAGTGCTTTCAAGTTGCTCAGCTAACATGGAGAACATCCCTGACGTGAATAGTCACTTGCAAGGCCTTGTCAATAAATTAACTGAAAGTCTGAAAAACTGAAAATGTTAGCGATGGGGAATACTTGATTAATCAATCTTTCTTTAGCCATGTTCTGAGAGAATCTGGCTGCGTGTACCATATGCAAATTCTGTTCATGAGATGTGTGACCGAATACCTGCATCAAGACACAAGGGATGAGTTATCTTGATTTTGTTCGTGAAACAAAATCTGCAATTCTCGTTGTAATGGGTTACTCCGAAGTCTGAATATGGGTGCTCGTTTGGAATTACTTGTACTGTTTGTTTGAAGTTTGGTTGTGCAAGAGCTTTCGAGAGGATGCACCTGTTGCTACCGCATTTTCAGTTTTGAACCCCTGCTCTCCTTACATCTTTTTTTCTAGAAAAATGTGCATGTACTTGAAGCTAATGTACAAGCTCCCTTTTCACATGTCTTTTTATTTTCAAATTCAAAATTTAAGTCGAGTTTTGGCCTCAAATGGATCACCCGTGCTTCCATTTTCCTCTCTACTCCCTTCATCCCATAAAAAACCAACCTAGTACTGGATGTGGCATATCTTGTACAACTAATTGTAACATATCCCTGTCCAAATTCGTTGTACTAGGATATGTCTATTCGTTTTTTGGTGACGGAGGGAGTAGGTACCAATTCACCAAGGTCAGTTTCTGGCCTAGCTAAAAGAAAATCGAACAAATTTCAAACGTTAGTGCATGCAAAATGCAAGTATATATTATGAAAAATGTGAGGATTTAACTTTTGTTATGTTGGTTTTGTAGTTATTATACCCTACTAAGGCCTTGTTTAGATCCCCTAACAAAATTTTTCACCACGTCACATCAAATGTTTGGATACATATATGGAGTATTAAATATAAACGAAAAAATAACTAATTTACACATATTGCATGTAAATTGCGAGACGAATCTTTTGAGCCTAATTGCTCTATGATTTAACAATGTGGTGCTACAGTACATATTTACTAATGACGGATTAATTAGACTTAATAAATTTGTCTCGCAGTTTACAGGCAGATTTTATAATTTGTTTTATTATTAGACTATGTTTAATATTTCAAATGTCTATCCGTATATCCGATATGACACGGCAAAAAATTTCACCCTGGATCTAAACGCAGCCTAAATATCAATTGTACAAGAATTATTGACCAAATCTAATTTTTGAACACTCCGCAAATCAAAATGCATCCTATAATATGAAAACGAAATTTGAATTTATGTGCAAAACACTCTTGTCCGTAGCGGCATACTACGCCTGACGGTGACGGGGCCATACGCCGCGTCGCCGTAAATGGCGAACAAGGTTAATGGGGAAATTGCGATTGGTTCGCCTTCCCGGCTGTTCCCGCTCTCATGGCTGCGCCGCCGCCGCCGCCTTCGCCAAGCTCGGGAGAGGAGGGGACGAGCGCAATGTGAAACCGGGGGCTACCCCGGGGTGAAGAACGAGTGACGGCGGGCGGCCGCCAGCACTGCCCCGTGCCAAAAGCGCCGTTGCGGTAGCAGGTCCGTGTGTCTCCTCCACGGCATGCCCGCCACCTGCTCGACGATAGTTCTCCGCCGCCCGCTCTCACATTTCATGCCGCTGGGTGTGCGCCCGCGACGGGGATGGAGAGCATTGTGCGTGGAGGACCGTGGTCCGTGGATCCTGCAGAATCCGCGATGGATGGGTTTTCTGTATGCAATGCAGATGCAGTGCCAATCCAAAGTTGCTTCCTGCGTTTGGGATTGTCATGGTGGGTGGGTGGAATGTTGAGCTGGCAATGGGAAAAATTAAGGTTTATCGCCTCACATCAGGTTAGGTTCTACAATATCTTCTTTTTTTCCTCTCTTCAGCATTTTTCTACTACTCGTAGTAGTAGAATGCTAACTGTAGAGGCCAAGTACTTTTTCTGTAGCGAAGGTCTGTCCAGCATTCATTTTGCTTATCCAAATGAAGGCGTAGGTCAGCAACATGAGTAGTTGCTTCTTTCTCTAAGGAGTCTGAACTGTGATTTCTTTGTATTCATTCACATGTAAAACCTCATCCTACTATGTTTTAGCACTAGCTAGATTCAGAGCAAAACACCACATAACATCACATGGTTTCATGAAGAAGTGTAGAATATGTTGCATGATTACCACAAAACAACACATGCATATCAATGAGGAAGTAACAAAAACAATATGCCATGTACATGTTGTTCACCTCACACCAAGTTGGTGAAACAATTACAAAGTTTATGGAAACTTGAACTACACACTGCCTGCCTATATTTACAAGCGTCCTTAAGAACACAACCTTTGAATGAATCGTTCATACAAAATTACAGATGGTTCACTAAACCCATTGCAATATCCTACACCTCACATAAATTCCTTACAAAAATACATATTGTACAAGAATTACATGCTCTAAGGTGAATCAATTTTATGATTTTGGTGATTCAGACTTTGTGTGCCCAGGTTTACCTATGATGGCTTTCTTCACTTTTGCTAGTTGATGCTTCACCTTTGATCCAACACCAGACAAAATGTTATGTTTTTTATGTGATACCTTCTGTTCTGCTCCTCGTTCTTCTATTTTCACTGTTGCTTCATCAGTGATATTATTAGTTTCCTCTTCAGCCTTTGTTTTCTCATCACAAGTATTCTCGTCTGGCTTATTTGATTCATCCGCCTTTGGACTATGTTCTTCATCTGTGCTGAATTCTGGCTTTGTTATCTCCACAAATTTTTCGTCGGCCTCAGAAGTTGCTTTGGGTGAAACCACATTGAGACCACGTTCCTGAACCTGTGAATCAAAAAGTTCTTTCTCTTCATTAGATTTTATCTTCACTGCTTGAGTGTTACCTTCAACTGTTTCATGTACATTCTCTTCTTTGATCACAGGCTCTGTTATTGCCATAAATTCCTGGTTTCCTTCAGTTTCTTTTGGTAACTTCTGTGCAGCAGTTTCCTGCTCCTCCTGCCGATTAGAATCTTCAAGCTTGTCTAACACGGTGTTATGGTCCACCACAGTTTGGTTATCAGCTGTTTCATCTTTCTTATCTTGGTTAACATGCAAATTTGGACTATCTGAGTGTGTCTCAAGGGCTTTTTCAAAGTTGCTGACTTCATTGTTTGAGATCATACTCTCTTTCTTGTCCATGCATGTCGAACTTGCAGGAATTTCCTTTTCATAAGCAAAATTTCGATCAGTGTGGCTAACTGGTTCAGTTATTTCAGGTGCCTGCTCATCAGATATTTCTTCAGAACATGTTTCTTTCGACTTATCATCATGTAAATTTTCTATCTGTTCTTCAGTATGTCCACCTGCGGTCGTATGCTGGTCCTCCTCATTCGTTTCTATTACTTCACTCTCCACTTGACCCTCAGTAGTACTTCTCACTTCAACATAGGAAGATTCAATGGACTCTTCTTGTTCTGTGCAAGGAGGGCTTTGAACACTGTCAGCCTCGTTAGGCAATTTTTCAGCGTTGCCTGTATCGGGTTCTATCAAGGAGAGTGTTTGCTCATCCTTTGCACCATGTCTATTTTCATGTAAAGACTCATGCGGAAGTTCTGTTCCTACTTCCTCCAAAGCATCCTCTTGTGAAGCCTTTGGGCTTGTTATGTCATCTTGGTCCCTATTCAAGCTTCCGTCTTCAATTTCTGTTGCTGCTTCCACGTTTTCCTGACAAACTGTATCAAATGACTCTTCATCCAATTCAAAGTCTCTAGCTTCCATTTTTTTGATCGGATCAGCTGCCTTGGCTGATATCAGTTTGCTAGAAATTTCATCCTGGGCATTATCTTGGTATACTGGTGCTTCCAAATCACAAGTGTTCCTTTTGAGCTCTTCATCAGTTTCCAATGATTTTTGGACGTCCATCTCGACATCATAACTCTGTTCTTTTACTGGTTCTTTTGTTTCTTCAGAGCCTTCTACCTTTTCTTTTTCTTGTTCAAAGGTGAGTTTTTCATCCACCGATTTTTCTATAGGAAATGCCACCAAATTTTCTTCTTGTTGAGAAGCGATCAAACAACTTCCATCCTTCGTTGTTTCTTCTTGCTCCTTTTCAACCTCGGTTTCTGAATCTTTCTTTGGATCATCATTGTCTTTTCCCAATATTAGGTTCATCAGGAAACTAGAGACAGGCAAATAATCTTGTTCAGCTTCTTTGTGATCTTCTTCATGTGCATCACCAAGTTCTGCATCATGCCTGTCTTCTTCATCTTGTTCTTTGGTTACTTGATTCTCTTCTTGCTCCTCTGGTTCAGCAGGCAGTGCCTTCTCTGGTGACATGGACTCTTTTTCTGTATCTTCCAAACCAAATCCCTGCTCAGTTGTGTTTTCATCCTGTGTAGGATGCACAGGAAGAGCAAGCTTGTGATCTTCCGTCTCCTTGTTAATATTTTCTCCCTCTGATTCTGTAACTACAGATGAAACATCAAGGTTGTCCTCAGATGTCTTAAGACTTCCATCAGGTGGTACTCCATCAGCTCCACTAGCCTAAATGGAATAGTAAAAAATAGCTTAGAAGGACTAAACATTAATCTTAAATAACATATATAATGAGTTTTGACTTCTGACCTTATCGCAGATATCTTCATTGAGTGTGACCACTTCAGTTGTTGCAGTATAGCTTGTCTCCATTTTCTCGACACGACCAGTTTCAATGTTGTCGATAGCATCTTCATTGGTTGCTTCCTGATATTGTCTGTTTTGATTTATATCTGAGGCATTTTCTGTTTCATGCTCAGGCAAGGGATTGATTGTAGACAAATTATTGTCATTATTTGTCTCAGCAATCGTTATATCAAGTTTTGGTTGCACAGCTTCAGATTCTGCGCTATTGTTCTCTGTTTCTGCCGACTTTTCATCTTCAACCTGAATGATGGAAAGATGTTAGTTTTACTGCAAGAAGATTCTGCAATAAAATTTGATCACACGAATGCATATGAGTATAACTTGTTAAGTGTATTGGTACCTGGTGATGAATGCTAAAGTCTTGGTCAACATCATCCTGTTTGGATGTTTCTACAACAAATTCTGGAAAGTCATTGAATCCTTTCTTTTCCTTTGTATCTTCAACTTCTCTGGGCTCTGTACTTGTATTTTCATGTGTCATTTCTGCATAAGAAATTGCGGTATCATCCATTTTAGTGTCTGCACTGTATTGTTCATCAGTATGCACTTGGGATGCCTCTTCCTTTTGAGTTGTGACCAGAGATTCATCATGGTGAACAACATTGTCTTCATTTTGCATTCCTTGTTTTTCTTCTGCATCTTCAATCACTTTATCTGATTCTTGAATGGCATGCATGTCAACGTTGACTTTGTTTGTGTATCCTTCCTCCGCTCTGTACATGTATTCATCATTCTGTGGAACAGCTATAGGATTCTGTACAACAGATAGGACAGCTCATTACTCTGATAATTATGTGATAGCATTAAAGTAAATGAATGATAACAGCTACTATGCTTTTGGGATGCCATATTCAGAAATGAGTTAATCTTGAGAGGCATGCAATTGTTGATAGAAACTGGGAAATGTTCACTTAGAGAAGAGCTGGCACTCAAAAGGCTTGCAGGTCTTTTGTGTTAAGAACTAAGAAGGGTCCATGGCCAAGCTCATAGATAAATCTGCCACTTAAATGCACATGCATATACTGCGAAGGAAATAATATTATAAAGTAGCAAAACTCAAGTTCATCTCTCTTCACTTTTTGTTATTTTGTATAACTTTATATCCTTTCCATTTTCCATTTCTTTTCACTCAAGATCACTGTTTTTCGTTCATTCTTCGAAAGAAAAAAAATGGTGGCTAACATTATTTTCAATGTTTATGAAATTATGTATATTGGGTAATATTCACTACAACAAATCTTACATTCTCTAGCATCTGGTCATTTGAAAGGTCTGAATCAACTTGAAGATCTCTCTCCAGAGATGATGCCAAACAAGGTTCAACCTGCAAGTTGAGCAAAAGATAACAATGTTGTTCAGTATAGGCAATGAAACACTTTCACCAAACCATGTTGTTCAGCATAGATTTAGTCATATGAAATCTAATCGCAGCATAAGTCATTCTGTATTTACATATTTCTTAAAGGTACTTCTACTTCAAAAGTTAGTCCATAACAATCCTCTATGCTAAGAGAAGTAATCAGTAATGCTTCAAAGTTTGTATTGCCAAAAGAAATCAAAAGAATGAGATGATAGTGCTAAAAAGAATTCTTAGTTGCTTGCTAATCAATGTTACTCACCCATCATACTCACAGTGACATAAGTTACCTGTATAATGAAAAACTTTTTTACCATTTTATTTACATTTCTAATTTGGAAAATTAACAATTTTCAGTTAGTTGAACTAGAATATGTCTAAATTTGTCACATTGCATCAATGGAAATTCTGTACTGACCTCTTCATTTCTAATTTCACCAGCTATTTCATCATGTTCACTACTTGAAGTTTTTTCTACCACTGCATCCTTTTCTGTATTCTCATGCACATCTTCATTATAGTTTTTGGCAGAAACCTCTAAGGTGCCACCACTATTTGGTCCATTCTCTTCTTCAGTCTCTTCTTTTATTTCCGTAATGTTTTCAACCATCGCATCTGTAGTTCTTGGGATGGAATCCTCGGGTTCATGTTGAGTTACTTCATCATTGAGCATTTCAGTAACCACGGAATCTGTTTGTTCAGCCTGCAAAATTTCATTGGATGGTAACTTACTTTCACCGTGCTTCTGGTTACAAGAGATTTTGATGAAAATAGAACATGAAATTAGTTAGTATCAGAGATATTCACCTGAAATGCATCAATGGACTCCACTTGTGTGTCTATGATGAAATCAACCCTCTTGTCATCATGTTTCTGTTCATCTGTCTGGAGTTCTTCCTTTTGCTTCTCAATTTCTTCATCTTCCTTCTGCTTCTCAATTTCTTCATCTTCCTTCTGCTGTTGATCCAAGTTAACGTTCTTCATGTCCTCATCTTGTTGCCCAATATCCACTGATCTTTCACGAACTTGTGTTTGAAGTCCAACATCATGAAGTTGCTTATTATCTTGAACATTTGATGTCTGGCTTGAACCATGTTCATTTGGCCCTTCTTTGACTAGATTTGTATTGTTGGAAGTCTCTTCTGTATCTTCAGTAGAAATGTGATCATCATTTTCCTCAATTCTGTTCGCACTGATCTGAGTTTTTTCACCCAATTCAGATGTTTCATCCTGTATGAAATACACTAGTGAGTTGTCCTGCAAGTCCTAAAATTCAAAGAACTAGATGCATATTTCGGAATTCAGAATGATAGAACTCTCTTGGGTGCAGCGGCCCCCTTAAGTCCGAGTTAAAAGAAAAAGACTACTGGGGTTTGTACAATTATAGCACTCAAATATAACACTCTTTTACAATTTAATTTGCAGTTCATAACTTTGATCATATAGTGCAATTTTCACTCAACGTGGCAAGAAATATTTATGCATCCTCTGTTCACCCTGCAGTCTATTTTGCAGCTTTTGAACTCTAATGTACAACCTCTGTGTTTTCTCAAACTTTCCATATTGATTTAACTAAACAGTTTGTAACCAGTAGTTTAAAACTTGGTATTGTTTGGTATACATCTTGTCTGACAATATACTCAACCAACAAACCAATAATGTACTACTATACACAGCATTGTGGCAAAGTTAGATATACCAAGTTTGTTCATTTTAATGTCTAAAGTGAATCATGGAAACCATCATTAGTGATCATTTACTTCAGAAGTCAGTCCTTATAAAATTTAGCAGTTAGCACTGCCTAAAATATGCATTACTATTTTATGTATTGTAAACATTTTAGATGGATGAGAAAAAGCATTGGTTGATACTTAATTTGAACATACCTTCAGTTCTGCTGACTCATGTATATTATCTTCTATCTTTTCATGCACTGAAATTACATCGCCGATTCCATTACCCAAATTTTCTTCATTTGATTCTACATGATAATCTTGTAGTGATTTTCCATTATCTGTTGGAGATGGATCCTCTGAAGTAGCTGTCTGTTCATAGCAGATTTCTTCATCACAAGTGCCTTCAGTGCCCTTCATTTCTTCCATAGTCTCCAAGTAATGCACTTGCTGAATACCATGAGTCAACTCAACAGCTGATAGATTGCTTTCTGAAAATTTCTCCGCTGAAGAAACTGCTTGGCCTGCATGGGAGGTTTCTTCAGCTTCAATGGCATCAGTATCCTTGACTTCTTCCACTAATTCTAGTTCATGCCCTTGATCAATATCAACAGATGGGTCAATTTCATATGCAACTCTATCTTCTGCAGTTGGATCTTCAGGGGTGACAATGTTGCTTTGGCTGGATGTTTCTTCTGCCTCTACGAGTTGATTGTCCTTGCTATCTGTGGTTAATTCAAGCTGCTGTACGGGTTGGACATAAAAAGGTTGGTCGGCTTCTTGTTCACTGCTTTCTTGAGCTCCATTCTCAGAAGTGGTAAAATTAATTTGCTTGGATATTTCTTCAGTTTCTGTATCTTCATTTTCTTTTACTTCTACCGCTGATTTATTCTCCTGCACATGCTGATCATCAACGTTTGGCTCAACCTCAGTCACTGACTCCTCACAGGTAGAAACTCCATTTTGCTGGTAATCTTCAGTGCCTTTGGTTTCTTCTGTGGAGTCCAGTTCTTGCTCTTGCTGAACATCAGTTTCCTGCTCACTTTTGACTAAGTCACTTTCTTGCACTGCCTCTTCAGGATTGGAGGAACTACTGAGATCGGTTTCTTGATCTGTGAAACTCTGCGCTTGTTGAGTGTCAAAAGTCGCCTCCTTTACTGTTGTGATCTCTCCTGTTTTAGTAAGCTCGTCAGAAGTAGACACAATGCTTTCTGGGGTTTCTCCTGGATGTTCTGTGGTGTCAGTGCACTTCATGTCTTCAACTGATTCTTGCTCTGGGATTTGTTGAGTATAAACATCCAGTGCACTTGCTGTTATGATATCATCTTCTCTGAGTTCCTTGATGCTTTCAATATTGCTATCATGAGGGACTGTTTCAGTTTCCATGGCTTCATTGTCCTTCATCTCTTCTTCTGGCAGGCCAGTTTCTGTTATATTATGTTCTTGTTCAGCTGGCTCCGTGTTCTTGATTTCCTCTAGTTCTGGCTCCTGCGCTGATGATTTATCAACAGTTACTTCAGTCTCTAGTATATGTTCTTCTGAAGCTGCCTCCTCAGCAAGAGCAACATTGCTTTTCACATCTTCATTGAGTTCCTTTACGCTTGTGGTGGTGCTCTCATGAGGGACTGATTCAATCTCTATGGCTTCAGTGTCTATCTCTTCTCCTGGAAGGCCACTTGCTGCTATATTATCTTCTGCTTCAACAGATTCAATATTTTGTCTCTCTTCTAGTTCTGTCTCCTGAACTGGTGGTGTATCAACAGTTGTCTCAGTTGCTAGTACATGCTCTTCAGGAGCTATCTTCTCAGAAAGAGCAGCACTGTTATTTACATCTTCAGTATCTTCAATTACGACTGGTGATTCCTCTGCTTGAGTGTCAGAACCTGGTTCTTCTTTTGTTACAGTCTCTTGTGGATTGAACTCCTCAGAGCTAGAAACATTATGAGAGGGGATGACTCCTTGAGGTTCAAGAACTTCAGTTTCCTTGAATTCAACTGATTCTTGTTCCTGAAGTTGCTGGTAACCAACATTTTGTTCAATTGTTGCATTATTGTGTGTTTCTATTTCCTCTACACTAGCAACTCTGCTATCTTGGAGTGTTGGTTCAGGTACAGTTGGTGCAGTGTCCCTCATCTCTTCTGATGATTCTGGTTCAGGTACAGGAGGTTCAGTGTCCTTCATCTGTTCTGATGATTCTGTCATCTCTACCTCGTGTGTTTGACAGGAAGCTTCTTCTGTTTCACCATCCACAGTGTTACTTATTTCTTCTGGTTCAAGCTCCTTTACTTGCACATCATCAGTTGGCTCACTTGCTAGTAAATTGGCTTCTTGAGCTGTCTCCTCAACAATAGCCCCACTGCTTTGATCAGGTATTTCTTCGTCCTTCACACCATCATGTTCCTTTGTTAATTCTGCTCCATCATTTTGTATTTCTCTGTCATCAAAAGCAGGTTCTTTTGCTGTAGCATTTTCTTCTGGGACAGACTCCTCGGAAGTAGGAACAATGTTTTTCTGGAAAATGGTTTCAGATTCAGTAGCTTCAGTGTCTTTAATATCCTGGACTGATTCCATTTCCAAAATTTGTGGTTCACTTTCTGTTAGACTTTCCTCTGTTGCTTGCTCCTCACATTGAGTAATATTACTTTGGTGGGCAATTGCTTGATCTTCAGAGGCTTCAACACTGCTCTCTACCTCACCTGTCCAATTATCTTCAACAGCAGCATGTGTTTGATGGGAAGCTTCTCCTGTTTCACCATCTACAGTGTTACTTATTTCTTCTGGTTCAAGATCCTTTTCTTGCACATCATCGATTGGCTCACCTGCTACTAAATCGGCTTCTTGAGCTGTCTCCTCAACAATAGCCCCACTGCTTTGGTTGGGTAATTCTTCGGCCTTCACACTATCATGTTGCTCTGTTAATTCTGCTCCATCATTTTGTATTTCTCTGTCATGAAAAGCAGGTTCTTCTGTTGTAGCATTTTCTTCTGGAACAGACTCCTCAGAAGTAGAAACAATGTTTTGCTCTGAAACGAGTTCAGGTTCAGTAGCTTCAGTGTCTTCCATATCCTGGACTGATTCAATTTCTAAGATTTGTGGTTCACTTTCTGTAATACTTTCTTCTGTTGCTTGCTCCTCACATTGAGTAATATTACTTTGGTGGGCAATTGCTTGATCTTCAGAGGCTTCAACACTGCTCACTTCGGTTGATCCAATCTCATTCGTCTCACATGTGGTTGGATTATCTTCTTGGTTTTGCTTCTGAGAGATGGCATCATCCTTTTGATGAAATGTTCCACTCAAATCAACAAGTTCAGGTTTCTTCATTTCTTCTGATTCCAGCTCCTGCATTGATTGTGTATCAGCAGTTGACACACTTTCAGGTATGTTATCTCCTTGAGCTGCCTCCCCAGCAAAAACCTCATTACTTTGATCAGTGATTTCTCCAGTTTTTGTATCTATGTTGTCCTCACTGGCCTCTATTGATCCTGCAATAGTTAGTTCTTGAGTGTTGGAAATTGTTTCACTTGCTGTTATACTATCTTCTGGATTAGATTCCTCAGAAACAGAAATGTTGCTTTCCTGGGGAATTGATTCAGTTTTAGTGCCTTCGGTTTCCTTTATTTCTTCTGCTGACTCCGTGTCCTGTGTCTCACATGCTGTTGTATTCACTTCAACTGGATCATTAGAGGGAGCAGCATGGCTTGTATGGAAACCTGCCTCTGTTTCAATAGGTTCAGGGCTCTTGATTTCTTCTGATTCAAGACCCTGCAGTTGCAATTCCGCAATATTCTCACTTGTCAGCACATTGTTTTCTTGTCCTTCGTCATCGACAGTTACCACATCGGATGCTTCTACAACATTATCAGGTTCGGTGTCCTTGACTTCTTCTGATTCTACATCTTGTACTTCTTGAGAAACACAGGTTGGTCCTTCTGCTGTACCATCATCTTCCACAGCATCCTCCTTAGAAGTAGCAATAGTTCTTTCTTGGGAGATCTCTTGAATCTCAGCAGCTTCAGTATCCTTCACTTCAATTGAATCTTGTTCCAGCGAATGCTGAATATCATCATTATGTGGCTCACTTCTTGTTGAATTATCTTCTTTTGGCAGTTCTGTGGAAACAGCAGCAGGGGGTTGGTGGGTGATTTCTTCAGTTTCAGTGGCTTCAATTTCCTTTGCCTCTTCTAGGTCTGCCACTTGTGATTCACTGTCTGCTATACCACCTTCTTGATCTAAGTTACTAAAGGCAGCAGCCTCTTCTGCTAGTTCTGTCTCAAGTTGTTTACTTGCCACGATACTATCTTCTTGATTTAAGTCGCTGAAGATAGCAGAGTTCGTTTCGTTGGAAGCTTCATCAGCTTCCTTAGTTTCTTCTTGTTCCAACTTCTTCACTGGTCGTATATCTTCTGGTGGCTCACTTGGTATTACCTTATCTTGAACTGCATCTTCAGCAAAAGCCACATTGCTCTGACTGGAAACTTCTTCGGCTTTGACATCACTAGGGCCCTTGGTTTCTTCTGGTTCAATGCTCTGTATATCAGAACTGGGATTTGTAGTTGCTGCATGATCTTGAATTGCCTCATCAAAAGCAACACTGCTTTGTTGCACTGTTTCTTCAGTATCAACTGCTTCAGCATCTTTCATTTCTTCTACTGATCCCTGGTTTTGCTCTTCTTTGGTATCAACAGTTGGCTCTCTTGTAGTCGCATCATCTTCTGGAGTTTTCTCCCCACAAGTGGCCACATTGCTCTGATGGCAAGTTTCTTCAGCTTTTACAGACAAACTATCATTGGTTTCTAAAGCTGGTTGTTGATTCAGAGCTTCTTGATCATCAACTGACGCCTCCTCGGCTTGTTCAGTTTCAGGCAAATCAGATTCTTTGCTTTCAGGTATCTCTTCCTGTAACACCTCTGCATCCATGTCATCGGCTTGCTTACTCTGTTGATCTTCTGCTTTGACTTCTTCATCTGCATGTTCTGCAATAACTTTATCTTCTGGAAAGCTCTCTTTGTGGTCAAGATAAGCAGTATCATCTTCTTTAGCCGGATCATCTGTTTCTTTGTTTCCTGGAACGGTGTCAGAGTCACCCACATTAGGCTCCAGAGGAGACTGGATTCCAGCCGGCGCTTCAGCTAGAACCTCATCGGCAGGAATATCTGTCATGATTGCAGGTTGTGCTTCCTTGCTTTCTTTTGATGAATCCAGATCTTGAGCATCAACTGTTTGCTCAATAGCATCATCAGTTTTACAAATTTCTTCCTGCACCATGGTGTCATTCGTTACATGACCTTCAACATCTTGTTGGCCATGATCCTTGGCCTCTGCATTCTCACATTTGAGAATGGTGGTATCTTCTGATGCACTCTCTCCATGGCTAAGAGAATCAGTCATCTCTTCTTCATTGCTTTTATTGCTCGGGTAAGTACTTGTTCCATCAGATGAAGTTTCTACCTGCTCTTGACTTTCCTGATTAATTTCATGGGGCTGCTCATTTGAAATATTCTCTTCTTTATTCACATGACCATTCAAAGAAGACGCCGTGCCATTTAAACTATGTTCTGAAGGAATTTTGGTTTCAGAGGGTGCTTCTACTAAAACTTCGTCCTCTGGAATCTTCAATATTCCTTCAGTTGAACCCATGGTTTGTGCCTCGCCCTTGATCTCTTTAATAGAAGAAAGCTTGCTGTCAAGTTGTGCTTGCAAATCAGTCGCAGCTTCCACTTGAACTTCCTGGGAAATGTATAGGTTAATCGAACATATAAAACTGATACACTTCATGTGACAGTGGGTTGTCATTATGACATGTACATTGTTTATTCACAAGTTAGGAATTGATAATGACTACCCGCATATAAACTGAAATGTGCATCCACATATTCAACTATCTATTAACATTGTTCAGTTTCAGTTATAATCCGTACAAAGGGACATCCAAGAACATAATGATAATACAGCATTACAAACCCTACATATAAAGTGTCCACTGTCCAGCATGACAGAAAGGATTTCCACATGGCAACTATGTTTTTACCAATGAATGACATTGATGGCACATGCTGGTTCAGTCAGACTGCATGCAAGACAGTAAGAGTATCTATTTCATGGTTCTAGTACACCAACTAGTCAACAAAGAACAGTCTGACTTATTAAATAATATGGCAATGCCACATGCTAAGCCAGGTGGCACACCTAATTGAAGAGTTTTGCTTCTGAATCTGGAATGTGGACATCCTAACTGGAAAACGTTGTGCCTATCTTAGCCTCTTAGGAGCCTTGATTAATTCTAGAATGAATCAAGATTGCAGGAGTGTGAAGTGCATATATTTAAGTACTACTTGATTAGTTCTGCAACTATATGCTTAGGCATGCTTCAAGTATACTTTGCTCACATCATGCCTTTGTCTTACATTGACACACTCGACTGTTCATGCTCACTGTAACTGCCAATTTCTGATTAACATTTTTTTACCATTTTGTACTGTTTCTGACTGTTAATGTATTGCTTTCTCTATACAGGTAAAGTAGAACTATAGAAGTTTACTTTTGAATGACACTGTTTTCTTTTTTTCTTCACGAAATTAATGAAGGAATAACCAAGTTGGGTAAAAGAGTACTGCTAGTGATTTTTTTTTCGAAAATAAAAGGATAAGAGTGTACAATTGTTATACTTGCTCAATAGGCTACATATTGAAAAATAGGATCCCTTTAAACGAATCTAACTTTTATGTAACAAAATCAAGAAATGGTTAAGTTTGAAAAGATCGGCGTCTTAATTCTGTTTGCTATAAACCAAAGCGAAACTTGATTACTAATTACTGTGCGCTAACCTATTGCATCGTTTAAGCCCATGCTTTGCTTTTTAAGATTGTTTAGGAACACAAATGAACTCAGTGCTGGCATACTACATGAAGAGCATCCATAGAACCCTTCAAAAGCAAAGAACATCCCATAGATACTATGAAGGAGATTAACATGAAGAGATCATGGAACAAGAAGTCACGGTGATGATTTTCCTTGCGAACTGGGCATGATACATATATGCTCAAGAAGATCATGGAGCAACAAGTAAGAAACACTGATGATTTACCTTGCAAACTGGCCAAAGTCTGTTAGCTGATACATAGAGAGCTCATCACCATTCAGGTGATTTCTGCAACACTGGAGCTCTCTACGTAGTTTTGCATATGCAGAAAGTATGCATGCATGGAAACAGAAACAAGCAAGTTCTGCACAAAACTCAGAGACTACGAGAAGCCATTGGTTACCTGGCCATCTGTTGCTTCCCTTGCTTCTTCTTCCGTCGCCATTGCTCCAGATCAGGACGGGAAGAAGATCAGGATGGGAAGAAGAAAAGAAAGTGAAAACAAAAGAAAGAACGAAAGAAAGAAAGAGAGGCTTCTTCCCTAGAAAGTCTTGTGGGTGCTTGAAAAGATGGCGGTCTTTATACCAGCCTTTCTTCTGTCGATATATTTTCTATTGCTGAGCAGCGGTTAGGAAAGCAATGGCAGACTGACACTGCTCTTGATTGGCGGTTAGCGCTTTGCTTAGCCATAATCTAGATTAAGTGGTAGAATTTATCGCTGAAATGGTTGATCAGTGAACATGGAAACTTAGCATTAGGTGCCAAAATGCCAACTGGTACATGAGGCACATGGTAGTGGTGGCTGGACCAGTGTGTCTAGCATTCTTGCATTGCTGGACCCACAGAACCTTTTCTGTGTGAAATTATTGCATCGATAATTGCTCTCAAGTATCATCCTTGGATCCCTATCTTTCATTCTTTTTTCCTTGAGTGTAGCTCGGAAGAAAAGTTTAATTTTCAGTGTAAAAATACTATTATCTGCCTTTTCTTTTGTTGCTTGGCTTTACATATAACATAACATGATTGTTCAATATTCCCTACAGGTGCAGGTCATCTCATACCAGTTAGGCTGCCATGGCATCTTCCGGCACATTCGACGATCTATACAATGGGGAAGGTGTCACAAAAGGTACTGTCCATCTTACCTCATAATGCACTTGTAATGCCAAGTGGATAATAGTATGGATGCAGTCAATGTTTCTTCAGGACATCAAAAGGTTTGCTGAATCTAATCGAGTGAAAGGAGCAACACGATGAAAGTAACTTCTCCTCTGATATAATGGTTTTGTGTTAAGTCCAGGTAAACAAGCACCACAATATAATATGTTGGTTCAGGTGTCATTTTTTCTTCCTGGACCTGTGCTGCTGAACGCCAAATTGAAGTGTCTGTTGCGATTTTTTGTCAGGTATAGGATCACCAACAGTTTGTAAACCTCATATACTTCACCATGAGCTCACTGTTTAAACATCCAGAAGTATGGTAGCCTTGACACCTGCTGACATTGCTCATAGAGGGCCTAGTTTCTGAAGACTGCAGAGCCACAGGTACAGATAAAGGAGGTGCATGCCCCCTGAATATTCAATCAGTCAAGTGGCTGCTGATGACAGTGATCTGCAGCAAAAGAATTCCACATGATCAACTACTTTGGAGAAGGAAAATACCAAGTTGGCAAATCCAAAGTGCCATGCTGGATCCAGCACTCCAGCTACTGATCAAACAATCCAAAGTTAATCCTGTCAAAGTTAAGAAATCCACCGGCCGTCACCTGCAGTGCTGCTTTCAGAGACTAAACCAGATGATTTTCTGAAAACCAGAGGCAGGTGGTGTTTATGTCATGTATTATTCCATCATTATCACTGCGCCGAAAGAGAGAAATCAATGGAGATAGCCATGCGAAGATGATGTCATGGATGCTTGGAAATACTTATCATCAGCCTCTATCAGAGATGAGTCAGCATCGTACGCAGCCCATATCATTGGCTGGAAATATTGTTCAGAGGTTGATGTTTTGTTTCCTGGCACTGTTTTCTTTTGCTCCCTGGAATATATATAGCCGTCACCCTGTGGTCCCACTCCCACCGTCTATGTACATGTCAATGTGTTGCTGCTAATTAACTAGCACAGCACCATCTCCATAAGCTTTTTTGCATTTGTGAAAACAAAAATTCTGATCATGCAAAACAGAAAAGAAAAATGAGGAAATGTTAGGTCCAGAAAGAAAGAAAGGAGCTAGTGTTTTTCTTGAGAGAAAAAAAAAAGGAAAATATTGGATGAAAGGAACAAGAGTATAGAATATATCTGACCTTGTGATTGGAAACAAACATGCAACAGCACTTAGGGAGGCACCGGCCGTGCAAAAGCCATCTTGTCATGTTGTGCCGCCAAAATCATAACCACCTAAAGATTTTTTGTTTTTCCTTTTTTCCTTCTCAATCCATCCATCCATCCATCAGCTGAGCAATTTGAGTTTGGCTGGGAATATTTGATAATGACACATAAGACAAGGAAAATATACACACTAAAGGCAGCATTTACAAATAATTAGCACTAAAATTGCACTAATATATATGTGGAGGGAGATAGAAAGCATCTTGTTCCATGGATGGCCAGTGTTTGATCAGCTGATGCCTCTACCTGTTTCTGCCATGATTAGTTTGGCCAGATCGACAATTAAGGCAGCTGCAGTTGTACGAGCTGTGCTTTTGTTTCGTAGCTAGGGAGAGATCAATTTGGCTCGCAAATGTTTGTACCGTATACGCATCCAACTACGTATTTGTTTGCACTAGAGACTGACTGATCCAGCTACGTACGTATAGCTATTGCTTTGTTGGCTTATGATAGATATTTTTCCTCGCATTTTGTTACTCTATCGGTTTTCTTTCATAATATCATAATTTTATTGGGTCTCCAAATATATTTCTTTCAGTCAAAATTAACGGTTATATTGGAGACTGATTATATGGTCAAGAAGGTTGGTGTTCATATATGTAGTATAACTCGTTGGTTGTGTGTATCTCGTGCAGAGGTTGGGCGGGTTCAGTTCGATTATATTATCTTGGTGTAATTGACTGAGTTTTAATAAAACTTGAATTATCTAAATATAGTATAACTCTCACTGTGCCTTTTGTTTCACTTCTGCATTTCCAAGTATGTGTGAGCAATTCAAAGATCAAAATTCCACAACATGTGTCCGGATTGGATAGTTGGATCTATGGCCTTTCAGAGTGTAGGGTAGGTTGGTTGATTGGATTGCAATATAGGTCCACTTACTGTTGTGCTTTCCAGCCTTGTTTGACTCAGGAATCAGAATAGAACATGCTCTGCCGTGGATTATTTGTTACACGCTTTTAAAAACATGTTATTCTTAAAATAGTTTGTTTTACTATGTTTCTTAGATGACTTGTTGTAAACTACTCCCTTCGTTTCGTTTTTTAATAGATGACACCGTTTACTTTTAAACACATGTTTAACTATTCGTCTTATTAAAATTATTTATGCAAATGCATGAAATATAAATCATGCTTAAAATAATTTTAGGATAAAACAACTAACATAACTAATGATAATTTCATAATTTTTTTAGTAAGACGAATGATCGAACATGTACCCGAAAGTCAACGGTGTAATCTATTAAAAAACGGAGGTAGTATTTGTTGAGTTTATTTCTTAAAATATTTAATTTATCGTTGTAATCAAGTAGACAAATCCACTGTAACAAATCTCGTGAATAATCTGTTTCAAACACCTCCCTAAAAAAAGGAATTGTCTTAGCTTTCATCATCACTGCATGTTTCAAATGAATGTTTGGATTGCCACAAATTTTTAGCCATACTTGTTGAAATTCTAGACTACAAAAGTTAGTACTATCAATACTTGCCAATGTTTTAGCACTACCAAACATTGAAAGAGAAAAAATTGGCTTCAAACCAACCAAGACCTTTCACCTGCAACACAGGTGTACTGAACTGAATATACTGCTCCTACCAATCTCAGACAGATACTGAAGATTAGCTGCTTACTACATTTTACAGATCAGACAAGCTACTACGAAGAACTTGCTACCAAACACGGCATCTAGGTAGGATGGAGAAAGGGGAGAAAAGAAGGCTTTTTGGAAGCAAAAGCTTCTGCATTGCAGGCTGGCTAGTGCTCATGTGGGCACATCAAAGACAGCTTTTTTTCCCCTCTTTTTTTTTCTTTTCTTTTTTTTTACCATGATCACAGAGCAAAAGAAAGAAGAAAGGTTGCTTCAAGAGGCAGGTGAATCCAGCGAAGTGAGGACATTTTCCTGGGCCCCACTCTTGTGCTGTGTCACTGACATGTGGGCCCCCAGTATCTGCACTCCTCTATCCATTCCAGACCACACTAGTCACTTGCAATCAGACTAACAGAGTAACAGTAGACAACAAATAGCTGACCAGATACATCTAAAGAAAGAATTTTTCTCACCAGATATGCAGATAAACAGACAAGATTAGTTGAGTACTCATCATCTCTGTATGACTTCAATCTCATCATAATTCTGTTTCAAGTTGACAAGATTAGCACTAAGCAGTTTGGTAGCCATACATACATTGCATGCAGGAAGGCAGGCAGGCAGTATCGATCAAACCTTGTACTGAAAACTCTGAAACTTCTGAAAACTCTGAAAGTGAGGCTCGCGGTCGTGTCTGCCTGCCTGTCAGTCTTCTCATCGTCTCCTCGTGGTTGAGCTGTCCCTACGCATATGGCGCTGACGTCATGTGGGCCCCACCAACCGCCCCTACTACAATTAGGTGCCTAATTTTTTTTCTCTCTCTCTCTATCCCTTCTAAGCAAAATAATAATCATCATTGGGGTTCTAGATTAAGAGATGGATTATGATCTGGGATTATCTGTATTATATTTGCCAATTTGCCAAAAGCCCAAATTAAACGGTAGGTACACAGACAGACACACTCACCAGAATGTGCAGCTATCCAGCTGGGAGCCCATGTCATCACTCACTCTCATGCAGCTGGATCATCAAGGTGTCCATCCAATTAGTCCAATCGAACACAAGAGGAGCAAGAACAAGAAGTACTACACTTGCATGATGGTTTGGTTTGGCTTGCTTTGGCTTGAATCATCAGCAAAGAATCAGGAGTTCAGGACTAAAGAAATCAAATGAGCACTATTGTCTTTGCAGCTAATTAGTAGACAGAATTAAGATTCTGCAGTTGGCAATTGCCTGTCTGTTAACAACAGAAAGCTGCAGAAGAGGCTAGGGCTAGGGAGAAAGACATCAAGGCAGGTTCAGGCTCTTCAGAATTCATGCGGTTTCAGGATGGTCACAAACAGAGTGTTGCACATCAAGGACTCTTTGGAACTTAGGATTTTTAGAATAGGAATAGGAAAAACGTAGGATTTGAATACCATCACATGTAAAATCCCATAGGAAAGAAAACAGAAAGAATTATTTAATACATATGTTTGGATATATCACAGGAAAACCATAGGAATTTTGAGAGAAGAAGCCTTGGAAATCTCAAAGGTTTTTGAAACAATGAGGTTTAACCTACAAAAAGGGGAGGAATTTTTCCTATCTTTTGATTTTCCTTTGAAGCAATCCTACAATCTAAATGACTCATATAGGAATTCCTATCCTTTTTTTCAAAAAGGGTATCAGTGTTTCTGCCAAATTGCCAAAAACAGTGGAGTTAGCAATTGAGATGTATTACTTTGGGCCTGCCCAAAGTGCAATTAGTGATATATATCACCAATAACTACTACAAGCTTATTTGCTACTGGGCCTTGAAGCCCATGAAGACATGGGCCTCAACAACTACTGAAATCTCTGACAAGTATCAGTATGCATGCAGCTTCAATAATTAGGAGCCTAATACACAAGTACAAAGCCTATCTTAATACTACCAGCTTTCCATCTCAAACCCAGTACTGCACAGTTAGCCACCCCTTGCCTTTGACAAAAGAGGACAACTCAAAAAAAAAAGTTGTAAAGGCTCACCTATTTAATTAGCTCCCTTTCTTCTGTTGCTCTCTACACTGTCACTCTCACTGCACTTCCTAGCTTAGCTGTTCATCTCTCACCTGACTGAAAGCCTCCATTGCCAGTTTCTTCACCTGCTTTGCTTAACACCAAAGCTTAATTCAGTAATTCATCAGCTACACTAGCTGCTGTTAATTAAGCAGCAGAAGAAGTAGCAGCTTAGCTGCTGTAATTCATCGCATCCATGGGGATCCAAGAAGTGAAGAAGAGGCTGCATCTCCATGTCGAAGCCCAACCGGAGAGCTGCAAGAAGAAGGAGCAGGCCGCCGTGTGGGTGCTCGCCGGCGGCGGCGGCGGCGGCGGCGGCGGCGGCGAGATCACGGTGTCGCTGAAGCCGGTCAAGGTCAGCCGGCCACAGCTCGGCGACGAGGAGGAGGAGGAGGAGGAGGTGACGACGCCGAGAGGGGAGGAGTGCAGATTACCGGCGGAGGCGGCGACGTGCCCGCCGGCGCCCAAGAAGCCGAGGACGGCGGCGGTGGCGATCGTCGCCGGCGGCGGCCGGCGGTGCAACTGCTGCGACGACGACGGCGGCGACTCGCTGGAGTTCTTCCGCGTGCCGGCGGATTTGGAGGCCGTCTTTGCCAACCGAGTTGCAAAGGCAAATTAGTAGTAATTAATTTCATAGAGAGATAAATTCGTCTTGAATTTTAAGTGTAATTTGATCCAAGTCTAGCTCTGAAGATCAGTGCAATTAATGGTGTGTGCATGCATGGGTGAGTGAGTGAGAGATCAGTGCAGCTGTAAAAAAAAGTTTCTCTTTGTAGCACATGATAGTGTGAGTGATTTCCATATGATTCCATCCCTTTTGATTGATCATTTCTTCAAGAATTAATCAAGAGGCATTTGTAATTTGCTCTCTCGATCTCTTAAATTGTGTGTGCTCAGTGATTTCCCGCGTTTTTTTTTCTTTCATCTCTCTTTCTGTATGGCATTTGGATAGAGTTTGGATATTTCCAAGTTCTTTAGCAAATGGCAAAATTTTCAAGTGCACTTGAGCTTGGTGATTGTGAATGTTTGCATGGCCATGCATACATCATCCACCAATCATTTTTTAATTTTTGGATTTTGTAGATTTCTTTTTCAATATTTACACAAGATATTTTTCCAACTACAATGTGTAATTAAGCCATAAGTATTGATGAGATTCCAGAGTATTGGCATCAGATTTCCTTCATGCTTTTTTTAACTATTGCTGGTGACGATGAAGATGTCTTAAACACACACGCTAACCCTCAACCTGGGATCTAAATAAACAAAACTTCGCAAAATGTTTTCGGGATTATTTGATTATGTAGCAATTCTCAATGGAAATCATGGGGGGATTCACATATCTTGTTGTGTTTTAAATAAATAAAATTGCTGCAAAATGCTAACATATGTACTCAGGACAGCCCATGATTCAATATAGCAAAGCTCTAACCCGCCAAAATTTGAAAATCTGACTTCTTAGCACAAATCTAATTAATTAAATCCCCGAAAACATGCAAGTCACTTGTACATTTGATATAATCGGTTGTTCCTAAAGTGATTTACTTTCTCGAGCTTCGAGAAGAAAAATATACTAAGTATGATCCCAATTGGAGGTACTATTTATATTTTACACAAGAACTTTAGCAAAGTTGCCAATTCCCGTACATGATACACAAAAATGTCATCCAATTCTTGTACTTGAAAAACCTAATAAAAGAGGACAGTAGTGCTTTTTTTAGAGGACAATAATGCTTAGTGTTGGCTATCTCAAACAAAATTTGTAAGTCCATCATATTACAGGATTAATCCATCCAAGTTGTATAAATCAAATCCTACATGCAAACACAAATCAGACACTCCAAAACACTGAAAGAAAAAAGAGTCAAAGTGCAGTGGTTAACAATACATGCATGCACACTATCAACTTCTCACTGATTTTTCTTTTTTTTACAACTACTACTACCTTTGAAGTGCTAGTAGCTTCTGGTCAGTGTAGGTATCCCAATGTTCCATGGAATGTTCTAATCCTTTAAACATTAAAAATTCAGATACAACTGCTGCTAGATGGATGCAGGAGGCACACACACAGTATGTAGTATATATGATCATCCAACCCAGTTGGACTGGACTGAACTGTTAACTTGGCAATATACTATTACTGTATAAACATTTGGATACTAGTGTAACGGCTCCCACTAGGCCTCAGTGCTATCTACTATACCTTTTCTCCCTTGGATCCCTCTATGCATGGGCCCCTACATTGCTCAAAGGCACCGGCCTTGCAATGTCTGTCTTCCCGCTTCTACTGGTTTGACCCTGCACAGTGAAAAGGTGTTTGTTATTACAACCCTAAAAAGAAAGTAAAAAAAATATACATCACTGCTGTTAACTATGTCTTTTTACTAAAGATACATTACTAGACTAGATGTGCCCTTTTGTTTCATATGATTCTTAATCAGTTTAAGATGTGTGATGATGGATAAAGAAATTGATTCATCTTGTGGAAATCATCTACAAGCATGATCACTAATTGCTGCTGTCAATTATTGTTGAACTGTTACTGTCTTATAGGATCAAGATTCAAGAGGTTTTGTTTTATTTCCAAGAATTGTAATGCACATAGAAAAGAGTAAAAGGCCGAATAAAGTCCTAAGGAAAGTAGTACTCAAACAGCTTTTTAAGGTAAAAACAAACTGTGGGTTTTAATGCTAGGATCTCAGGTACAGATCCTCTTTGCCAGAGAAAGATAAGGCTTGCATTGGTTGATCCATCTGAATTATAGCCCTGGGGTTGGGTATGTGTCCACATGATGAAAGCTCCAGTTAAGAGTACTGGAGATGATTAGAGAGACTAGCTCCACTTTATTATGTCTGCCATTATAGGCATAGATGTATTTAATCTATTGGCCCATGGTGTCTTCCCTTGAAGTCTTCAGCTAGACAAACAAGAAGAGTTACTGTTAGTGTATATGTAAATTAATTGATGTAACAAGACTCCAATGTTTGTCCTGATTGATCTAATAAAATGGTGATTCAATTATTGGATTGGATATGGGATAAATGAGAGAGACAGGGAGAGGTGAGTGTTGTGCTTGATTTCCTAGAGGACCAAATTAAAATGCATTTTATCTCGATCATTGCAACTTAGCCATAAGATGATGAATGAAAAAGACAAGTGCATATGGAAGGAAGAAAAATCTTTGTTGAAATATATGCATGACCTGGACAGTTTTGATGGGCATTAGAAAAATCATATCAGGCTCAATCCCCATTAATATGTATAGCTTTGCTCTATCACCAGATAGTACTACAAGTTGTTGTCTCTTCCTTTTGCATTTATGCACAAGCTAACTTTGATCACTGCATTCCATGTAATAATTTGGCATGCACCTATCAGGTCTAATTAAGACTATTAAGTCCATGTGCTGATGGGTAGTCATATACCTTTGCATCCTACATTGTTTAGAGGACATGCTTCATCAACAAAGCAATTCAAAGCTATGTAATGCAAGAGTGAGAACATGACAAGTCTTTCAACCAGTAGACTAGGGCCAATGTTCACCATTCCATGCATGGCCCTGTTGGCTGTTGTGCTTCACCATTTGTGTAACAACACTTGATAAAATCATGAGCCTTTTCCATGGCACTTTCATGGTTTTGGAAAGAGGTCTACTATGTAAACATGTGCACAGTGACGTGGACACAACATGGCCGTATCTCTAGTACACATGTTCAGATCCATGAGAGTGAATTGCAGAACACATGTGGTACAAAAATGCAGGTTCACACGCACAGTCACCTCATTGATGAATACTATGATGAAATGCATCAAGAAAAGGTGTTTGAAGTGTAGCAGAATTACAGAAAGATATCTGATTGATGTATGATAACAAAAGCTGCACTATTTGTGCAGAATAGTTGGTAAGTATAATTAAACGAAAGTATTGTTTTTATGTGGATCTTAGAGCCAAATGTAGACTAAGGAATGGTTCTTTCAACTAAAGAACCTGACATGTATTACGTGGATCATCATGGGTAAATGAATCTAAGGCTGTTGATGTTTGGTGTGCTACAGCAGGCTAGGATAGTACATTAGTACTCCTACCGAAGTTCATAGGGAACCATGGGTTGTACACTTGTACTCCCTCCGTCCCAAAAGAACCCAACCTAGGACTTAGATGGGACATAATCTAGTACAACGGATCTGGACAAGCTGTCTGTCCAGATTCGTTGTACTAGCTTGTCCAGATTCGTTGTATTAGATTATGTCCCATCTAAGTCCTAGGTTAGGTTTTTTTGGGACAGAGGGAGTACCAATGAAAGATTCAACAACTATTTCCTGTAGCTATATTATTGGAGTATATAGTCCAAGCTATTCATAGTGTGTGCCAATTAGTTGGTCCAGTATTATCAGATGAATGTGTTCAGGCTCTACCACTATTGCAGTATTGTCCATAAGTTAATATAAGGAGAACGACTATCAGAATGCTTTGTTCCCACCAGACTATCAGAGCTGAACAAATATAATGCACCATTTAGAGATCACTCCATAAATGCAATTGGAAGAATCAAAATTAGCTCCATTAAGGGAGAAAATCTAAACGTATACCAGGATACAGACTGCAAGCAGGATCACCTAATTCTTCAGAGATACAGCGAGATGTCAAATACTGTATGAAGTAGATAACCAGATGGTTGAATAAAACAACCTACTACCGAAAGCATAATGAGCCAGAATTCACTGGTAGCTGGATCCACCATTGCTCTGTTCCATTACTCCATTTCGATGCCACTCTGTCTTTTGACGGCAAAAGACAAGCCCAATGTATTGCAGTTTACTTATGAGATGGTCAATGAGTTCACTGAAAGAATATTAAAACTGTGTATGCACAGGTATTAGGGCATGAGGACATGATCCGAGCTTATCTCATTTTCAAGTCAACGCTCTAGGGATGAGAGGTACATTCCCTGGAGGGAAGAGCAAGAAAGTGGAAAATTATCCCTAGCTGAGTTGAGGCTTAGAATAAGCTCATCTATTTGACGCCTCATCATGTACAACTCTTCAGCCCTATATTTGGATGACCACTCCTCTACTGTCCTGCATAATGGAAAACGCAGAAAATCAAAATGGTGGCAGCAAATAAACAATGCATACTCTTTTGCACACATCAGACAGACTTACCCAAGTACAAGTTGCCAATGAAGCTGACTAAAATTGATATTGAAATTTGTTTTAGACAAAGTATGACAGTGTGCCATCAGCATAGTTCCCATCAACAAAAGCATTACCTCAGAAAATATGGCCAGGGGTTGTGTATCCCTTCAATTATTTTTCAGAGTTTTTTTTGTTCCACTTTGTATGTAAGAATGCAAACTTCAATATATCTTTACAAATTTAGCACAAGAAAGACAAACACCCAAAACACTTTTAATATGGATAAAAGGCAGAAGAAAAGCATAACAAGTCTAGATTAGCTGTGTAAGCAGATCACGTACCTTAAGTCTTCTTCCAAAGCATTACTGCAATTAGAATACAAGATCTTAACAGAGGGCTGCAGATGTGCTGCCCCATGTGAACCATCCATATCATTTTCATAGCAGTAGCCAGAAAACAGCCACGCTTTTGAACTAAGGAGGACTATTTGAAGGATGGGCCTTTTGGTTTTCAGATCTCTGACTAATGTACGAAAAGATATTTCATCTTCTGCAACTTCAAGCAACAAATTAACAAAAAGTCTTTCTAATGTATGCCCCCTGCATAAAGATAATGGATGTTTATGATCAGTGATGAAATCAGTTTACTAGCAAGGACCATAGACTTTAGCTGCCTAGCTATACTGAACTGGTTTCCCTTCCCTTTTTACCTTTGAGAGGCGTACAAAATATTCAATGAGAAGTGAAGATACTGACCTGAACACATCATGAGGTCCCCCAACATGAAGGTCTGACGATGCATAGCATTTAAATAGTCGTACACGGCCATCTGCTGGAGCATGTGAATGTTGTGAAGGGTATGACCCAATAGGTGATGAGCAATGAGCACATAGAAGTTCAAGCCATTCAACATCATTTACAAGGTTAGATGCTTTCACAATGAAGCTACAACCAAGAGATATACTTTTTGTTAATTTGTAATCTCTTTGGGTGTCCAATTTAGCCTGCATTTCCAGGTTCCCAGAGGGCACGTTCGAAGGATTGTCTTCAGATTTTCTGCTGTTTCCACCGTCACAACAGCAATTGCATGGATCTACAGACAACAAATCGGTCTCTTTGGTAGGTTTCTCTATGTCATCAACACAAGAGTCATTTTTAGACTCCTCGGGGTTCACTTTAATGATGCCAGATTGATCAGTCCAAAGAGTGTCTCCATCTTTTTCACTATTACTGACACAAGGACCCTCTTCAGGAACAACAGAACATTGCACATGATTACAACCAATCTGCTTTTCATGATATGCTTTCTCTTCTGAACTATTAAATTCCATGTTCCCCGTGGTATGATCTTCTCCTATGTGAACATCACATATATCTTCCTGCAGAGCATCACAATCGTTACTGGGCACTGAACTAACTAACCCAGATGCTAAATCCTTCTCAAGATAATCCTTTTCTATGCTAATGGAGGTAGCATTTAGTAGACTTGTTCCCTCTAGACGCCCATATGCATTGATATACTGTGATACTAGCTTTTCGCTTGCACCTCCAAATGAGGTGCAACATCCACCAAACCAATTGTCAGCCACATCTTCCCAGTTTAACGATGGCATTTCCTCGATGTTCCTGAACATATGCATGTATATTTTACTAATCACCAAAGATAATATAAAAAAAGAACTCCACCATATGAACTTTGGCACATAGGTTTTCCCTAGTTCTTTAAGTATAGTCTATGATCTAATTGCGAAACACGATCAAAAGCTTAAACTCTAGCTTGCAAGTGACCAAAACCTTAGCATAACATGCTTGCTTGCAATAAGAATTCCATACCACTGAGGGACATACTGCTTTAGTGGGTTTCTTGGAGATAATCAGATAACAGCAAACTGATTATAGAATAAATGCCACTATAGGAATTCAGAAAACCAGCATCTAACGACTGAATTATATCTCTTCGAACTGAGAACCAGAAGAGAACCAATAAACAACCAAGGGACAAATTCTTTCCTATTCCCACTTTTCAATACTATCCCTCAGTCAGGACACAAGTTGAATACCCTAAAATTACTGCTTCTGTAGAGGTCAGAACATTTTATCATACTTTCGTAAACCTCTATGATCAAGCAGACAGGCCATCCCCCCAAGGAAGATTCCCCCAACTTAAAACCAAGGGCGATGATATGAAAGTCCAAGACATGTTTGAAGTTATTTGCACAAAACATGTGAACAGAATAGGTTGCATAGGAGGACATGAACAATGACAAATTGTTTAACTTGATAAAGAAGATGTCATGCGGTGGTTTCATTGCTACTAAATGTGAACCCCAGAGCATCAAACATATGATTTAAGAAGTAAGCAAGTTGAAATTTGCATGTATCTTTTCATTGGTAAAGAAATATATGCGCGGTGCATAAACAGACCATTAGACATGGTAAAGTGCAAAACAACTATAAGTCACAACTCAAAGTCTGTTATGCTCTACCTTAGTGGCTGTTTTGTCAATCTTGCTGAGCATGCTTTGCAGTACAAGTGAACATCTCCAGAAGACAGATTCTTTATATCTGTTCATCCAAGAAAATGAATCACAAATTCATAATTATAATATAAACAGGGGAGATTACATTAAGATAATACAGTAACATTTTACTAGCATTTTAAATTGCAAATCGACTTAGGTTTTCATTAGTACTAAAATCCCAGAGGCATACGACGATTTGGAGTGACTAGCGGGGATCGAATTATTGGCCAGGAATCAACGAGAAAGCTCATAAACCCTACTACCTAATAACTTCACAGGACAGTAAAACACACGAGTAGCTCACCATCGCGGAGGGAGAGAGGCGCGGGCGGCTCCTCGCCGGGGGGCGGTAGGAAGGCGGCGGCGACGACGGGGTGGTCGACGGGGAGGACGAGCGCGAGGCGGACCTCGACATGGTCCCCCGCGTCGCGGCACTCGGGAGGGGCGGAGGGGTCGACGAGCACCCTCGGGACGGGGACCCTGAGGGCGACTGGTTCCCCGGCGAGCGAGAAGGAGAGGAGGAGGAGCGAGTCGTCGAGGCGGAGGTCGGCGCGGAGGTGGTCGGCGGCCGCGGCGGCGGAGAGCTCCGGGCGGAAGAGGTAGAGGCGTAGGAGCGGGAGGTGCGCTAGGCTCTCCCACGTGTACCTCCACTGCCGCCGGCGCGCGCGGTCGCCGGCAACGGCAACTCCGGCGGCGGCGGCGGCGGTGGCGGCCATTTCGGTCGCGAGGCGATTCCCCCGTTTGTCGCGAAGGCCGCGCTTTAACAAAAGAAGCCCAGCCCACATAATAAAAGAAGCCCATACCACAAGATGAAACAAGTCCAGCCCATAAAACAAAAGAAGCCCAATCCACATAATAAAAGAAGCCCAGGACACATAACAAAAGAAGCCCATACCACAAGATGCAACAAGTCCAGCCCAGTGAACAAAAGAAGGCCAGTCCACGTAATAAAAGAAGCCCAGCCCACTAGTTCTTATTAACTAGAGACGTGGTAGAGACCTGACCTGACCAGCGTCAAGATTAGTGCGCCGCGATGGGCGACGACGTGGGGGCGGAGATCCTCCTGCGGCTGCCGGCGAAGGCCGTGCTCCGGTGCCGCGCCGTCTGCCGGAGTTGGCGCCGCATCACCACCACCGCCTACTTCGTCGCCGCCCACTCCCGCCGCCGGCCGCTGCAGCTGCTCGGTTACACGGGGCTCGCCGTTGACTCGTCGTCGTCGCCCTACAGCTACGTGTTCACGGTGATCACCTCCGTGATCCCAGCCTTCTGCGACGGCGACGACGCGGGTCGCCGGATATTGCTGCGGCGCGACATGCGCGTCAGCCTCCGCGGCTCCTGCGACGGCCTCTTGCTGTTCGAGCGGAACACGGGCGGCGGCGGCGACGGCGGCGTGCTCATCTGCAACCCGGCGACGCGGCAGCTGGTCGATCTGCCGCCGGTGGAAACGCCTCCGCCCGTCCGCCTTCTACTTCCACCGCCCCTCCGGCGAGCACCGCGTCCTGTGCTACCGCAACGGCGACAACTACATCCTCTCCACCGGCTCCGGCGCCAGCGAGCCACGGCGGCTCGGCCCCGTCCCGGACCACCAACGCCGGGTGTGCTCCCACTTCTGCGTCAAGGTCGGCGTGACGGTCGGCGACACCGTGTACTGGGGTCGCCGCCAGACCGACGACCGCGGCCAGATGTCGGCGTTCGACACGGTGTCGGAGACGTTCCGGCGGGTGGCGCCGCCGCCGCCGGTGAGCCACGCCGACGAGGGCCCCATGTTCGACATGCACGGCGCGCTCGCGGTGACGGCGATGAAGTCGACCGAGCCGTACATGGACGTCTGGATCGCCGCCGCCGCCGGAGGTGAGAACTGGGTGCGCCTCCTCCGGGTGGAGCTGCCGCCGGGACATTACTACTCCGGCGAGGTGAAGCCCCACGGCTATGGTAAGGCCGTCCTGGACGACGCCGGTGTGCTGCTCGTCGCCATGAACGGCTGCCCGAGCTTCCTGTACGACACCAAAGGCAAGAGGATGGTGACTGGTGAGTTGCTCTCATCGTATCAACGGTTTTATCTGCCAGAGCTAACTCTATTATTATTAACGACTTTGTCCCAAAAATACCATCACCGTTAGGGTTCCATCCATTTTACGCCGTTAAATACACTGTTTATCCTATAGAACTTAACGGCGCAAAATGGATGAAACCCTAACAACAATGGTATTTTTGGGATAAAGTCATTTGTACGATAACATTTCTTGGAACTCACACTTATCGATGGTATTTATGGGATTTGGACACTTGTTAATGGTATTTCTTGGATTATCTTTAATCGTTAAGGCACGGATTAGCAAATTAGTACGCTCAGAGTTTAGGTATTCAAAATTGCGAAATAGTACATAATCTAGTATATCTTCAACTTATCTTGAGAATTTTTTCATGTAAAATTTTGCACTAAACCATTGGTACGTTTCGGTAACTCTCAAAAACCATAAAATTCATAAATCCAGTATGATCTAAACACCATCCTTCAGTTCGTAAACAAGATTGCATTGCTCGCAGAGAATACGAGAATATTTGAACACTGTAACCAAACAACTAACGTTATATAATGATCAGTAGCAAGCAGGTTACAGCAAACGTAATTCCGTATCGAATCCAGAGAAGGTGGCACACGATCGAGATTCCATCATACATTATTATTGTTCTTATTATCATAGTTAATTATATTTAGTTGTTGTCGACCATTCTCTAACAGTCAATTCAAGAATCGCAGCAGATACTGATCATCGTCACAACATGTCAAACTTCCTCCGAACCAGTTCATCCTTTGCTGCAGCCATCGAGACAAGCTGCAGCATCAGCATCGTTTCGCCCCGCTGCGAAACAAACCAACATTAGTACTGCAATGCAAACACAAAGGACAAACAATCAAACAGATGGAAAATTCAGCGTATTGTTTCAAATACTCCTAACTAATCAATCAAATATGCAGGCTTGTAATGGATTCAGGAAGCTAAAGATGCGATAGCTGAAATCCAAGGGCAAACGAATGAATTAACTACTCCAATGTTAAAAATATTGCTTTCGAGAACTACTCTAAAGTCTAAAATAATTTTATATAGATCCTTTTTTCACGAGACGCACCGTTTAGAAACTTGGGAAGCGTAGCAAAGGGAAGTCCAAAATGAAGAAAGAAAAGATGACATGCAAAATTAATTGCAGAAAATGGGCATCTTACAGTAGCCTGTAGCTGCCTCGCCGCAGAAGGAGTTCAGGCAGATCATTCTGCAGTCGTCTCCGGCGATCGCTGGCGCCGCGGCCGCCGCATCGGTGCTAGTGCAATTGTGAACTGGATTGAAGACGCAGCAGCTGCCGCAGAACACCTTGCAGAAGGAGCGAGAATTGCGCAGGCCGCAGTTGGGCAAGCATTCGTGGTAGCATCTGCAGATCCTGGACATGGCAGCCACCTGCTGCTGCTGGCCTGGAAACAGCAGTATGAACATGCAGCAGACAGCAACCATGGCCACCTTCTTCACCTCCATTGATGCGATTCTTCTTCGTCGTCTTCTTCCTGCAAAGAACAGAAACATTTGTTAGTTTAATGATGGATTGAATCTTCTGCAGAAACATTTGGAATCAACTTACAACTGATGGCCTTTTTCTTCGTCAGAAACAAGAACAAACTAACTAACTGATGTGAACTCTTTGTAGTTGTAATTCTTGAATGTGATGGAAACCTGAGATATATATAAAGAGTTGGAGACTTGAATGCTTGGAATTGATGTGCCGTTGGAAGCATGAATTATTGGATAAGTTTTCCCCCAGATATTAGCCTGGAAACACTGAGCTACTGATTTGTTCAGTTCCATATGAAGCATTGCTTCGATGCCACAAATTTCCCAAAATTCCATTCCATTGATCTATTTCTACCTAGATTGACATATCTGGAGGAGTAAACACTACGCAAGTTCAGATATATCTGAAGTCTGAACTGCTTCGAGGAATCTTCGCATGGGTTATATACATATTTAAGCTCTGTTCAAGGAATCTTCGCACTGAAAAATGTCAATATGCATGCCAATCCGATAAAGTTTATCCCCGTTTGATTTATATTACCGAGTGGATTATTGCCACGGATTATCGAGCTACAGCATCGATAATATTGAGCATCAGACGTTTGGATTTTGGCTTATCAGCCATAATCAAAGCTAGAATTTTAAAACTTAATTTTAGAATTAGATTATCGTGAAATACCCTTGGCGTGGGCCTCACCAGCCTCGGCCCAGTAAAGAATTGCGGCCCATAAATCGGTTTGGGAAGGTGAGGTATCGGAACGGGCCGAACTCTCTCTGAAATTACACAAGATTTCTTTCAAGTTTGCTTCGATCAGAATTATTGCCGACGGCGGCCGGAGCTCCTCTCTCCGGCGACCTTACCTATCTAGTCGAGGTGCCATCTAAGGTTTTAAATCTTTGGCTATAGCTATTTTAAAAAAGTCTAGCTAATTACTCTCATGTATAATTTAGCCGCTATAACTTTATTTAGCCCGTTATAGTAGTTTGAGAAGACTAACAGCTAAATGTTTTTAGTCCGCTATTTAAAACACTAGTGCCATCCATGCTTTGTGTTGATGCTTTTTCACGAACAACACCTAACGATCTTGTGGTGTAATCAATAGAGATGGCAAATTCAAACCAACTTTTTTCTCACTGTCAGGTACTCAACTTCCTCCCTTCACCTCATGCATATTTCTTCCTGCATAAGTGTACCATTTTGCTCGATTTTAACAACCTCATTCACACACTTGCATCCATTCATTACTCATTAGCATTAATCACATATACAAATGACCATTAATTAATCAGCTCTACAAAATAAAAAAAATGTTAACAAATATCTCCTCCATTTGACCAATCAGTCAATGAGTCAAGCTATACATAACCCCACCACACTCTTTTTTTTCTCTCTGTTCATTTCAGTTTCCATTACATCCAAAAAGAAAAAGAAAAACTCTCTGAATCTCATATCTGAACCTGTAAGCTTCAATTTACATCTATCAGAACTACTATACGGTGGTGTAAAACGCATGTGCCTCTCCTGTTTTCTTTTTTCGCTCGGAGAGTTGCACCTGCTGCAATAAGAGAATCTCGCAAAGGAGGAATGGAAATGGAGTCGGTGATCGATGCCACCATCAGTCCATCACCACCAGGCTGCCATTATTCTTTTCTTGTGATCTTCACCATTGCCCTTTCTGTATAAACTGTTGGCAATGGCGGAGGAAGATGATGCATGACGGCCTGGCTTATGGTGTAGATGAGCCTCTTACGACTGAACCCGGAAACCACCTTGTGAGCAGGTGGTGTTTCAGTTTGATCACCAGTCTGAATACCGCGTAGCATGGTAATTGCATGATCGCGACGGCGAAGTACCTGTGTAGATGAAAAGATTCATTGAAAATCTGATGATTTGAGTTGTGATATTCATGATGATTTCAGTTTGTAATCTTTGCAAGAGAAGACATATGGGAGGAAGTATCATTGTAGGGAGGTAATGGAATTACCACAAAGGAGATAAATTAGCTGAAACATCGAGAAATGGGTATGGCCACCTGACAAATAGATATGAAATGTAGTGATCAGTAACAGAAAGATGCAAGTACTACTCTTAGTCATGGTTTTAGTAGTTAGGAGAGAATGGGAGTTAGAAAAAAAAAGTTACCAAAGTGGAGTTGATGCATGGAGAATCCATTGAAAAATGACATAGAGAGCAGTCCAGAGAAAGAAATATGCGACCCGGAACCAAGGGAAGCTCTGCAGATATGTTGAATTCAGTGGGTAATTGTCAAATTAACCATTCATTCATTCATAAAATTACTTGACTGATCGAGATAAGTAGTTATCAACTTACCAAGCTATTCAGGGCAGCTTCACCAAGCAAGAAAACGGCATTTACCGAGTGCATTCCTATCAACAACTGTCGAAACATAGTAACTGAATTTTTAGCACTGTATTGGTCAAAGTATGAGATGGCAGGTAGGGAAGGCCTGAAGCATGTAATACTTACAAAATTTAGATTGTAATCTTTGACTGTAAGGAATGGGAAGATGATGAACCAAAACACACAATCTGTAAGCATCACTGCGCCTGCATTTGTCTGTCATGGCAGATAAAAGGTCAGATACTGGTTCAGTAAAAATTGCTAGTAAACTGTAAAACTTACATAAATTACTCAGTTTTCTGTAAAGTTTGATAATAAGAGCATAAATCCTTAAAAGGATATTCACAACGATTATGAATTAATGAATATACCCATTCTTTTCTCTAAAAAAGGTGAGATATATTACAAAATTTTGTTGGCAAAGTGTACACAGTAACCCAACACAGATCTAGGTTGTGTTTAGTTCACACCAAAATTGGAAGTTTGGTTGAAATTGAAATGATGTGACGGAAAAGTTGGAAGTTTGTGTGTGTAGGAAAGTTTTGATGCGATGAAAAAGTTGAAAGTTTGAAGAATAACTTTGGAACTAAACATGGCGCTAGTAAACTACCATCCATAGAACTATCTAGTAATTCTTATCACAAAGCAGAACAATAGTTCCATTCTGTCCTATTTCAGCCTAGGAAGGTATTCAGTCACCGTTTGGGTACAGTTAGGCCTTGCAAATCAACACAAAGGAAACATGTTGTCTTTATTCTTGATGCCACTACTAAAAAGAGTCAGCCCTACATTTCGCAAAGCGGTTTAAAGCTGATTCAGCCCTTGAGGTACAAGGAAATGTGAGATTTGCAGAGATTATCTGAATATTTAGATAGGACCAACAAGATGTCAAGATGGCTCATGTAGGGCGGCTACGTGAGAGCCCTTGAAATGTGACCGGACAAAGATGCTAGTATGTGGGCACATCTGATCTTTAGAAACGGAATCCAATTCATCAGAGCACACCACAAACGTACTTTAGTTGTTAGTGCAATAATTGCGTATGAAAAGCCTAATGAGATCAGACCCCCTCTCCATGGACGCAAATGTCAGTGCAGATAAGATAACTCTCTTCAATAACAAATAAGAAAAAAAAAGGCGCTCAAGTGGATGGTTATTCTAAGTTCTTTGGCTGCATGGAATCCCTCTTTACCTGGTAGATGATCTGGAGCAGGTAACCCCAGAATCCAGCAATCTCTCCTGTGTCATCTTCCCCATTCAAATTGGGTTTAGTACCAGCTCCATGGGCGACGTACGAGCCGAGCTCCATGTCTGTTCTTTCAGTGACAACATTCTCATCAGCAAGCTTGCTGCATCCATAGATGGACAACGCCGTGCCGAGCTGAACAATTCCACAAAACAAACTTTTCTTCAGATGTGTTCGATGTAAAGATAAATCGACATGAATCATTAGATTCATGAATTCAGTGCAGAGACAAACTATTTTGTTGTGAAAAAGGAGGGATTAAGGGACCTACCCCGAAGTAAATCGTCACCAGAATGAAGGTCCACCTGCATTATCGACAGTTCAACAACCACTTATTAGAGGAGGAAGGCTGGTGACAAATGCTACTTCTGGGAGCAGGGTGACAAACACCAACAACTAGCGGATCCATGTAACGATAATTTGATTCTTGCAACCAGATACACTAGTTTGTTTATTGAGAAATATGATAAACACCAGAATTTTGCAACAAAAAGGTCATATATTATAATATATTATCAAAAGGCAGTATTTGATTAACTTGATGTGAGAAATGTTTAATGGAACAGGAAGTCATGTAAGACCAGGTAGCTAAGTTGGAGTGGGTATTCCTAGTGTTGTCCATTCCATTAATCAAAAACATTAATAAAAACTACTGACCATACAGGTAGTAATGCCGAATTTCAGTACTTCTAGCTGGTAGACTGGTAGTTAATAAACTGAGTATGAACAGTTATGACACTGTATTCCATACTGCACAAAAGACTGCATTTTTAAATGCGCTCCAAATAACATGTGAGGTCCTTTGTAATTATTAAATTGAGGTAATGTGTCACATATAAAAACAGTTTCAGAGATGTGCTAGTACAAATCTTGGTACTACCCATGACCATGAACAATAGAACCAAAATGGTGAGGCGCGTCGCTTGCTGTCTAAGCTAACAGGCAAACCGTTTTTAGCCATCAATTGTGCATAGTATTTTTAACAGAAAATGCCAGGAATTCTGCCTGACAGTTTTCATTAATTCTTTATATGCATGTTCAGAAAACCAATTGCTTCATGGAAAAGCACCCTTTATTCCCTGAAAAATCTAAATTACACCAAAGGGGAACAAATGCCAAACTTCTTGACCACAGTACATTCCTCCTAGTTGAAGCACTTGAGCACACAATGAAAATTTTAATCAATCTCATTTCCTTGCTTTTTTTTTTCTTTTAAAAAAAATCTTATCACCAAACTTTGCATCCTGAACACCATCCAAGTTATATGGGGGAAAACAGATAAGGAGGAAGTTAAACTTTGCATCAAGAACACCATCTTCCAAAGTTCCAAGTTAAAATGACATGTTTTTTTTGGGGGAAAGGAACAGATAATTAATGAAGAGGTAAAAAAAAAGTAGTAGCTGAGAAAATGAAATGGAGTGGCTTACTGAGTGTAGTAGTAGAAGATGGTGCCACCATCGGAGATGACAATGACGATGAGCAAGCTGAGGAGGACGAAGAAGGAGATGAGCCTGTAGCCGAGCAGCCACGCCGGGTGGATGTCCCGGAGGCATGGCCGCCACGCCTCGTCGTCGTACAGCACCCCCGGCCGCCGCCGCTCCTTGCTCCCGCCGCCGCCGCCGGACGCGCCGCCGGGGCGGCGTTCGGCGCCGGGGCCCTCGTGGCGCCACACGAGGCACGCCGCGACGGCCATGCACGCGAGCACGGACAGCGCGCACACCGCGGCGCGCCACTGCATCCAGTAGTGCAGGTCCGACGTGTCCGCCGTCACCGTCGGCTCCCACGACCGCGTCGACGACCCCCCCGTCGTGAACCTCATCTCCGCCACCGCCGCCGACGCCGCCACCGCCGCCGGCGAGCCGTGGAACATGTGTTCGACCACCGATCGAGGCCAATGCAGCACAGGCCAGAGAGAGGCTTCTTGTAGACGGCAGCAACCAAAGAAGCGAAGGCAACAACCAACGCGGGTGGCGTTCTTGCAACCAACCAAACGGCGCGAGGCTTCACACGGATGGCATGGAGATGGGGATGGAGGCAAGGAAGGAATGCGAGCAAGGCGAGAAGTGGAAGAAACAGTGGGCCTCTCCAAACCAAAAGATGCCAACTTTGCGTCACAAGCTAGGCTTCAATTCGTCCTCAATCTCACACTCTCTTTCTATCTCACACATCAGACAAACCAGCAGCAGAAACCTCGTGGTGAATGTGAGGAGGATGCAAGCAAGCAAGCAAGCAATCTGAGGAGGAAGACGAGGAGAGATGCTTGCACGCAACAGAGAAGAGAAGGGGAGAGGATTAAAGGTAACAAGAAGAAGAAGAAGGAGAAGAACTGGGGTAGGGGGGGTGAGGGAATGAGATGCTTTGCTTCACCCTACTTTGGAGGGAAATCTGTATATATATACATATCTATATATATGTGTCCATGTATCTCATCCAAAGCTCATTCACCTTCATCTCCCCAAATGGGGACACACATACCCAATTGTTTACTGTTTTTCTTTACCAACATCTCAATCAACCTCTTCTTCTTCCTTAATCCCTCACTCTGTGGGTCGGACGAGTATCCTCTGCCGTAACGGTAGGTGCCCAATTGCCCAAATGGGCCCACATGTCGGTGAATCGATTCGATGACACGGTTTTTTTTCATATAAAGGAAATGGATTACATCTCCGTCCTTTATCCGTAGGCACACAACCAAAATATCCAAAAGTGAACAGAAAAAAGCTTAAAAAAATAAGATGGGACAAATCTCCTATTTCTGTCAATAATATATTCTACTAAAATAAAATATCACAATAATATGATCTCACATGTCAGTGTCTCAATGGTGCCTGCCGTTACAACGGAGGTTCCGAGTCCGTTCTGGACGTCGCTGTAAATTGCTTAGTTGTTACAGTGAGATAGAGGTGTGGCTTGTGAAGCGAGGTAAACATGTATCAACGGCACTGATTGTTATGACAGAGGTTTTGTGTCGGTCTTTGTGCTACGTTTGTTTGTGAGGTAAGGCTGAGATTTTCAAACTTCATGGAAAGAAATGTCACTGACATATATAAACTTAAAAGTTAGAGTTATTTTATTTTTATGAAAGAAACTTTTTAATAAAAAGTTTTTACACGAAACATACTACTCCCTCCGTTTCGTATTATAAGACTTTATAGCATTACCCACATTCATATAAATGTTAATAAATATATACACATATATGACTAGATTTATTAATATCTATATGAATATGGACAATGTTAAAAAGTCTTGTAACCTAAAACCGAGGTAGTATTTAACAACGTGGGAAACGTGTTCGTGGTAAATAAAGAAGTAGTCCACATATGTGCCTCAATGGTACCAATGGTCTCGCATATCAGTGCGCCTCAACGGCACCTGTCGTTACGGTGAGGGATCGGAGACTCGGAGTCCGTCTTGGACGCCGTTGTTGCCATGAGAAAGAGAGGCGTGGCCGTGTAGTTTGTGAAGGGAGGGGGGGGGGGGGGGTAAAAGGTGAAGGCTTGGCTTGTGGAGGGGGCCATGGCCATGGATGGAGATGGACATGAGGTGTGTACAATTGGTACTACTGCAATGCTCAGTGTCTTTCCTTTTGGATTGACCAGGGTCATGGTCATGGGCTCATCTCTGATGGCTTGCTTTGGCTTGCTATTGCTAGGTGCTGCAAGAGCACTTGCATGGAACCAATCCAAGGCTGCTTTTTGTCGCGTCAAATCCAGTTTAAAGTTCGTCGAAAAATCTGAGGCGACGGTGCTTAATGTGCTATAACCAGTAGCCACCACCACCGACCGACAAAAGAATTGGGTGAAAAAAAATTTTCTTCAGTTTTAAGCACTCCTGGAACAGTTTGCTTTATTAGTTTTTTTTTGTCCTTCAGTTCCAAGCTCATGAAGAAACAGTTTGGCTTTTCAAATCTGTTCACACCCAAATTGTGGTGACTGGTGAGTGGTGACTCCAGCAATCTCAACAGCTGTCTGAAGAAACTGAAGAAGATGACAGAAAAAGTATTGGCTCTGTTCTTCTTTTTATATTCTACTAGTACTGTAGTACTTACCTGGAAAACTGGGCTACTCAACCCAAAAAAATGCATCTTGTACCACAAGGAATGTTTTGGTTACAGATGCAATATTTACTTCACAATATTTCCTTAACCCCATTTTGGTCATCATAAAAAAATCATTTACTAATAAATTTGGGAATATATATATATTTTTTCGAGTTTAATTTCATTTACTCCATTTTATCATAAATAATTACCTAGAAAACTCCATTTTCTAGGTAATTTACATAAAAGTTTTTTTTAATGAAAATCATACTGTTTAGAAGATCAGAAAGTGCAGATTTATCCATCATTATGGGTGTGTTTAGTTCACGCTAAAATTAAAAATTTGATTAAAATTGGAACGATGTAACGGAAAAGTTGAAAGTTTGTGTGTAGAAAAGTTTTGATGTGATTGAAAAGTTGTAAGTTAGAAAAAAAAGTTTAGATCTAAGCTCGGCCTATATTAAACACACCCTAAGGGGGCAAATAAAGTAGTTTCTCGGACATTTATCAGAACCAGCAAGCTTGCCGGCCAGGATTTGGAATATGCTGAAAAACCAGATAAGATCACAAGGGCACCACTTATTATTCTCCTCTCCACAACATCAACCTGCTAAAACCTTAGCCAAGCTAGTGCTAATTGCTAAAGGAGACCGACCATGCAGATCAGAGGAGGCCCATGCACATGATCCTAGCTAGCATTTGACAAACTTTCTTCTACTAGTTTATCTTATATAATTGGCAAAGCTCTTACGTGATGCAAGCTAGAATTAGCATTAGGTAGGTATAATGATGGCGTTTTGGCGAGATCGGATGACTGTTTTAGAATTTGACAGGGGACCTGGGGATAGAGAGCATAGAGCAGTTGGGCAAGACGACGAGCGTGATTGCACAATGAATGGCTTGTCCTCTTGCACTTTTCTGAACATTGATGCTCAGCTATATCCTTACCATGAGAGATACTATCTCTCAGTCCACCAATACAAGTATAAAGTATTTTAGACCTTAGAAGTTGTGAAAAACGTACAGGGTCTTCCCGCTAGCTTCACAAGGTGGTGGGCTAGACGACCTGGGTTCGAAGCATCACCCCTTCTAATCATTTGATATTAGGTCATTCCCTAATATTCGCTTACCTTAGAAGTTGTCTTTGATATGTTATTTTGGTCAATAATATTTATAACGATAAATTATTCTAAGTAGAAAGAGTTGCATATTATGATAGTTTGTTTCATGGTAAATCTATTAAAATTGTTATCAAGTCATTAATATTTACGGTTTTGTTGCTATTAACTGTCAAAGCTAGAAATGTTTGAATTGATGCTGCAAATAAACATGCTAATAGTTGGGAAGAGAAGAAGTATCTGGATGTATGGAGGAGAAGAAATTTTGGAGGCATGATGATTCTCATGTGCGACTTCTTTTTCTGGGGATTACTGTTTGTTCGTTGATTTGTTTATTATTATGCAATTGATTGTGTGATGAGATTGCCAAACAGATGGGGGGTTCTCAATTAGGGCCACGTAGTACTGTCTCATGCATGATGATTATGATGAGCTCCACAAGGTAATCCTTGTAGGGCAATATCTTGTTTATTAATTACGACTAGTGGAGATTCTCCCCAGCTGATGATATCTTTCTGATGAATCCCAATGTGCTATAGTAGCTTTGATGATGATTATGTAGTAGTACAACTGAAAGAGAGATAATAAACTAGCAAATGCTTACTGAGAAAAAGGAAATGTTTCGTATACCAAACTTGTACTACTTTGTTATGCCAAAATTGCTCAAACCAAAATGTCATCTAAAATTGATCATTTTGGTAACATGTTAAAAGAAAACAATTTTGGTAAGAATGGACAAGCAGGACAGGCCAAAAACAGTGGAACCAGAATTTCAACACTGAACAGCCAAGACAGGGGAACCTCAACCTGCTGGAAACAAACAATTCAACCAGAAAAAAGATAAATCCCAGGGATTAAGTGATAATCAATCATACTTTTTTTCTCTCTTCCAAAATCCTAACTAATTTTATGCAAGGACTGAAGGACCCTAGCTAGCTAAAGGAGCACACATCAGGTCAGCCATCACTCTCCACAGATAAAGGGCAAAGCAAAATCTGGGAAAACAAAGGGAGAGAAAAAAGAGAAAGGCAAAAGGCAAAGCAGCAGCAGCAGCTCTGCTCAGTCAGCATACTTATTTTTACAGCTTGCCACTTCATGAACACATGGTACACTGCCTTAATTATACTTGATTAGTACATGAAGTATCGATTACAGCAAACCATAGGTACCAAATTAAGGTAGTTAAACTAAGGCCGAGTTTAGTTCCAAACTTTTTCTTCAAACTTTTAACTTTTTCATCACATCAAAACTTTCCTACACGCGCAAACTTACAACTTTTCCGTCACATCGTTTCAATTTTAACAAATTTTTTAATTTTCGCGTGAACTAAACACATCCTAACTGATGTGTTGTGAGATAGTAAAATGTACTGTCAGCATACCGGATGTAATAACTACTCCTACTGTCGCTGTTGGAAGGTCAGTCAGATCCATAATCGAATCTAGCAGGGCATCCAGAGAGTACAGTACTGGACCCAAAGATAAACAGAGCTGTATTTGTTGCTGCAAGAAGATGTTTCAGTTTATTCAATATGTGTGGGTGGCTAATAAAGATCACAAGATCGATCAGCTCCAAAAAAACATAAATATGCATTTACTACGACATGGCATGGCTTTCAGTTTTCAGAATTCCTTTGCCTGCATGCCATGGAATTGGGAGGTGAGCATTGGTAGCTTCTCAATCTCACCTCTCTCATCCATGACCTCAAGATAAGGTGTATGCAGGGTTCACTTTTCCTATTAAAAGTGCCGGATCCCGATCCCCAACCAAATTTCAATAAATGTTAGCCAAACTTAAGTTCTTGAAAACCATTCGAAATTTCACTCGCATTCTACATTCGTTTCACCAATGGCCACTGTTTCTTCTTCTTCTTCTTCTTCTTCTATCTGCAGCTGCAAGAAGAGAAGAGAGAGGGAGAGAGACAGCAACTCAACAAGAGACAGCGTCGCTCTCGAAGTCGCTGTCCTAACAACTCGCATCGGAGGACGAGAAGGAGACCATGCAGATGCAGTGTGCTGCTTGGCTGCTTCTTCTTGCTGCATGGTGTTGCAATTTGCATTGGACTATGTGCTTTCTTTCTTCGAATCAATGGCCAATCAAGGCCCCCACGTGTACGGCCAGGATGCTCCCAGTTCCACTCTGTAGTACTCCTATGGCTGTGTTTAGATCAAAGTTTGGATCCAAACTTTAATATTTTTCCATCACATCAACCTGTTATACACACATAACTTTTCAGT